ATGCCCAATGTCACCTCTACTTTTTATTTTGACCTTAGAAGTGCTGCTAACTCAAATCAGAGCCAATAAAGAGATAAAAAGGATACAGGTTAAGACAGAAGAGTATAAGATACAAGCATTTGCAGATGATTTGGTATTTTTTTATTGAGGAACCATTAGTGAGAGGAAAGATTTTGATGAAAAAATAGAAAAATATGGAATAGTGGCAGGATTAAAAATCAATAGAGAAAAGACCAAAATGTTAGTCAAAAACCTAACTGAAAAACAGAAAAGGAAATTAGAAGAGAATCTGGAATTGCAAATTTTAAAAAAGATCAAATATTTAGTAATCTGGCTTACTACAAGGTGCTCCTCAATAAAAGAAGATAACTATAAAAAATTAATACTACAAATGAAGAAAAATTTTGAGACCTGGGGTAAATTACAATTATCATTATTAGGTAGGATTGCGTTGATTAAAATGAATACATTACCAAGACTATTATATTTATTCCAAACAGTCCAGATAAAATTAGAGAATTTTTTTGAAGAATTAGATAAAATAATAAATAAATTCATTTGGTTGGACAAAAAAGCACGGATAAACATGAAAATATTAAAAGATAGTAGAAGTAGAGGTGGACTTGGGCTCCCAAAATGGGAAATTTATTATCAAGCAGCTGGACTACTCTGGATCAAAGATTGGATAAACCTAGACAATAAAAGAGTTTTAACGATTGAAGGACACGACTTACAGGCTGGCTGGCATGCCTTTTTATGGGGGAAACATAAGAAAACACATTCATACTTTTATCAACATCAGATAAGAGATGCGCTGATTCGGATGTGGGAAAAAGTTAAAAAAAGACATTACAGGAAAATCCCAAATTGGATTTCACCGATGGAGGCGATGATTCACCCTAACACCTTGGATAAGAAAAAGATGATTAGATACAAAGAACTATTAGATAACCAAGAAAACCTTAAATCAAGAGAAGAATTAGAAGAACAAGGAATAATCATAGATTGGTGGCCATATTTACAGATCAAATCTAAACATAGTAAGTGTTATGTCCCGAGCCTTTACAAATGGCTCGGGCGTTTGCAGGCAGTCCCGGGCAGGTGCAAAGCTGCCCGGGACCAGACAGGCTGTCGCCAGCGCCGTGCGCATGCGCGGGTGCTGGCGCGGGAAAAGTAACCCATTTACCCGGGAGTTGCCTATATAAGAGGCTGCGAGGCGTTTGGGCGAGGCTGAAGCCATCTTCCTGTAAGCTGAACGCTGAATAAATGAAACTGAGAACTCCAGCTGCTTCTCGTGTCTGTTTTCCCGCCACGGACTCAACACTGGCGACGAGGTGGGATGCCTTGCACTACCTGGAAAGGAAGAAGTGTAAGCTTACCCAAGGAGTCCTGAGCGGCGGAAGAGGAACGGCGTTGACTCGGCAGCTGCCCGCCATTCCGGTGCGCATTCGGGGGTAGGCTGACTGATAGACCCGTCTCCTGAAGATCCGAAGATGGCGAAAATCAGAAGGCTTTCAGAATTCGACGTCTCACATCCAGAGCGGTGGGAGTCCTACGTATCCAGAATGGAGAACTACTTCAAGGCAAACCAAGTGAGGGAAGATAGCTTGAAGGCTGCCACCCTGCTTTGCGTTTGCGGCCAAGACGCCTTCGAAATCGCAGAAAACCTTGCAGCACCTGTTCCAGTAGAGTCTGTAAGCTACGCAGACCTGAAGAAGCTGCTGAAGGAGCACTTCCACCCCAAGGTGTCCGTTATCTCATGGCGCCACACCTTCGAACAGAGGGATCAACGGTCCGGTGAGTCAGCCAAGGAATACATCGCCGCGTTACGGAAGGCCGCCAAGCCCTGCGAGTTCAAGGACCTCGAGGAACGACTGAGGGACCGATTCGTGTGCGGGTTAAGGCATCGAGAGCTACAAAAGAGACTTTTCGCTAAGGAAGAATTATCCTTCCAAGACGCCTTAAGGGAAGTCACCGCAGAAGAAGCAGCAGGCGGCGCCGTCAAGAACATGCGGCCGATCAGAAGCAGTGCAGAGGGTGCGTCCGTGCACCAGGAAGACGTCCGACGAAACTCCGAGGAGGATCCGGACGAAGAAGTCGACCGTCTACACCCCGCGAAGGAAGAGAACCAGAAGGGAAGCTCTTCGGCTCCGCTCAAGTGCATCGGCTGTGGAGGTCGCCACAGGAGAACCGACTGCAAGTTCCGCTCCGCTACCTGCCGGGCATGCGGCAAACAAGGGCAAGAGCTACTGCCCATCTCCACTGAGGGAGCCACAAACGGCCCATCTCAGGGTTCTGCAATTGCTCCGAAAAGAAAGTCATGGAGCTTACCCACACAACAGGCACTCACGCCTACTCCAGCCAGGGAGTCACCCCGGGGGCATACTCACTTTCCACACACATCACACAGCACTCCAGTAACGGAGGATACCCGGGGGCATCCCAACAAATCATTCCCCGCAAGAGAGCTGGCACACAATTCCCAAGGTTGGCCTGACCTTACCCCAAATCCTACAGGGGGTCAAACATACACAGAGCTAGTCGAGGAACCAAGTCCCGACTACAACACCCCTAGCACAAATCAGGGAACACCTGAGTTTTGGGAAAGTACAGAAACCCACACGAGCCCGAGCACAGAATGGGGTTCAGGGAATGGACAGCCTCCTGACAGGTCTTGGACTGACCTAGGAGGTTCTACAGAGACGCCCAGCAGTGGCTATCACTTCAAGGGGCCTGAGGGTCTACAGCTAGGTAGGACAACCAGGTCACAAAGCAACAGAAGCCCTGGCCTGACGAGCCCGGTGGGCAAGCAAGCAGGCCAGGCATCGGGGCACAGTCCTTGGAAGACACCAGGGCACAATAGAGAGAACAGGCTCACGCCTCCCTCCAGTCAGGGGACTTATGCCAGTAACCCAGAGCTAAGAAGGTCACAGAGAGCAAAGAAATCTCCTAAGTATCTAGAAGATTACAGATCTGATTACTGGCAAAAGCCAGTAATCAGTGGGAGCACTGGGGAGCAAAATGTCATATAAAATAAATGTTGTATGTTGGTAGTAGTTTTAGCCCGGGGGAAAGGGGTGTTATGTCCCGAGCCTTTGCAAATGGCTCGGGCGTTTGCAGGCAGTCCCGGGCAGGTGCAAAGCTGCCCGGGACCAGACAGGCTGTCGCCAGCGCCGTGCGCATGCGCGGGTGCTGGCGCGGGAAAAGTAACCCTTTACCCGGGAGTTGCCTATATAAGAGGCTGCGAGGCGTTTGGGCGAGGCTGAAGCCATCTTCCTGTAAGCTGAACGCTGAATAAAAGAAACTGAGAACTCCAGCTGCTTCTCGTGTCTGTTTTCCCGCCACGGACTCAACAGTAAGGATATGGAAGAGCATGGAATAAGCCAGACCCCACATCAATTGGATAAAATTTTAACAGTTAAGGAAGGAAAATTTTTAACAAAAACCTATAAATATTTATTAGAGGTAGATCTGGAGGAAGAATTAGTGAAAGGGCCAAGGATAGCATGGGCAAGAAATGTGGGTCGAAATATAAATTTGGAAGAATGGGAAAGATTATGGAACATAAATTGCAAACTGACACTGTCAACTGCATATAGGGAAAATCAATACAAAATGTTTTATAGATGGCATTTAACACCGGTGAGATTGGCCAAAATGTACAAAAATATGAATCCGGAATGTTGAAAATGTAAAAATAAGGAAGGAACATTTTATAATATGTGGTGGCTGTGCCCTAAAGCAAAGAGCTATTGGGAATGGATAAGGAACTGGATACAGGAGATAACCAAGTTGCAAATTGAATTCAAACCTGAACTATTTCTTCTGGGTATAATAAATTTAAAGATGGAAAAGCAACTCCAACACATCATTATACATATATTGACAGCAGCCCACATAGTATACGCTCAGTGTTGGAAGGGTGAAAACATACCTACAAACGATATGATTATACACAAAATTCTTGAATGTGTGGAAATGAATAAACTTACGCTAGAATTAAAAGACCAGGAGGCAACAGAATTTTATGAAATATGGAACAAATGTTATGATTGGCTAGAACAAAGAAAGAAAAAGACATGATTACTGATGTAAATAAACTGTAAATAATATATATGAGATGTATAACACAGTTTTGTTAAGGGGGAAAAAAAAGAGTACAGAGAAGAGTAACAAAGATGATTAGGGGACTGAAGGCTAAAACATGTAAGGAACAGTTGCTGGAACTGGGTATGTCTAGTTTAACGAAGAGAAGGACGAGGGTGGACATGATAGCTGTGTTCCAATATCTCAGGGGCTGCCACAAAGAAGAGGGAGTCGAGCTATTCTCCAAAGCACCTGAAGGCAGGACAAGAAGCAACGGATGGAAACTAACCAAAGAAAGAAGCAGCTTAGAACTAAGGAGAAATTTGCTGACAGTTAGAACAATTAATCAGTTGAACAACCTGCCTCCAGAAGTTGTGAATGCTCCAACACTGAAAGTTTTTAAGAAGAGACTGGACAACCATTTGTCTGAAATGGTATAGGGTTTCCTGCCTGAGCAAGGGGCTGGACTAGAAGACCTTCAAAGTTCCTTCCAACTTATTATTATTATTATTATTATTATTATTATTATTATTATTATTATTATTATTATTATTTCCATTCAGACTCTAGTAATGTATTTACTATATTAATAAAAAATATCTGACTCTCCACATATTTGATCACAGAGACAAGCAATCAGAGGCCTGCTCACACCAAATAGCTTCCCTGATTTTGCTTGTCTGTATAGTTACCCATCAACCTATGGAAAGATGCTCCTGAATTGCAAGAACCCCTTGGAATAACATAGTTGACGTGGGAGTGGCTTAGAAGAGAAGGACTGCATCAGAATAAAGAAATTTGGTCAGTTCATCTGAACTGGTTTGGAAAAGAAGTGATGTCCTTCTGGCAAAACAGTTATAATTCCATGGATGTAAATAATAGAAATTGAAAATAGCTTTCCATCACTACTTTACCTCACTGAAAAAGTGCTGGGCTTTATGAGATTCTACAAGCCTCCATCTTCTTTCCTGAGTTTCATCCTTCAGATTTTCAAAGCAAATTGTCAGTTTCTTTACTTGTTCCATGATTGTCTGGGAAGCAACCTGTTTTTCCTTCGCCAGCTTCTGCCCAGAACTGATCACTGCTTTAGTCAAGGCATCATGGCTGTTAATCTCATTCTCTAAATTCTGGAAAATACAAGATAAGAGACACACGTATTTTAACAATATAAGGATTTTCTCCATATATTCATAAACATGTCTGTGTTTTTAGGTTGTCAAGCTGCAGCATACCACTTTTAGATTCTGCTAACAAATTAAAATGCTCATGCAGAGTTTTGCATCTATGGGAAAATTGCCAACATAAGCAAGTGTCCACTCACTTGAGTGAAATAAAACTCTCCACTTCGGTGGAGTCTCTTTAATAGCTTAACTTTCCTATACCATCTGTCCTATACCTTTGTAAAGAAGATTAGCACACCCTAATATATTTCTCTAGCTATCAACTTAAAGAGGTTAGGAGCAAGTTGTGCCTTATTAATAAATAAAAGGATTTCTTTTAAAAATGCAAAACTGCTCTGGGGTTTTAGATGGATAGTTAGATATTTTTCTTGTCACCATCACAGAAACCACCCAATTAATATTATATGATTCTTTTTTTTAGAATATAAACAAGCTGTTTTGGTAATTACAAGAAAACAGTAATACTTCAAGCATGAATGAAATATGGCCCTGATATATGTTTTGTAATATTTGTTGCTGTTACTGTTTACCCTATTTTTGCTGTTAACATTACATCATAATGTTGACTGAGGTGGCTTTAAACTGATTAAACAATCAAATAGATAAAATTGACATTGTTTTAAATTATGGATCTAAAAGGCTAGCTCAATTTTTATTTCTGTGTTACTGTCTTTAACTTTTTTCAATAAATAATAGCAGATGCAATGCAGAGAATGTAATATTTGTTTGTATACAGATAAGAAGCGCAGACATATTTCTCGATAGCTTGAATAATAATAAAAAAAAAAGTGGCAGTGGAGCTTCGTGTTGCAGAAGATTACTCTAGAAAATTGTTTCTCAACCTCAGCAACTTTAAGACGCCTGGACTTCAATTCCCAGAATTCCCCAGCAATACGCCTTAAAATTGCTGAAGTTGAGAAAAACTGCTCTAGAAAAAGATATTATTCATTTAATTGACTTCACTATGACACGGAAATGTGAAAAACATGCAACTTTCTGAAGAACAGAAAGTGAGCTTATAGGCCTTGTGGTAAGCTAGCTAAAATTTGTAAAAATAAATTGTAAAAAGCAATGGAAGAAGTGACCAAGAATTTCTCTTTTTTTCCAGTATTTCCTGCTTTATCACTCTATCTATTTTACCTGGTGCTTTTCCTGTAAGCTCTGAACAGTTGCCAAAGACTGGCCATAGTCTCTGGAAGATGCCAGAGGGAGTTTGTCATGAATCCAGGTCAATTCTTCATTGACATCCTGGAGGAACTGGTACAGCAATTTGTTGGCTTCCAAATGCTGCCGCCTTTCCTGGAGTGGCTCCCTAAAACTTTTATATCTGGAAATTCAAAATGAAGCTGTGGGTTAGATTGTTTTTTAAGGAAGACAGATTATGAATCTGAATTGGTCTTTCCACACATCATCCTTAGTGAAGCGTGCAAACCAACATTTGCATTTCCTGTGTCAGATGATCTTTCTCCTTCTGTCATGGCCATTTTTTATAGAGGTATGACTGAAAGCATTTTAACAAACTGAATCACTGTCTGGTTTGGTGGCAGCAGTGCCTCAGATAGAAAGTCCATACAGAGAATGGTAAGTGTTGTGTCCTGAGCCTGCTGAAGTAAACGGTCCCGGGCAACCCAAAAGCTGCCAGCCTTGTGCTCATGCACAAGGCACAAAATAGCCAGATCCCTATTGGTTGTGCTCTCCGGGTTCAGAACGCTATAAAAGGCCTGCGTGCATTTTGCTGCTTGCTTGGTTGGAAGGAGAAGATCAATAAAGAGATTGCTTGTTCACCACGTGTCTTCATCTAATGCCTGAGAACCGAATACATAAATGTAAGGACAGCCAAGAAGATCATTGGACACTCGCTCCCTGGTATTCAGGATGCTGTTTATAAGCACTATGTGCTTAGAGCTCAAAGCATTGTTAGAGACCCCACACACCCACTTTATGGTCTGTTTCTGTTGCTCCCCTCTGGGAGGAAGTTTTAAAATATTTCTAGCAGGATTACCCGATTCTGTTATAGCTTTGTTCCCTATGCCATCCATCTAGTAAACTCGCAAGATTCATTTTTCTCCCCATGCATATGTATACATAACCCGTACTATACTGTTGTTTCTCTGTGTGATATAATATATGTGGGTATATGCATAATTCTGTATTTATTTATTTTTGTCATATTTATATGGTGTATATTGGAGGTGGTGACCCTCTGAGAGCTGTATGCAATGAAATTTCATTTTAGTGTATGCCAATTAGTGTACATTCAAAGCGACAATAAAGTTATTATTCTATTCTAGTAATAGTAATAGTAGTAAAGTTGGAAGGGACCTTGGAGTCATCTAGTCCAACCCCCTGCTCAGGCAGGAAACCCTACACCATTTCGGACAAATGGCTGTCCAGTCTCTTCTTAAAAACTTCCAGTGTTGGAGCATTTACTGCTTCTGGAGGCAAGCTGTTCCACTGATTAATTGTTCTCACTGTCAGGAAGTTTCTCCTTAGTTCTAGGTTGCTTCTCTCCTTGATTAGTTTCCACCCGTTGCTTCTTGTCCTGCCTTCAGGTGCTTTGGAAAATAGCTTAATTCCCTCTTCTTTATGGCAGCCCCTGAGACATTGGAATACTGCTATCATGTCCCCCCTTGTCCTTCTCTTCGTTAAACTAGACATACCCAATTCTAGCAACCGTTCCTTATATGTTTTAGCCTCCAGTCCCCTAATGGGTCTGTTATTCTATGGACTAGCATGCATTGACTGTTAAAATTAGAAACACCAGGCTGATAAACCGAAGAATGATGATATTATTAAAGGTGAAAATTAGAATATTTAGAAGGGGCAGACGAGCAAAGAGAAACTGCAGAACCGTTCAAGCACCTGTGTACCACCTGATCCACCCTTATCTCTATCTCATCTGCCAGAAAATGTTTCTCCTGCTGAAATTCTTGCACTCTGTTGATCAGACTTTGGAAATGGTCCCTGTGGGCAACAAAGCTGGCTTCCAGTTCTTCCTGTTTCTTTAGGAGATCATTCAGAATCAGTAGATTATCACTGCTTTCTGGTGAATTCATTTCGCCATCTAGGTCTTCCAACCATTTATCAGCCTCATCCACGAGATGTAGAAATTGCAGAGCCTGAAGTCAGAGGGAAGTAATCTAGGCAAATAATGACATTTAAACACTGTAGCTACTAGCATCCTTTGTGGATTGATCAGTTCTGTCTCTACAATGCTCTCTCACAAGCACACACATAAACACAATAGGATTATTTTAATTTTTTTGCTTTTTGCTAACCTGAAAATTAGTTAACCAGCTTAATTGGGGAATTTCCAGAATGCTAAGTCACCACTAAAACCTTGAGTTCTTTCCTGTTGTGTTTTACCTTGTAAGCATCCAGAATTTTTCTTTTCTTTTCCTCGCAGTTTTCCAGCAACTCATCCCAAAGCTCATCTATTTCTTGGAGTCTAGACTGGAGGACATCAGAAGCATAATGCCTTTCGTGGAACATTTTCTCTCCTTCCTGCAATAAAGATACTCAAAGTCATCTCTTATGGCTTAGCTTTCTATATGATGTCTTTAAGCAATGATACTATCCAACAATCTTATCATTATAATAACATTTAAGTTATTTGCATTTTTGCTTAAGGCAGTAGTTCCCAACATTTTCTATACCCCGCACGCCTAGAACCCTTCTGATATATTTTGGCACCCCTTACAAAAGTTCTAAATAATGGCAACAAATTATGCATATACACTATAATTTTGAAAACCCAAGTTTTCGCACCCCCTGGAATATCATCTCGCACCCCAGGGAGTGCAAGCACCCCTGGTTGGGAACCCTTGGCTTAAGGCATTTAATTTTGCAAATTATTTGTTTAACTCAGATTCTTCCAGAATCAGCTTTTGAGAAAGTCTCATTCTTTGAAATGTACTGAAACTTCAAAAATTATTTGGAATGTATAGGAACAAGGGCACAGCATGAAAGAAGTTGCATTTTTTGTCAGATTTCTGCATAAGCCTGAATGAGAAGATAGCTACTTTTATGAAGCAATTTATGAAAGTAGCCATATGTCTAATGAACCATTTTTGCAGGCATAGCTGTTTTAAAATGGTAATGTGCTTATAGTCGTATGTATACTGAACTACCTCTTTTGAATTATTTTTGAATAATTATAATCAATAATGTAATGTAATAATGCCATGCTGTGCTGTGCTATAGTATACCAGGGGTCCCCAACCCCCGGTCCATGGACTGGTACCGGGCCATGGCATGCCAACAACTGGTCTGCACAAACAAGCAAAGCCCCTTCCATGGGATGCAGGCAGCACACAAAACCATGCACTCTCTAGTCCGTGGAAAAACCTTTCTCCACGGAATTGGTTCCTGGTGCCCAAAAGGTCGGTGATCTTTATACTATACTATACTATACTGTACTGTACTGTACTGTACTGTACTGTACTGTACCGTACCGTACCGTACCGTACCATACCATACCATACCATACCATACCATACCATTTACTTATTTACTTACTGTTTTGATTCTGTTAAGATGATTTTTGTTAGCCACAATCTCTGCCTGGAAAGTCTGGTGCTTTTGTAGTTTAGCCTGAAGATTGCTAGGATCTCTCCAGCTCTCATCAAGGGCAATACTGTTTTTTTCGTTCATCCAGGCAGCTATCTTTGGATAGAAAAACACAATTATGAGATTGCTGATTAGATTCAATTCCTAATTGTTCAAGGAACTGGAACGGTCTCCCATCTGAAACCCTGAAAGAATGGCAGCAAGTCTACCAAGAATCAGGAACAAGCAATTTGGTCTCTCCCTACATTCTTTGAAGTATACTGCTGTACCACATTTGTTCTTATTGGCTACGTTGAATAGGGTTTCTGGCATTTGTTGATTATTGGAAGTTTTCAAATTTCTCTGAAATTTGAAATGTAAGTATATATGTATCCTCAGGAAATTAAATGAATCGTTATACCTCAAAAGAATTGTGCAGAAATTTTTGTAATAGCCAGGACTCCTCCAGCAGACGCCTCCGAATTAAAGTGATTTCCAAAAGTTTTTCCTTCCTGGAAAGAATAAATAATACTAGTGATATAAGTCAATGTAGCTTATTAAACTTCTTTTCATTTCAGAAGTGATTATAAATGCAAGCTTAATCTTTGCCAAGAGCAGTAGAAGGAAAACACAAAAAGCACAGCATGAGGAAATGAAACAGCAAATGCCACAGCAGGGTTGTTCCTCAAATAGGCACATTATATAAATCTTATCTTCTTTCTAGAGTGACTAGATGGGTGGATAATCACTGTATTCTCTTAGGGTTTTATTTGAAGCACAAAATAATATAGTTAATGAGTGGCAAGTAATAAAAAAAAAATCCATTAAGAAAGAGGAGAGGTGTGGGGTGGTTAAACCATACAGGATGAAACAGGAGTACCTTCTCAACACAGCCTGGCACTTAGTCATTATATTCTCAGAATCATAATGCTGACTGTCCTTCAGCTTTTGGGCAAAGAAAGTTATCTTATCAATCTTCTTCAGGTGGGCCTTCAAGTCTTTTTCAAACTGCATGTGATTTTGCTGCAGACTCTCCACACTGGATACTGAATCCTGCATCAATTGGAACAAGTTAATGTAATAAGGAAAGCTGTCTTCTAAAATAGATTGTTTGTTCATCTAACCCAGTTTTCCTAACTCCAGATGAGTAGATTTTAACTTCTAAAATGTCTCAGCCAGCATGGCAATTGATAAGAAATGTGGGAGTTGGTTGGCTTTTGAAAAATGCCCAGGTTGGGAAGAGCTGATCTAATGCCGTATGATTACTCCAAATCATACGGCATTAGATCTCGGTTAGAAGAGTTATGTTTATAAAGAGTTATGTTTATAAACTGTCTAAATGTGTATAATCCATGCATGCACAGAACAAGAGAAGGATTTGGGGATCACTATTCTAAACAGTCAGGATTCAAATTATTTCTATAAAACTTCCCTTTTTTAATATGAAATCAAAGAATATTGGATTCCTCCCCAAGCAACTTTTCTTTATATTCAGGTCTATAGAGCTCAGATATAATAAGATGTCCAGACACATTTTATTGTAAGATGAGTGGAATATAAATTTAACTAAATAAATAAATGAACTTTAGAGGATTTCAGTTTTTTTCATTTTTTTTAAATTCTGCATGTATTTCTGCTTTTCTGGGCTCTATAGCAGCAAAACTGGGTTGGAAAATGATGACACAGACTAGAAGGCAAAATCCAATAAATTTGCAAAACAACCAAATGCTTTGTGATGTAATGTAATGGAATGAGAGATTCAGTGAGACTTTGGCAGGAAAAAAAACTGAAAGTAAGCACTCCAAAATTATTTGTTTTGCACTTTTGTTCTATGCCAACACTTTTCAGTTTTTAGTGAGAATAGTCTATTTCACTTACCCCCAAGTCTTTGTTTGTTAGAAAGGCCTCTTTGCTGCTTAGCCAACTTTCACTCTCTTCCACATAACCAAAGAATATCTGTTTAGGAGAGAAAGAAACTATTTTACTTCCCAATATAATTACATTGCAAAGTTCAATGGGGCTTAATTGGAAACAAGAGTGCTTGGAATTGGACCCACAGATGAACACTATAGTATAGTATGTGAAAGCGGTCCATTGAGCCAATGCAGTATTAATAAAGGAGTCTATGACAAACTTGTAGTTCAGAATAATAGTAAATAAGGTAGTATTGCCTTTTTTTGAGTTTGCATAAATACTGTAAATAGATTTTATTTACATTTATATATATGATCTATTTATATTTATTGGTATTACTTATAGATTTTATCTATTTATTTGTATACCAAGACTAGTAGATATCATTTTCCTACTAATTTGTTCTAGAGCCATCTAGTAATTATCCATATTTATTCAGGACATATTGATAGCCAAAGACCGTTCCGATTAATTGTTAGCAGTTCTCTATAATTTAAAAGAATTAGCACTGGTATTTTACCCAGCATTCTAACTTTTAACCAGGGACATCAGGGACTGAATCAAAAATTTCTGCATGTGTTACGTGGTCCTTCAGGGCACTGCAACTGTTCCCTAACTTGTACACCATTTCAAAAATAAATAAATAATTGGGATCCTTAAATATATTAATTCTTCCAAGCTTTTCCCCACATAGGGAGAGTAGACCAAAAGTTCCAGTTCCTAGTATTTAAAGTTGAAACCGTGCCACGGTGCATTTAAGGAGAAACATTTCATTAAATCAAAATTACCAAAAAAGGTTTGAAGCTGAGACGAAGATCAGTTTTAGGATCCAAATAAAAAAAGAAATGAAATGTAAATATATTTCTTCTATTTGGAGAAGATTCTATGTTTAAAGAATATCCACCAGCAACCACTGTTTGCTTCCATTTGCCATGCCCTAACTACCAATCAAAACTCTTCCTGACAGCATATATTCTTATTCTTGTGGGCTGCTTCAGAATTATTATTTTTTTTTATCTACCTGTAAGTCTCTGGCTTGAAGTAATTTTAGACTTTGTTCTTCATAGGTCTGGATCATTTCATTTAATGCTTGTTGTAACTTGATGAGGGAATGATGGATCTCAGGAGCTGCATAATGGCCAGAACTGCCAAGTTTCTGACCGTAGTTGCTGAGAGCACCAAGTCTTTCCCCTCGAGCTTCAATCTCTGCCTAAAAAATGTCAGACAGATTGATGGTAAATGTTTGCACAGAAGCAACATTCAGGATTTTTGGAAAACAAAAGTAGATTTTATTCAGCAACCTTTCACGATTAATATTTATGTGGAAAGTAAGGAGTCTGAGAAAGAAGGAAGATTTCAAAATTTGAAAAATATATAAAGAACAAATTACCCTCTCTTTCACCTTAGCAAAGACTAATTTTTACCCTAATTAAATTTGGAAACTTAGATATAAATGAAACATGTTTTTAATTGCACATAATTAAGAAAAACAGCATCACCCATAACTGAGGTAAACAATATCCCCAAAATTTCAGTTTTCTTTTGGTGTTCACAGCAGATTTCATTATTCAAGCACTTTCATGATTGTATTCTTGATGTCAACATTAAAAAACATCAAATGCGTTTATTTAACTGACATCTTTCATCATTTCAAATTTATGAAAGATGTGAACTCAGTCGTTCTTAAACTGTTTGACCAATTATTCCTTTCCCTAATCTTAAATAATGTCATTATTCCCACAAAACAAACAAAAAAACAGCCTCTGCTATTTTACAGAAACATCTTAGTGACAGCTGTCCCAAACCGAATCCATAACTCACAAAAAAGCAATTACAAATTGCTCCATCATCTCTAGAATATATTCCATTTATCCCTAGTGTAAGAACCTCTAAGTTAAGCTCTGGATACTATGAAGCATTCCAGATGTCTTTTTTAGTCTACCAGGAAATTATGTAACTCACTGGCCATTTTTATGGTGTGGATAGTCCTCCTGCCCTCACCTTTTCCTCAAAATAAAAACTCCCCCTCCATCTTTATTTCTCTGAACAAATGAGCTTCTGCACCTTATCTCATTTCCAAGTGGAAGTAGAAGACCTACTGGATCTATAATTATTCTTTTCTCTCTTCTTTCCTCCTGAGACTTTCCATCTTGTTCAATGGAGCTTTCAGTGTCTCCAAGCATGTGTTAATACTATCTATTTTTCTCCTTTCCTTCTCTGTGGTTCAGAAGAATCTTTGTAATAAAAGCTTAGCACAATACCTCCAAATGTGTATATTCCAAGGGAGTTCCTCTGTAACTTGTCTTGATCTCAATAGGCTTAACCTCCACGGGCAGGATATGTATTAGCTTCTTCCCCCCCCCCCCCAACAATTGCTTCAGCATTTGTTGAATATGTAGGCCTCTTCAGTGGCAGAATTATTCAAACAAATAAGTACTTACAATATGTCCTCTAAATTGCCAGTAGCTGAATGTTGATATTCCATGTAAGTTCTAGACTTGCAAAAGATGTGCTCATGTTTACACTGCTATTAATTTTAGCAGAATCCAAATAAAACTGAGGTTTACAGAGAGAACAGACCACATCTGAGCTAAGAAAAGAATGTTCCAGCTCAAAAAGTAAGCACAGAAATAAATAATGAGGATGTAATTACTTATGTGCGTATTGCTACAATCAATGTTATTTCCATTGTCAAGTATTGAAATTGCTAATTAGGAACTTTTTAAAGTAATGGAAACTATTATAAAGATGGCAATATCAACTGACATAATCATACTTGCCTTTACTTCTTGATGCTCCTCTATCAGACTTTCTGCTTCAGCTAAATTTTTAGGAACATCCCCAAGTTCCATTTGACCTTTGACCTCCTGAATCCAATCAAGCAATTCCTTCAGTTCAGAGTTAAACTTCTGTAACTGGTAAGAAGCAATCAGCTTCTCACCCCTGTTGTATACAAAAGAACATAAATAATAATTGAAACTCTTACTAAATATAAGCTGGTGGAATAAAATTGAGTTTAACAAAAACAGAAAGCTTGTAAATTGTTGTTTACTTATTTCAAGGGGGTTGTAAGAATACATACTTAGAAATGTTGGGCTTTTCACATTTCTAGTTTTCAAACCATATTTTTTCATTTAACAGTACTAAAGTCTCTGGAGAGAACTCTATTACTGCACATGCCAAACTGATTCTGCTACCAGAATTTGGCTAGATACCTCAAATTCGCTTTCTCCCCCTACCCCCCCCCCAATTCACTTCCTCACCTTTATCCCTCAATCAGGGACCCACCAAAATGATCCAAAATAAGTAAAACTCTGAAGGTTATCAGGCCCAAAGGGAGAAGAAATGTACTCTTTGCAGGATGGAATATCAATGCCAGTACTCCTAATTCTGCACCTTTGCATAAACTTAGTATTCAGCTAAAACAGAAGATGGAGGAACTTTGCTTCTTCACAAAGATTTCAATCCTTTTCACAACCAGCAATAACATTTAGTAATACCCTGATGGATAATATATTCTAACAGCATTTATTAATCACATTGTGGCTATATGGTTGCCACATGAAGTTTTCTGGAACCAGAGTTCTTAAAATAAAAAATGGGATCATCTGTTAAAATGTCATCTGGCTCCTGCACTTAGCAGGGATTTGGACTAGTTGACTTCTAAGGTTCCTCTCAACTTTATGACTAAACACATCTATTAATATATTGTAGAGTGCATTTGTGGATTCAAAATGTTGGAAGTCTATTTTGAATTTTCACTAAATAATGGCAAAAAACAGGATTGACTAAAGCACAATATGTGAAATCTACAGACTGACAATATAAAGTATTCAGGAATGACCCTGAGAGATAGGAGGAAGAGTCACAGTCTAGATCAGTGGTTTTCAATCTTCCTAATGCCGCGACCCTTTAATACAGTTCCTCATGTTGTGGTGACCCCCAACCCCCCATCCAGCTGGCTGGGGGGGGGTATCAAAAGTTTGACCAAAAAAAAAAAAAGAGAGGGAAAAATGGGAAAGTATAAGTAGTCCTCGACTTACAACAATTCGCTTAGTGACTGAAGTTACAACAGCACTTAAAAAGCGAATTATGACCATTTTTCACACTTATGATTGTTGCAGCATCCCCAGGGCCATGTGATTTAGATTCGGATGCTTGACAACTGATTCATACTTATGATGTTCACAGTGTCCCAGGGTCACGTGATCAATGGCCAGGGGGCGTGGCCAGCTGATCACTCAGGTTGCAGTGTGCCTGTGGGGGGGAATCTGTGGGTCTCTGGGATGGGACTGGGGTGGGTGCCTGCCTTCCTTCCCTCCCTTCTCTCACCTTGTCCCTTCCTTCCTTCTTTTCTTCCTTTCCTTCACCTCCCTCTTAGTCTCTTTCTCCTTCCCTCCCTCTTTCCCATTGTCCCTTCCTTCTTTCCTTCCTTCCTCACCTCCTTCTTAGTCTCTTCCTCCTTTCCTCCCTCTCCCATTGTTCCTTCCTTCCTTTATTCTTTCCTTCCTTTCCTTCACCTCCCTTAGCCTCTTCCTCCTTCCCTCCCTCTCCCTCATTGTTCCTTCCTTCCTTCATTCCTTCCTTTCTTTCACCTCCCTTAGTCTCTTCCTCCTTCCCTCCCTCTTTCCCATTGTCCCTTCCTTCTTTCCTTCCTTTCCTTCACCTCCCTTAGTCTCTTCCTCTTCCCTTCCTCTTTCCCATTGTCCCTTCCTTCTTTCCTTCCTTTCCTTCCCCTCCCTCTTAGTTCCTTCCTTCCTTCCTTCCTTCCTTCCTTCCTTCCTTCCTTCCTTCCTTCCTTCCTTCCTTCCTTCCTTCCTTCCCTCTTTGTCCCTTCCTTCCTTCCCTCCCTTCCATTGTTCCTTCCTTCCCTCTCTCATTGTCCCTTACTTCCCTCCCTCTTCGTCCCTTCCTTCCTCCCCCCCTCGGTGCCCAGGAAGGGACAAGGGGAGAGGGACAGGCTGCCAGAGGCAGAGGAGAGCTCTGCCCAGTTCACTTGCTCAGCTTCACCAGAAAACATGCCGCTTGATAAGTTAGCAGAAGCCCCAGGATCAGCACCGGGCTACAGCTGATTCGTGCTTCTGCTAAATTAGCAAGCAGCATGTTTTCTAGCAAAGCTCGAGCAAGTTTGCTGGGCAGGACCCAAGGAGAGCTGCTACAGCTGACCTGCTTCTTGGCTGCTCTGCAGAAGCGCGGATCAGCTGTAGAGGTTCGCCCTGATCCTGGACAAGAGGGAAGGAAGGAAGGACGGAAGGGACAAGGGGAAAGAGGGAGGGAAGGAGGGACAAAGAGGGAGGCAAAGGAAAAGAAGGAAGGAAGGGACAAGGGGAGAGAGGGAGGGAAGGAGGGATAAAGAGGGAGGTGAAGGAAAGGAAGGAAGGGACAATGGGAGAGGGAGAGAAGGAGGAAGAGACCAAGAGGGAGGGAAGGAAAGGAAGTTCCAGCCAACAGAGGCTTGGCAGCCTGGCCGCTGAGGAACAGAAGAGTGCAAAGCCAAGGAGAAGAAGGTGGCGGTTTCCTCCCAAAGGGGGCTCCTTTTCTCCACCCCTTCCCTGGGTTTGTGGGGAATTTCTCATCACCAACGCTGACAGGTGCTCCTTCGAGCCTTCCAGGAGCTTTCTCACCCCCTTTGCTCCCCCCCGCTTTCGTGAGGATTGTGGCGCCCTTGGAAGCTGATCGTGCTTTGAAGCTTAGGAGAGGAGGAGGAGTCCCTTCCTCCTTCCCTCCCTCTCTCCCTGTCAAGCCCCGGCGGGCTTGATATGAACTGGTGGAGGAGGAGTTGAGGACGGGAGGGGTGGCAAAGGAGACCGGCAGCCATTGACAGACCTCCCGGCTGACAAGTGCAAGTTCGGAGGTCGCCAGCTGACAGGCACAGGAGTTGGGTGCTGTGGCGGCCTCCCCTTCTCTGACCTGCATGCGCGAGAGGAAGTCAATCCGGTTGCTGCACAATGAGTCTCTGGGGAGGGTGTGGCCTTGCTCTGTGCCTGCGCTCTTCATGCGCCCCCTGCAGGCCACATTTGGTAGAATTCGTGCAGACTGCCACCAAGCAGCATATTTTCCACAAACAAGTGAGGTGGAGTGGAGGGGGGGGGGGAGAAAAGAAGGCGGTTGACATGCCCTGCCTAAGACCATTGGAAATATGTGTTTTCCAATGGTCTTAGGCGACCCTTGTGAAAGACTCGTGTGACCCCCAAAAGGGTCGTGACCCACAGGTTGAGAACCGCTGGTCTAGACATTGTCTGATGAACAAAGTCTGAGTCCAGATCAGGAGGGGTCGGAGAGAAAACATCTCAGAAGAGACCATCCTTAGTTTGGGGGAGAGTGAAAATAGGAGGTGGGAGGAGTACTTTCAGATTTGCAATGTAATTTTACAATAAAGACAGAGTTAGAAATCAGGGTTGTGTGTTTAGTCTATGGCTAATAGAAGACAAGGCCTTGTAAAAAATATTTATTTATTTAAAACATTTGTATAGGCAGCCATTTTAAAACAGCTTTGAGCAACTTACAACCAATAAAACAATATAAAAGTAACAGTGATAAAACTAAAAACAAAAAAGGTGCATAGCTTCTGATGCACCCACATTCTCATCCTGATCTTGCTCAATCCCAGCACATAGGAGAAGATCCAGGGATGCTCTCTGGAAGGATAGAAGGGCAGGGGCTTGTTGGTTCTTAATGGGGAGGCCATTCCATAGGGCAGGGGCTGCAATGGAAAAGGTACTTTTCCATAGACCCATAAGATGGCAATGTTTAAGGGAAGGGACACGGAGCATGCCTATCCTATCTGCTCTAATGGGACATACAGATGTCCTCAGAGAGAGATGATCCTGCAGATCACTTGATCTCATGCCATGTGGGACTTTAAAGGTAATAACCAGCATCTTGAATTGCACCTTGAATTTACCTTTGTTTGGTCTCATTCTGGAGTTGTAACCAATGGTTTCCCATTTCCTTTTGCTTTGTAGTCAGTTTGTTACTTATAGTAGATGGATTCCTTTCAATTTGACATAGTTCTGGTTCCAGTGACTAAAAGAAAAACAGGCACTCTACATAGTTAACATGTTTTTCTTTCTGAAGCTGCTCTTAATTTAAACATCTATTCTGTGTCAGGCTTTTCTTTTCATGATATTTCAAAAGGCTTCTCAGAATGAAAAAAGAGAGAGAAAACCAGTTTAATTTGTACTCAGCCACATTTCCAGACAATCTTTATAGCCAAATCAGAGCGAGCAAGCATATACGGTACATCATTTAGTTCAACTGGCCAAATATATAACTTATTAATTAATTAATTAAACAAGACAAAAATCAGGACCAAAAGCTGGCAAAGGTAGGGAGAAAGTAGAAGAAGAGATATGGTAGAAGATCAAAAGGACAGAGGAACTTAACATCAACAATCTGCATATTTCAATTTACAGATCAAAAAATCACAGACATTTTCAGAGTCAATGAAAAGTACATGGAGAATAATTAGCATAGACAGTCTCTTAAGGAATAGCCTTTCATTATTCTGGATTTAACTTTTTTATCTACATCACAGCAGCAGAACAGAGATGGGATAAAATGGGATGAAATAAGATGGTTATCCCCCCTCCCCACACACATTTTGTACCATTAACCAAACAATTTTATGGACTCGGATGTATCCAATATAGATAGATTCTGGTTGAGAGGTTACAGACGTGGAGCATCTGATTAGATAACTTGACAGGAAATTAAACTTGCTGTTCAAGTCACCTGCCTATACTTGCCTAGCCCTGCCCTACCTCAAATTAAAAAGAACAATTGGTGCTTGTTTTTTTTTACTAGTTGGTAGCGCTTGATGGGTTGGGAAAGGAACCAGAGGAATCCACCAATAAGTTTCTTTAATTTGTACCTTATTAAAACTGTATCAGCAACAATGCTCACCAGCTTCATTAATGTGACAAAATAAGGCTTGGCCAACATGCTTTCCCCAGCAAATCACTGGTAGATTGCACTTTTCCCCTGGCTTCCTTATTTTGCCTTCGAGCTCTAAGTTTAGGTGAGATATGGGTTGGATAGTAGGGTTCTTCCTGCCTTGAATGTACTGTTCTTGCTGTTCTTAAGAACAATTGGTTTTGGTGCAGCAGGCTAGCATGGGGCATACTGTAGCATTTAGAATTCTCTGATGGGACCTATTTTTGGAGCAAGCATAAGCATGAGGAAAAAAACATTTTTTAGCCATTCCCCAAAGCCGAATAGAAAGTTTGAATGATGGGGACACCTTGATTTACTAAGTTACCAACCTCTCTATGTTGAAAACCATAGGCACAGTTAAACTGACATTCTTAAGACTCAGTGTGGAAATATTCTGATCATCCAAAAAGGAAATTAATCACACTCATCTTTGAAAGCGAATAACTGTTTTAGGCTGTGATTTAATTTGTTATTTAAAGAAAAAAATTCATTCCACTATTCTATTCTTCAGGTTTCAAACATAAAATCTAGTTGTGGTAGGCTTGTGTTCATATGTTCTGACTCCCTACCGAAAACTTATATTTATATTTTAGAATAAATCAAACTTCTGAAAGCAGCCAAGTCTTGGAATTGAGATTATAGAAATGAGATTACTACACAGTTCTACGTAGTACATATGCACGGCAAATTTCCAGGATTTATGTTCATATTATTTGCAATTGTATTTCAAATATCAGTTATATGTTTTACCTCCATCTTGGACTGAATAATGCCAATTTCTCTCTCTATTTCATCCTGCTTCCGAAGTAGATTTTCTACACTTTCAACATCTTTTCCATAATCCAAGGCTTGTATCAGTGAACTCTGAGGAAGAAAAAAAGATAATAACTCCATTCTTTAGAAAATTACACCTTTGAATATTTTCATCCTTTCGATATTTCTAACTTAAACTTTACATCTTTATATAATGTGAGGATTTAAGAGATATCTATAGAACAAATTTTTAGGCACTGAGTAATCATTTGAAATAAAATAACACAATACTATTATGTCTAGATATAGCATAATATACTAGAGTATATCTCTAGATGGATTGGGGCATCACTGAGATTTGGGTGGCATATAAATTTATTAAATAAATAAATAAATAATAATATACCTTGATAGATGGATAAAACCCCCAAATCCTGTCTAATCATTTGGCTGACTGTACAACCAACCATCGTAATTTTGCCTTTGATGGCTCCAGCTTATCTGCTCCTGAATAAGTAAAATTAGTATTTTGCTAACCTAAAAACTCAATCCCTCCCTATTCTCAAGCTAAATCCATTTTCTATCAAAATTAATCTTTTCATGCATATTTGTTTTTATTTATTTGTTATTCAGGAACTGCTGAATAAAATGGATTCCAATAGCAAAATATGGAAAACCATTTGAGTAATTTTCTTTTTATAGGACTAAAAAATAATGAAGTTATCAAGTTTAATAAAGCTTATACATCTGAAAAAATTATTAGCATTTTCAGAGTATTTTGTAAAAAACTCTTAAAATAAAGAAGAGATGGAGCAAGAACTGTTTGTGTATGATAGTGTTCAGGAATGTTTTTCTGAATTTCTCTTTTCTTTGCACCTCTGACTGTCAAAATTCCCTCTTGATATTTTATTACTATTTGGTTTTCTGAAATTTCATCCACTCTGGATAACTTGTCAAGATTTTTTTTTTCAAAAAATCCTTTAAAAATAATAAAATAAATCACCTTTTCACCAATTCTCTCTGTGATGTCATCAATTTCTCTAATCAAGGCATGGATCTGCAAGGCTTCTTCCAACTTCCTCTTATATGTTTTAAGATCACCATAGAAACTGTTCCACCTGTCATTGAAACATTTAATTTTATTTGAGAAGATCAAATAGATCAAATATGAGATCAGAGCAAAAAAAAGTATATACCGTATATGCCAGCGTACAAGGCGACCCGGCGTATAAGACGACCCCCATCTTTATCGCCGGGACGCATTCCTAGAACGTCATCTTATATGCCGGAAACTACCAGTATTTCCGGCGTATAAGATGACTCGGCGTATAAGACGACCCCCATCTTTGGCACCGATTTTAGCGCTCGCGGAAGTCGCCTTATATGCTGGCATATACGGTATTTGGGTTTATGAATTCCCATAATCAACATAATCCCAACTTTATTTACCTATATGTTTAAGCAAGCACAAACAAAATGACATCAAAAGTGATTAATGTGCAAGACTGGATCTGATTGGATAGCAATAAAAGGGCTCTAAGAGGAGGGGGGAATCACGCCCCCCCCAACAGTAGTGATTTCCATTCTGCTCACCAGTGTTTTCTATCACCAGAGGAATTTTAGTCAATCAAATGTCTTTAATAACAGAGATTTTGTAACCATGTCATTTGCAAAAAGTGATAGAGTATACTGTAGAGTTCAACATCCAAAGGGGGGGGGGGGAAGAGAATGAATGGGAAGTTTGTATGTCATTTGGCACAGATTAGAGATGACAAGAGGCCTTAAAAATGCAAAATAATGAGAAATTTGCATGTCCCTAAGGTGGTGGATTACAGACCATTGTTTGATCACAGACCACAGGCATGGGTTGCAATTTTGAGTATTTTTCCCACATCCTCCCTGAAAAACTAACTGGTAACAATAGCTAGAATAGCTCGCTCTTTCTCTTGGCTTACTCCAGGGAGTCCTCAAGTTATGACCAGCTGAGTTAATTGAAATCATTCTTATTTCACAATTATATTTTTATGTGGGTTGAGTAGCCTGAGGATACATTGACATTTATTCATAACTAGAAGATTACCATTGCCTTAGCAATTTAGGCTTCAATGATGTTTATACCAAAAATTCTTAACAAGTGTTAGGAATGAAATTCAAATAGCTCAGTGTCACTCCCTCTTTACTCCCCCACATCCATTATTCAATGGCAGTTCATTTATACTGGAAGATGATCTATGAAAGAAGATCAGCCGTCTCCATATAAACACCGACACAGGAATGTCAGCATTCCTCTCTGGCTCTGGTCAGATTTGATTGGACTTTTTCCTCTTCTTTTGGATCAGTAGAATTTATCCACACACCTTTCATTCAGCTGTTCTTGGCGTTGGCGTATTATTTTCATCTCTTCCTCATTCTGCCTCTTCAATCGCAGAGCGAGAGCATTGATGTCTCTGATGTGTGCATCATCTACTGTTACCCCCTAGAAGACCAAGGCCAAAGAGGAACCAGATAATAAAGCAAAGTCTTAATTCTCTCCTCCTTTAGATGTTCCTTCTAAGATGCTAAGTCTCAAATCCATGTGTACATGTTAAACCTAACTGTGAGTTCCTATTGGACTGGATATCTGCCTTTCTCAACATTTACTATCGCTCTGGCATCCTGGAAGGAACATTCTCAAAATTGGCACTTTAAACTGCCTCGTCACTATTTTTTTTATAATTGTTGCTGTGAAAAAAGGGTAGAAATGGAAGCAAAACACAATAAAAATGTGAAGACGTTTTCTTCAGAATATAAAATACAGGTAGTCCTCAACTTCTAACAGTTCATTTAGTGACCGTTCAAAGTTACAACGGCACCAAAAAAAGTGACTTATGACTGTTTTTCACACTTATAACTATTGCAGCATCTGCATGGTCACATGATCAAAATCCAGAAATTGGGCAACTGACTCATATTTATGATGGTTGTAGTGTTCCACGATCATGTGATCACTTTTTGCAACCTTCTGACAAGCAAAGTCAGTGGGGGAGTCAAATTCAGTTAACAACTGTGTTACTAACTTAACAACAGCACTGATTCACTTAATAACTGTGGCAAGAAAGGTTATAAAATGGAGCAAAACTCACTTAACAAATGTTTCACTTAGCAATAGAGATTTTGGGCACAATTGTGGTTGTAAGTCAAGGATGTAATGGCGCTACAACTTCTACAAACAAAGTGAAATTTAGTTTTTTCAAAGAGATCACACTTGATTTAGAAATAAATCAATTCTAACATTCCTGACATTATGGAACATAATGATCTATGTCAGTTTTCTAATCAGCCCAAAATCCTCTTGTTGAAATATACTCGGCCACATGACTCTAGACCAATTGCAGTCTCCAAACCAAACCTACCTCAGAGGATTATTATAAGCATTAAATATGAGAAGGCATGCTGTGCATACTATTTTGAAGTCTCTTCTTGGTATAATGTAATTCAGGGAAATAATTAACTCTAGCATTCACATGGTAAATTAGAAGGCCAACAATTTAGAGGATTTAAAAACCCAACAACTCTGATGTCACACTATCTTTCATCAGTCAAATTATCCGGAAACACCAATGTCCTGAAGTGTTATTCATTTAGCTAATAGAAACAATATCACTTACCTCTGACATTCCTCGGAATTCGTTTAATTTTTTCAAAAGCTGAAGGCAATGTTCATAGTCATTCCCCACATCACCAATATTAACCATGACTACCTGGTGAGCAACACAATACCATTAGGAGTCCATTAAAACACAATGAAATCTTCAATGTTTATCTAGTCTTTTTTTTCCACTGGAATTCAAGTCTATTTTGGGTTTGGCTATCTGCCTTCTAAAATGCAATATCAATAGCATACTAAATAACACACTCTGCATTATGAACTGTCTTGATAACAGTACTTGTTATTTGCTTGAAAAGTTAATGCAAGTTGATTCATTGGATGTGTTTTAAAAAGTATGGAGGTAAAATAATCCAGAAATCAGAGCAGAAGTTTGAAGGAATCAATGCAAAATTTTAGTGAATGGATTTAGCAATTCTTTTCTGATGCTTCAATGAATTTTGACTTAAAACAATCCTTACCTTACCTTAAAATTCCAATCACACATCTAATTCTTAAAATGTTGCAACCAGTGGCAGACAAAATGACTGCAAAACGTGCTTGATGAAGAAAAAAAATTCATGATAACATTAAGGTTTCTCTTGAATTTTGAGGAATATTAAATATTTTCTGCCGGTCCTATTTTGTTACCAATTATCTAACATTACAGCCCAATAAATGCCTACTTGCAGTTCATAAAATCATGTAACAGTTTTCTAACACACAAAACAAAACTTTCTAAAATACCCATATAAAATGAATAGCAATTGCTTAACAAAAGAGTCTTAATACATTTTGGAACAAGAAATCCCCCCTCCCCTTGATGGTCACCAAGTTAATTGTGGGAAGATGTAAATTTTGTACTCTTCTGTACATTGCTCATTTTTTAAAAAGTACATTTCTAATAGGAGAGTCACGCATATAGAACACAGTAGCAGCCTCCATGAAATACAGGTTTGATTTATATTCATATATTTGGAAAGAGGAAAACATTTCAGGCATTTTTCAAAATTAAACAAAAATATACATTTTCTTCTACAATTACCATTTTCCAAATGTTCAGCTATAAATGTGTTTTCTAAAGAGAAAGAGTTGTCTACAAATTCACTGACCTTGTCTCTGATCCAAGCCTCTGCATGGTCAACTTTTTGTAGAAATTCAAGAAAATCCCTGCTCTCCTCAAGCATCTTTCCATGAGCAGCAACAGCCTGATCCAACTTTTCCCATTGTTCTTGGAGCAAGGACATCTTTTGGCGGATCTCTTCCGACTGGGGAATATTATGGTGTAGTAGAGCTTCTCCTCTCTTTAAATAGTTAAGAGGGAATAATTAATAAGAAGAAAATTGCAATATCTCTATGCTATTTCTAACACAACTCAGTTCTAAAAGATTGGAAGGCCAGTGGCAAAGGTTAAACACATTGTTTACTTAAGACTAGTTCTGGGATATCTGATCCAGATTTATATCCCGCAGAGATAGATGGATTGACTGATTTGATGTGTAAATTATTCAGGATATGAGAAAGAAGTAGAAAGATTACACTTGTCTAAAGCTGTCTATCTGTCAGAAGGCAGCCAAGGTGATGCGAGCCATCAAAACATTTAAGGCTGAAATTTTCTAACAATTGCAATACAGATCTATCTATCTATCTATCTATCTATCTATCTATCTATCTATCTATCTATCTATCCATCCATCCATCTATCCATCCATCCATCCATGATTTGACCTCATGCTACAGAAGAACCTCACAAGAACCACATAACACAAAACATAAGCTAGCAATACTTGCCATATTAACACTTGCAATTATATCCTTATGAGCCAGAATCTCAGCCTCAAAGACTTGATGCTTCTGAAGAAGCTTCATTTTGTCACATGACTTGCTGAAGTTTTGAAAAGAAGGAGCCTTTATCTTTTGCATGCGTTCAGCAATCCAACTCTCTGCCTGTCACCAAAGGAGCAACATGATTATCACTACATGCAAGACTAAGAGTGGTATATGCAAATCTGATAAGATCAGATTTGCTTTTCGGTTCAAGGGTGCAATTCAACCCAAAGTGTGACCTGGATTTCAAATGTGAAGACATGGTCTATTGCAAAACTGTTTAATCTGTAAATCAGTTTGACATTTCGAAGATGTGATATAATGTAACTGAACTAGCTTTTAAACAAAGCTACAAACAAAAGCTTCACTCAGCCCTTTAATTCTCTACATCACCAAAGTGATCAGACTTAAATTAATGCAGTGTAACTTTTTTGGGTGAGACTTGAGACCCACTATGAAGAACCAAGTGGAAGTTAGTGGTTGCAACATTTCTTCAGATTTTACTGTATTTGGCTTTCCTGAAGTACTGAGTCAGGCCAAGAAATAGTGATAAAACAAAGGCTACCAGCTACCTGATAAAAAAATACTTTGGATTTTTTCCAAATGTACAAGAATAAGATATAATAGTAGTTCTCTAATATAATATGTCCTTTCTCAGCCTTATGCTCTCCAGATGAACTGGTTATATCACTATTATAATTCACAGTCCATATTCATAGCCATAGTGGCTAAAGGTTTGGTTTAGAGGCTAATCTATGCACATCTAAAGGGCACCAGGCTGGGGAAGGCTGCTGTAATGTAAATGTTAAATTAAATGTTAATTTAAATATTGCATTATATTCCATTCATGTTTAAATGTATTTTAGATAGGAATACATGGAATGTGAACACCATGTTCCAAAGCACAGAGCCTCAGAATTATAATAATGTACAATAGCTCTTTTGATTTTTCTTTCTTTAAAAGATGTGAGAAAAATTTAAAAAAAAAACTCAAAAAGAAGTGGGAAAATACAAGAGGGTCAGAAGAGGGTCAGGGGACCACAGGTGTCTTGGTGGTGGGCAAGGGTGGGGGTTAGACTGACAAAAGCAGTGTAGCATGGTCCAAAAGGATGGAGTTTGTGTGGTGATGTCACAATATCGCTTTTGTCATTCTGATGCAAGCATCAAGATCCTATGGATGCCACGGCAGATGACGGTGTCTGATCTTCTTCAGAATTACCTCTTGCTTCCAGATGATACTTTAATTATTTTGCCTCAGTTATTTGCTTAGTAGAATGTTTATTTTGATTACTATATTGCAGGAGGCACCTTTTTACATCCATACACACTACAACAATTACCGTAACCATTAAAGTCAGTCTTCCTTTGCCTTCAATTGACTGCTTGTTCAGCGATCAATCAAAGTTATGACAGTACTGAAAAAAGAGATTTATCATTGTTTCTCAAACTTGGGCTGCCTCAGCATCTCATGGTCATCTGATTACAATTTGTAACCTTCACAACCAGCTTCTAACAAGCAAAGTCAATGGGAAAACAGCAGGAAATCACAGATTTAATCTCAACCACCATGAGTGATTTACGTCACGACTGCAGCTGGAACTGACATCTAAATCGGGTGCAGTCATGTGATATTTCATTATACAATCGCATCATTTAGTGATGGAGTTACTGGTTCCAATTGCAATCAGTAAGTGAGGACTACCTGAGCTGGCAGTCTGAATGGAGAGTGAGACAGCAACCCTTCACTGCCTGCAAAGAGAATGAAAGTTTTTATTTCCCAGACAATGCTTCACTAATACACAACTTATTCTCACCTCAGTTAGACCCTGGTAGAATACAGCCAGCAGGAGTTCTACCTGCAATTTTTCTTGCCTACTTTGAGAAAGGTCTCTGATGCATCTTCTTTTCTTTAACACCACACTGAACCTCTGTTGAATCTGTCTTACTTCCAACTCACTGCCTGGTTGCAATTTTTCCATTTGCTCCTGAAGAGATAGTTCCTAAAAAACCAACACTTAAAATCACAACTACAGTTAACTGATCACAGTTTGCATACATAAAATATTATTTTTTCTATTGGAAGTTCAAAATTGCCCATAACCAAAAACCAGTAACAAGAATATACAGATATGTATTTGTGTGATATGAATGGGTAAAGCTTTCTGAGAACCTCTACTTATCTTGTTGATATTATCTGAAATATTATTTGGGAAATTTTATTTAAGGGTAAATCTTTAAATTCACTGTATATCTTGCTTTTGGTGACATTTGGTGTCAAACTAAGATATTCTTTCTCCCCAAGTGAAATTTCTCAGGTATTTTGCCTGAAGAACTCCCATATTTCTTGAAAATCAGCACTTCAAAGTGTCTTATAGATCAGCTTCTATAAAACAATATCTATTGTTTGAATTGCTTTTGCAAGTTTGTCACAGTATTTGTTTCCCAGTCCACCGAGATGACACATAAGTACCAGGTTTTACCTGGAATGTTCCCATGTCTTTCTTTATATATTATGTATAAAGATTTTACCTTTTCTTCCTGGGAGGCTAGAATCTTCTCGAAAGCCTCATGTTTCTTGATCTGCTGTATCACTTCATCCACACTGCTTCCAAAATCACAGCTTTTCAAATACATCTGTGAAAAATTGGAATCAGTTCTGGCAATATAGTTTTTTTTTTAAAAAAAACACATGGAATTATGGGACCAAATCTGTTGCTTTCTGGAATGAAAGTCAAGAAACATCAGATGATCAAATGATTCTAAGAGATTTTACAAGATGTGTTTCTTACAGAGCTCTGGTCTCTTGTTAGATATTTGGATTAATCAAGAGAAGAGGAATATAGCGTAGTCTGTTTGGAAGTTGGTTTTTTTTCTTTTTCTTTTTGTAAAGTATTATTTTCAAGAATTCCAAATAGAAAACCATATTCAACAGATAACATAAAGATTTTTTAATTTTATTTATTAAATTTATATGCCATCCATCCCTGAAAGAATATAGCTTGAAAATTAGGCAGTAGAATAAATTAGCTATATACATTCCAAATAGTATATAGTCTTAACCTGAGTCCTCTAAATTATCATTTATGTCCTAGCCACTTTGGGTGCAGATTTTTGCAATGAGCACTTCACTGGGCTGCTCCTGAAATTTATGTAGCTGGCCAGAATGTAGTGATGAGCACACCATGATATACCCATGTAACACTACTGCTCAGAAAGTTGCACTGTATGCAATTAGCTTCTGATGATATTCAAGATGCTGGTCACCTCTAAAGGCCCTGGCTATCTGAGGGCTACTTATCTCCAATAGTTTCTGCTTGCCTGAAAAATTGGAGAAGTGGGCACCTATAAGGTCCTTTTGATTAGCAATGTTACCTGATAGGATCCAGGAAGCAAGCTTTCTCTGCCATGGTATCTGCCCTCTGAACAGAATTCCACAAAGCCTAACTTTTTCCCATGACTTAGATTAGGGTGAGTAGCAAGCCTCTTCCGGGACAGCCTGTATTGCTTGAATGTTTTCGTCTATGATGAACATTCTTTTTTATTATTTTGATTTCTATTATTTTTAATATTGTGTGCTTGTGGACTCTGGCGTGATTCCCAAAGACCCATTGCTATACCAACTTTCCCTCTTATACCAAGTTGGGTAATTCCATAAATAAAACAGGTAGATAAATGCATTTTGAAGTGGAACATAGATGAGAACAGAAAGTAAGTATTTTATACTGGTATCTTTTCTTTCAAATGACCACCTTTAATATAGGAAAATTATATTAGCTGTTCCTTTATGTGAATCATTTTATATTACATAGCAAGTGCTCATAACGCAAATAGCTGCAAAACATTTATTACACAGGAAATTGAATACTCTAAATAAAATGCACAATAAATATGAATATATGTGTTACATGGGATTCCATCCATTGTCATGTGAACAGAAGGCTATTCACATAACAGAACCGTGCCTTGTTCTTCTGCTCGTACGCCTTTTAAACTGATTCCACTCAGATTATCATAGTCTCATCTGAGAATGATATCTGAGAAGACAACAGGTCAAGCAGTTTCAAAGAGACTTCTTCACATATTGAGTTACACCCTAATGCAGACTGGAGCCAGGACCTTCTGTCCAGAATTTTGCTCTAGATTCAATGTGTTCCCATTCACCTGTCCCTTTGAAGAGTATCAATGCAAGGGTGACCTTTGGAATGGGGAGGTTTTTTTTTCCAATCCCATTTTAAGCACAACATTTACATATCAAACGGTAACTGCCATTCAAAGCTGTATTACACATGACAATTTGCAGAAACAGAGAGCATAGTGGCACAACTGTGTAAATACGGCAGTGAATTTGAGCAGCCCACCAACGAAAGCAATACTCAGAGTGGCATTTCATATTTAACATTACAGCTTCTGAGGTCATTACTTCAAGTATCTGTCAGCTTATCACAGGCTGAAGAATGGCATGCCCGATGTCCTGTGGTAATAATACACAAGAGTTTTCCATAAAAAAGAATATAAAAGAATCTTTATATAGATAGGAAAGCAGGATTCTGCATTCTTGAACTAAACAATATTTATTTTTGAAATATTCCCCATAAGATTTAAATATTCCACAAAGTAGGGCATGACACGTGAACAATGAGGATTTATCATCCTATTTACATAGCAGTGAAATGCAGTTCATGATTAAGGGTAAATTTTACTGATTATTTTTCTCAAGCAAATCTTATCAAGAAACAATAAAAAATAAGAGAAATCAAGATCTTTCAAGAAAGATCTTTCAAAAGACATTTTTTCTAAAGTGAGCAAAAATGCATATATAGAATAATGACAACTAGAAATATATTTTTTAAATCAGACTGAATTCTCTATTGAAATAATACTATTTTAAGAAATGGCAACTTTTTTTTTCTGTTTCATAGAAATTGTTTAAGACGCCATCTTCCACCAATCTGTTGTCAGAATGGAGCCCAATAGAAGATCTACATTTTATAGATCTGCATAATATACCACAGTGGATTTTTAAATTTGTTCTTCTTATTTTATTTTCCTTCAGCTAAAACTAGTAGTAAAACTTGAAGGGGCTCTAATATCTTGTCCCCAAACCAAATCTATTTTTTCCTAGTGTAAACTAACAAGCTAATAAGGCATTTCTAGAAAAAAAAAGATTTAACATATTTTTGGTTTGAAAATATATGTTTATGTGTATCTATGTACAAAATCTCTCTTTCAATACATTCATGGTTTTTACTAATAAAAATTAGATGACAGTTTACAGAGAGTATATACACATGTACATACAAACACACAGCATTGGGAAATATAGCAAATGTGAGTGTATGTTTATGTGTATCTATGTACACAATCTCTTTCAATACATTCATGGTTTTTACTAATAACAATTAGATGACAGTTTACAGAGAGTATACACACACACCCACACACACACACGTCTATTTTACTAAAGTCACATATTTAGAGCAACTGAAGGCATAACTTGTTTTACTCTAGTCTACTGTATGTGAAAGCTTGAAACAGCAGAATTTAAGCAATAACTAGTAAACAGGCTTCCAATGTCAAGAAGAAACCTCTAGAGTCTTGCAGTTCCTAATCATCCTACTTTAAGAAAACAAAAGTACTTTTGAAGGCTTTACCATTCCCAGAAACCTTTACAACAAATTAACAAAAGAATTGATAATACTGTCAGTTAAAACTAATCTCAGAACAAATTACAGTTGAGAGTACATTTTTCTAAAATGGAATGGAAATCTTCACCACTTTCCTCCCAGTTCCAAAGGATGCAATTTTTACTGAGATAGAGGGACACCATGTATTCTCACCATGTCCATGAGATGATGCCTGCATATTTGTTAAGAAGGCAGCTTGACCTGCATTTGTTGCAGCATCTGGATCCTGAAGATGCTTTGACTCTTGTGAAGGCTGGTATTCAGAACAATAAACAGGGTTTATGGACAATAAGATGCTAGAGCCTTTACAATCTGACTGTAAAGTAGACCCACCCATATCTGAACCTGAAGCTTCGATCAAGACTGAAGGAGTTGGCTGTTTTCTGAATTCTTTTACTACTTTAATAGGAAAGGATGTCCAAGGGGTAGCAAGCATTAAAGATATCTTGGAAATCTTGTGATGAGCAGGAATTATTCCAACACTAGAAGACTTCCCAAATTCTTTGCTAGCTGAGTGATGGTTCTGAAAGACAAGCATATCAGGATCTAATTGTGAATGTGTAACAGTTCTTTTGCCAAGAAGGGTATCTGCTTTAGCTAATGCAGATGGAGTCAACCATATTTCTTTGAAGACTGTCTGTGGAGGAAGAATGGGACACTTAGTGGTGTTGATTACATGAAGTTGTTTAACTTGCTGATCTGCAGCATTTCCAGAAGGGATAACTTGATGACTCTTCTGGGTTCCTCTTGTAAGACCAGGAGATGTAGTTGAATTTTTTTTCAGATGAGGTAATAGAACACTGGAATAAGCTGCTCTGATTGGTTTGATAGCAACACTGCAAGTTGAAATATAGACTTTTACTGAAGCATGGAAATCTGAAAACTGAGAATTGCACTGATTATAGTTCTGCTCCTTTGACTTGGAATTACAAGGTGCAAGAATTTGATACAGATTTTTATTCTGAGACAATGAAGCATCTGGAATGGCACACAGAGAAACATCTAGACGTGATGTCCAGCATGGTAGAACTCTTGAAGCAGCCGATTGGAAAGCTATTGCAGAAGAATGACAAGCATCCAAGTAATTTCCTTTCCAGCCACTTGCACCACTGCAGGAGACAAGCAATGATTGAGCATAAGTGCTGTTGTATCCTTTGCACTGAGTATCTCTCAAAAGTGTAGAACAGGCAGACTTGAAGGTGGAAGAATTAATACAGCTGTTATCTTTCTCTAAACCATTCCTCTTATTTGAATGTGCCAGCACTATATCTAGCCTTGAGCTGTGAACCTCTGAAGACAGGCAGGGAGAAGGCAAGATGGTCTCTGCAGATGATGAATAAGCTGGAAAATACCAAGCTGAGTCTGATATATTTTCTGCTGGTGGCATCGTTTGGAAAGAAGCACCATAAACAGCAGCTCTGGAGATTGGTGATGGAACCACTCGGGCAGAAGACAACATAACTTCCACAGTAGAAATAAAGATGGGTGTGTCTGAAGTCTTCTTAGGAAGATATCTGCATGACATCTTGCAGTTTTAATCCTAGGCTTAGCTTCTGAGCTGTTGCTTAAGACAAATGTTTCATCCTTTTTATGTTGGCTGTAGAGATTTCCATTCTTCCTCTGGTGTGAATAAGTGAAATGTAAAGACGTATTTTTATAATGAAGACATCTGTATTTGATTAAGAACGAGACATAGTGGCACGACTGCTTATTCAGACTGCAAAATATTAGGAGCATGTAGCAAACCGAAAAATGATCAAAATGATGAGGCAGAAGCCAGATGTGTAATCCGAGACCTAATTAACAGTTCTTAGATAAAAAAATTAAGTTATTAACTCACCAGTGCTTCTATAGCCTTGAAAGACAAGAATATTTTCTACTGGTGCTAACAGCAAAAGAGCTGCACTAATGTTCTCTATCCGTCTCTCAATCTGCAAAAGGAATATCTGCACAAGGAATAGCAGCTTCTCTGTCTAACAAAGTCTTAGAAAAATTTCCTACAACTCTTCCAAGTAATGGCATTCCCAGAGTCAGTAATAAAAAAGACAGATATATACTTGCTTAATTTCCTCCATATGCGCTGTTATTTACTTTAGGACAGAGAAATCGTAGACTAAATCTTGCTGAAAACTTCTGAAGCCTTAAGTAATTTGGATGTAACCTAAGCTGCTGGCATAAAATCAAGGACAGACACACTGGCATGAATGGGAAAGCACTCTACTTCAGAACATGACCCAATGCTTTTCTTTCTGTCATATGTCACTGCTGGGATAGCCTTTATATAAATTTAGAGACACAGTTCGGTTCAATCAAGATCCATTGTGATAAAAGATAAATATTCATACACAGTTAACACCATCCAGACACTCCCTTTTCCAAATACAGATGAAAAGGTAATGATGCATTGCCCTCTCAGTTTTAAATTCTTGCTTTCTGCTAATGTTGTGCCACTTAGAAGGGTTAACCTGGCTGCATAAAGCTCCTTGAAAACACCATCTGAAACTTTGGTGTGTGAGACAGGAAAATGTGAGAATTTAGGTGAAAGGCTTTTGATCTCCTTTCCAAAGAACAATAACAAAACAATTTATTAAAAACAAGAATTTGTCCTCTTCAAATATAGAATGAGCTTGCACTATAACCCAGGTGGAAGTGAATTTAAGATTTTCTGAGCTGTGTCATGGATTCAAGAAAAACCTTCTACACCATAACCATGCAAGCAGAAACTGTTATTTCAGCCAGAGACAAATGGTGCTCACACTGTCAGCAGCTAGCAGTCCCTTCATTTCACATAGTAGCTACCAGGGAAGTAATTTTCAATTGGACCATGATATGTGGAAAAGGAATAATGCTTTCCTTCTCATCTGCTACAACAGCTAACTCCTGATGCCTTCCTTTGCAGGTGTTAGCTTAAAAAGCAAATATTTAATGCCACTACATTGAATGTCATTACAATTTGATATTGAGTTGAGCTGATGCTTACTCCTTTGAGGCTGTGCTATTTTCCAAAGCACTAGAAGGCAAGTCAAGAAGCAATGGATGAAAACTAATCAAGGAGAAATGCAACCTAGAACTAAATGCAACCTAGAACTAAAAAGAAGTTTCCTGACAGTGAGTACAATAAAGTAGTAGAATGGGTTGCCTTCAGAAGTTGTGGGTGCTCCATCGCTGGAGGCTTTTAAAAAGAGACTGGGCAGCCAATTAACTGAAATGGTATAAGGTTGGACTAAAAGAACTCCAAGATACCTTCTAACTCTCTTATTCTATTATTCTGTTATTCTGTGATAGTTTTTTTTTTTAGAATCAAGGGATTAATTTCACATCATATATCCTTGCACAGGTGTATAATTGACCATGCTACTAAAAAGTCAGAAACCAAATTTCCTTTTAGGAATTTTGATCAATAAGTTTGGTCAAAAGCAAACTAAGCAGTTTTCTTACTGATATAAGTCTTCTATATATGCAAGTATGTGTAAGATAGAAGGAATAGGTAGAGCATAGGACAAAAGGCAGAGATTAAGTACTTAATAGATTAAAATACACTTTACAATGCATTAAAACATCACTAAAGCATGTGCCAGCACTACCTCTTGGGAGTTTGAAATGTTGTCCAGGTATTCACAGTCTCGGTAAAATATCTGCAAAAGATGGGTCTTCTCTAGCCATTCCTTCTTTTGTGCCCATACCTGGTACACTCTGCGCTTTGCTTCTATCAGAGTTTTTAATACACTTTGGATCTAAAAAAGAAGAAGCCAACTGCTATAAAGCATCAGTTATAATCCATGAAGGGGCAATGATTAATATGTAATTTATACTGCTGTTAATGGAAATATGCTAAGGCTCAGTTTCCAATTATAATTACAGCAATTGCCTGTTTATACATGAGAAAGCTGGTGGGTGTATTTTAATAAAACTCATTTTCCTTTGCTTGGTGCTTATCTCATGAAATCTCTGGATTTAAAAACTTACTCATAACAGGCTAATTTTGTGGAAATGCTGGTGGTCTGAGCTCTGTGCAAAATTACAAAACTGGATCCTGTGTATATACCTCTTCTGTTGCCATTTTCTGTTCCAGTGCGAGCTCTTGTCCCAGCTGTGATACTCGCTCGTAAATCTCATCGCGAGACTCAATCTCTGGCAATAGCTGCTGATGCTGATTAATCTTCAGACCGCTGGTAGATGCATCTCGAATGGTCTCCTCAGCTGCCATTGTTCTTATCATCTCAGATGCCCAGGAAGAATAGTCCCATACCTTAACATTGAGGAAAGGAAATTTAAGATATGGGGTAAGATCTATATCCTTAGATGACAATATAGGTAACAGATGATACTTCTTGTGGCTCGGTTCACACATAGCACTAAAATGTGGTTGGTTATTCATACGTAGGTTCACGCATTGTGTTTTGCCTCACACAAAAATTAAAAAAAACTGTCAAGACTATCTATCGAGTATAGAATACATGTCCTTGGGCATCAAGGCTCAGTTAAGTGGATATATTGCAGCAAAACTATAAAACAGTTACAAAAGAATTTATGTAGCTGCTGTGCATCAAATGCAAGTTCTATTTATAACAATTCATGTTCAAATTTCCTGTAGCTGATATTGTAAACCAACCCAGAGAGTGTTGTAATGCACTATGGAGCAGTATATAAGTCTAAGTCAGGGGTCTTCAAACTTGGCCCTTTTATGTCTTGTGGATTTCAACTACCAGAATTCCTCAGCCAGGCATGCTGCCTGAGGAATTCTGGGAGTTGAAGTCCACAAGTCATAAAAGGGCCAAGTTTGAAGATCCCTGGTCTAAGTGCTATTGCTATAAAAGAAACCCCTCTTGTCATAGGTTTTATGGCCTTTGGCAGAAAGGGTGGTGACAAATAGTAATAGAAGTCCCCCAGCAGCCCCTAGATTCAAGTTGGTTTAGGAAAATAGGGGAGGAGTGGAAAAACAAGTAATGATGTAAGAAGAAACCATACAGGAAGACTATGTGAGTAAACAAAAATGAGACAAATGAAGGAAAGAGTTGAGGAAAGTCAAGTTGAACACTACAAGTTCAGGAAAATCTCATACAGTACAATAAAAAAGAACTGAATGGACTTCAAGTATTTTGAATAACTAACCCTAGAAATTTATTAGATGAAAGAACTTTACAAAGATTGCTGTTGAGACAGATTCTTTATGTTTTTCATAATCATTATGTTGGCAAATATTACATTAAACTTTTAATAGGTCCATATGAAAGATGGATGTCAACCTTCAGCTTCATGAAGGCCTCTTGTTTTCCACAAGACCTAAGCCGGGTTATTCATCTTTAGAATGTTCACTATAAATAATATATTAATGCAGGTACATGATATAACAGTCTGCAGTTAAATGTGTGCAATTGTATGGGCCAGTTGCGGAATATTGATTGATCATTCTAGAAAAAAACTGGCCAACACAACTGGAGAACAGAATAATATAGGATTTTTTTTTTTTAAAAAAAATGTGACAAGGACATTGAAATCCTTACGTAGGTTTGGAAGCGGTATAATCTGTAAGCACGTTCCAGCTGCTCCCTGTTTTGTTCCACTTTACATCGCAAGATTTCCCAATTCTCCACTAAGGCCTGTTGCTTTGCCTTGATCGCCTCCGCCTGCCTCTCAGAGCACAGGCAGAGCACGCCATCTGCAGTATCAATCAAAACATGCAGCTGCAAAAGGAGAGAAAATGAAGTGAATAATTTAACTTTAAAAAAAAAAGTTTAAGAACCCATCCATCAATGACATCTTCCCAAAAGATGGATAACTATACTCCATTCTATACAGAACTTCATAAGCAGCCAGAGTCTTGAATTTCAGTTTTGCAGAGACAAGCAGACCTTTGAAAACTAAATGACTGAAACAGGCTGTCTAGTCTATTTACACTAGCTGGGGATTTGAAACTGGCACAAGATCTGCAGCTGGCTGTATTAAGTAGCCCAGTAGGACAATCTGTCACATCTATATGAGAAATAGTCTGATACAGAGGAGGAGCAGTAGCCAAATCGTTTTCCTTTCTGCAGACATGACTGCCTCACATTTGTCCATCAGCAAATCTGTCAGCCCAAGTGCTGATTTGCCTTCTTCTTACTGCTCAATATGTTCAGCCTGTTTCCCTCTCCTCCTCCAAAAGGAGGCGGAGGAAGAATTGCTGAAGCTAGCATCTCACAAGGTAGCAAAAGCAAATGCTGGACAAATACTGGGAAGGTGAAAGTAAGGACGAGGTTGGGTAGACTGGGATTGCAGCTATGGTGCTTCTTCTCCCTTCCCAAAGGTCTCAGCCTGATACTCCTGGGTGGTAAGGAGATAAAAGAGTTCTAGGTATATTCAAGGCAAGGAATGACTCTACCATCTCATCCATAGCACTTGAAAGAACCCTCTGAGAAGTTCCTGTTTCAACACATGTGCTTTCTTCTTTTAATTTATTTATTACATTTATAAGTCATATTTTATTCATGAACTCAACAATGCAACCTAGCACTCTTACCCCCTAGTTTCCCTTGCAACAACTGCCCTATATTGAGGTAGGGTGGGCTGAAAGAATGTGAATGGCTCAGTGTTATCCAATGAATTTCCATGACTGAGGGTATATAACCTGGCCTCTCCTCCTCCTAGCCCAAGGCATTAATCACCATGGCATCTTGCTGATGATTAGTTTCAGTCCTAATTTATATTTAAAGGATAACATATTCAGAAGACAAGAACCACAGGCAAATTCAAAACAAGACCATTGTATCTGTAAGCTGCCTGGAGTTTCTGTGAGTTCGGCAACCATGTAAATTTTCTTAATACATTTATAGGACTGCAGTATAGCTTACCTGCTGCTCATTCCCAAATAATTCATGCTCAAGAGTTGCTTGCTTATGTAGCTGTGCCTTCACCCCACTCAGATCTTTAGTAGTGGAATCTGGGATGGTCTTCAGTTTGTCCTAAAGACCAAATGTGCTTTCTGTTAATTGCTCTGGTTTGATTTTGTTCTAAGATAGGCAGTATATAAAACTCTTTTCATTTGCATATGCGGGAGTCTATTTGTTAATGAAAAGAATCATAAATTGATCTAAATCTCTCGCCTCCACTGTATAAAACCTTTCCTCCATCTTTGATGCTGGAAAGAAAGAGGTTGAAGAAAAAAATATGTCATGCAGTGGAGTACAATTTAATCCCCTTATTCATTTGAACCAAATTTCCACATATCTATATGTATATATGAGAAAAATATGGGAATTAAACTTTGGACAACTGTTTTTATTGTGCTTCTATATCTTTCTGATTTAAAAATGTTATGGCAAATGTAAATGTCTATGGAGATTTTCAGTCATCCCAGTCATGGTTGTCCCAAAGGTCCTTTTTCAAGAAGCAATTGGACTTTCTTGTTTTTCTTTGAAGATGTTTCGCTTCTCATCCAAGAAGCTGAAGAAACATTTTCAAAGAAAAACAAGAAAGTCCAGTTGCCTCTTGAAAAAGCACCTTTGTGACAAATGTAAACTTTCATAGTACTATAGTTTTACATTTATTGTTAGCCATTGGTGTGGAAAGGCTAGGTAAACAATAGAAATGAATGGTTGTTCTTTCATATCTAATCTGAGCCTCAAAAAGACACATGTTTGGAAACAAAACTGTTTTCTTTCACCTCAATGTGGCTGAGAGCTTCCGTCAAGTCCTGTAGGCACTTGTAAATTGCTTCAGCATCTTGTAACTGTTTGCCTTTGTAGTTTGTCATCTCCAGCAGCTCCTGCCAGTTGTTCCTAAAGCGGGAAAAAAGAGAGAGGTAGGAGGCAGTATCCAGAAGCAAGTTAGAAGTAGACAATCCTGAAAGAATGTGTCAGTCAGTGATTAGTTGTCAATCAGCTATGCCAGTGGTGGCGAACCTATGGCACGCGTGCCGGAGCCCTCTCTGTTGGCACACACACCACTGCCGCCAGCAGCAGGTCCATCAGGCTGCCACTGCCGCCCGGAGCAGGAGCCCCGCCCACCACAAAGGAGGCAAAGCGGCTGAGTAGCAAGCTTGAGTAGAGGTGGTAGAGCAGATTGATAGACTGGAAGAAAAGGGAGGGGGAAGCATTTTACATGCGTGCATGTGCGCATGGGGCCACGAGCACACATGTGCTGCAAATGGGGCGGGGCTAGTGCCTGCATGATATTCACTAGCCCTGCCCCATTCTTGCGTGGTGCAGCGCCTTGTATCTGCACTCTGCATTGGTGCAGCGGCCATTTTTGCACCTTGCAGCACAGTGGCCCATTTTTGCACCCCTGGGTTTTGTGTGTCAGAAGCAGCACTCAGAGGCGCCTCCCTGCCCTTCCTGAGGGCACCACAATGCTGATGCGGCCCTGGCACTTTGTGATAAATAAGTGGGTTTTGGGTTGTGGTTTGGGCACTCGGTCTCTAAAAGGTTCACCATCACTGAGCTATGCCAATTTCTGATGGTGTTTTTCTGCAACAGAAGTTAAAAAATACACAGTGGTGTCAGCCTATAAATCTATTTACCTTCCTCTTGCAAGAAATCTATCCATATTTCTTCAGTTAAGATTTAAAACAAGTTAAGAAATGTGTACAATTTTACTGTAGTACTGAATTAATTAACAAAAGTATATATGTGTGCATACAAGAATGGAGGAGGAGGAGGAGGAGGAGGAGGAGGAGGAGGTGATGGTTCTGGCAATGGCCAACCATCCTTCCTATCTATCTATCTATCTATCTATCTATCTATCTATCTATCTATCTATCTATCTATCTATCTATTCCTCCATCTCTGAAAGGTTTTCAGATAGATAAAATTATATAAACAAATCAACACCTCAAACTAATAAGAAATATAAGAGCATATAAAAAGTCATCAAATGCATGCATTTTATATATTATATTGCTTGAAAGTCTCCTTTTCTCTTGGTTGAGAATAAATAATGAATTTAAATATTGACATAACAATCCTTCCACTTCTGTAAAATTCTGAATAGTTTAAGAAAGACTTAGGTCTTGCAACAAACTAGACATGCCACCCAAATGTTCTTCATGGAATATTTTCCCCCCATGTGGCTCTTTTACAGCTTTCCTGATCTTTGTCTTGAAAAAGAAAAGATCAGGCTGAAAAAAATAATGGAAAAAGACAAGAATGCCTTCTTACCTCAACTGTTTCTGCTTGTTCCGAATCTCCCTGGATTCAAAATGGCCATGATCCAACATTTTCTGCGCTAACTGATCACACGCTGCAACTCTCTGGGCAACAATTTCCATTTGATGCTGAGATTTATCATATTTGACACAAAGAACCTATAAAAAAACAAATAGAAGGAAAAATTGAAGTGATGAATAGTTTTGAATAACTTTTCCAACTTAGCCCTTTTGATTTTTTTCCTGTATGATCCCAGTATGAATTTATTTCAAAGTACAGTGTCTACCAAGTCTGAAATTCCAAACATCTTTGTTCTATATTTTGTTCTAGAAGGATAATTCTAGAGCAATTTGAAAATCTTTAATATCTTTCTCGTTCAAACAATAATAAGTATTACACAGGGAGTCTATTCACAACATTCACTTAATTTCACAGGAACTAAAATTTTGCTCAAATTTTGCCCCCTATAGGGGACCTCTTCTCTCCAAATAATTGTGTCAAAATGCCAAAGTCTCCAGGAGAAACCAAATTAGCTGAGATGATTGGTTAAACATTAATTAGACTGATGTGCGTATTTTTTGATGCAGTTTTAGGACATTAGAAGATTTTTTTTTTTTTGCATCGGTTTTGAATACTGCTCATTGACTTTTATAATCTGGTAGTACAATACTTACGTTTGAGCAGTGGCTTGGTCTCAATTGCTTGAAAATCTCTTCCAATTCTATGATGCTAATTATAAATGAAAACTAATCATGAAAAATCTATTTTTTAAAATCATCTCAAGTGTAAAAACAAAAAAGGAAAGCAAAAAAAAAAAATGACCCCTCAACCTCAGTCAAATCATGCACCATATGAATAGTGCTCTGGAGGGGGGATTATTTATTTGGAGCTTTAAACTTTAGCCTATAATCCAAGGATATTCAGGTACTATTCCCATTGATTATCATATATATATTTATTTCAAATAAGATTATTCTTTTGATTTTTTTTGTGCAATCTCCTTGATCAGAAAAATAATATTTTCGTCATTATTCTGTTGACATTATACTAATTATTTGAAACAATGAATAATCATGAATAGATTAGCCTTTATACAAGCATCTAAATTTGATAAATATTTCTTGTCTTCAAAAGCTCTCTAAAATAATTATTAAACAATGCATTAAAATGCCTGAAAAGATGAGTCAAATTCTGGTGACTTCATAGATAAATTCACACAGTATCCTTGACAGCAACACAGAAATAATTGAACTTTGCCTTCTTCTGAGATACTATTTCAACTTTTTAATCCACCCTATAACCCTGATGTTTCCAGGTCTCCTATCCAAGTATTAGCTAGACTCAATCAGCTTACCTTCTGAGCCCAGATGTAGGGATAAGAGACAGGCGAAAGTTGCGAGCAGAAAACTGCCCTACCAACGCTTGTGCCTTTGTTATGCATCTTACGTGACGCAGGTCTCTGTGACCTTGCCAAGTTGATAAGGCTAAATTGGTGAACAACAAGTTTTCCTGTTTATGGCCTCTAACTTTTTACTCTTGAGGATTGGTAAAGGATTTTAGCCAATGAAATGCTGTTGCCATGCTGTATCTATTGCTATTTGAAAAACTCTATAAAAACAATAAATGGCTACGTTCGGGTGGCCATTTCTTTGCACCCTTCAATGACTAAGGAGTGATTACTACACCCAGACAAGGTTGGCCAGAGGCTATTCTCAGCTGAAAGTAATTGCCTTCACCAACACCTTAACTCACAACTCAGTAGATTACTCCATCCCAAAAGAACATGTTCTTTTTTTCTGTATATGTACAAACCAGTTTTGCAAAAATCATGTATGAAGCCACTCTTTCTGAACAGTCATGTTATACTGTATATTTTATACCATTGCAACTATTCTGGAAATCTTTTTAACTATTAGCATTATTACTTACAAGAACATGGTCATAATCAGCTCCATAGTCTTCAGAACTGGCTACCTGCTTCTGCTCATTGATCCAGCCCTCAAGATCTTCACATTCTCTCAGGAAATCATGTAGTTCAAGTGTCTCCTCCAACCTTTTACCCCTAATTTGAAGTTAAAATAGACGAAACAAAGGCAACAGAAATGTACGTAAGAGGTTTTGAGACAACCATTCTGTAGAAATTACACATTCTATATCATTTTGAAGCTTAAGGCTAATGATTATAACTGAAAGGACAAGAATAGAGGAGCCTTGTGAGTGCAGCATTAGGCTAAGGACATCTGAGTTAGTGTACTTTGCCTTCCTCAACTTTCCTCCTTAAAAAAAGTCAAACTTATTCCACTAAGGGGAAAAAACGATAGGAAGAATGCTACAAAAATATGAGAGGATTATAAGGCTGCCCTTCTTGTTGATGTGACTCTGAATGGGCTACAACACCAATAAGAACAATATTAACAAAAATGTGTCATCATTAAATAAGAGTGAAGAGGTTGTGCATCAGTTCAACAATAAATTTTCCTCTTAAAACAGCCATAAAAAGAAATTCCTCTGATATAGATGGATGTTGCATATGTGAAATCAGTTGTGGCATAATCCCACGAGTAAGCACAGTTTCCTGCTTCCCTGTCTTCTTATGAATTGTCTACTTTTTTTAAGCCAAGGTCATTTCCATGAAGAGGACAAACACTTGCACCTTGTTGTTTATGAAACAAAACATATGATTAGTAGATGATGATCAACTTTCCTTCATGACAGCATAGACCCATTTTTTTTTTTTTTTGCCTCTGCAGCCTTGAGGTCTGATTGTGTCCTACTGAATTATTAGGATTGAGCTCTCTGGCAAAGCAATATAAAACCAACAGACACAAAAATTTAGAAGGCTCCCAGTGATTTTTACATTGTATGATTGAAACTCACTTCCTGATGAAAAGAAAAAAAGAAAAGAAAAGAAAGCTAACAAGAAAATATATAACTGGATCACACAGTCTTTTTTTCCTCCCTTACCTTGCTTTGGCCAATGTTTGTAATTCTTGAAGCTTTATGTGGACCTGCCTTTGAGGCATATCAACTTCATCATAGTGGATGGAGTCTGAAAGTGGTAGAGTTTTGGCAGTTTCCTCTAGTTCCATGACTAAGTTCTGATAAATGTCAATTTCATGTTCTAGAGCCTGACCCAAAATAAGTACCAGTTGAAGAGAAAACGTAGAATATTCAACATTGACAAAAAACAATCCAGTTTTAGTTAATGTGCAAAAGTGATTCAGGAACCCCAAATTAGCAGACAATGTCAGATCTAACTGAAGCCATATTCAATACATATACAACAAGCTAGAAGCTACCTACATGAGTTTTCCAAGTAGTTTGTTCGAAGCCGTTGTAAAAACAGATTAAGTACATAAATAATGTACTGGGGGGGGGGAAGCATAAACTATATGGAAGTAGAAGCAAGTTATTTACATAGGATTTCCTGAGAAAGAAGTGAGTTTGTGATAACTCTGTACAAAGTTAAAGACAAATGAGTTGTTTTTCAAATTCAATTACTGTTTGAGAACTGTAGATCCTAATAATGTACATATGAAGGTGATGCCTCTAACTGACTTGATAAAAATGCATGTTTTCTCGCAAAATTTATCATCTGTGAGAGAACACTCTGATCATAGTCTCAATAAAGCAACTGTATTCTTTAGTTGTTAGTTTGCAGTTGCTTGGGAATTCAGCAATATTTTTCTACAGTGAGACTGAAATACCATACTAGGTTTATTTCAGGACTGTACAGAACTATCTATAATAGGTTGAACATATTTAAGAGGGGAAAAACCTGTCTAGAGCCTTGTAGGGTATATGTGGAAATTATTCATCAATAGATTAGTGTTATTATTGCCTGTCCATGTCCTTTGATGTGTTGCTGCTGTTCACAACAATTAAAAATACATAGATGATGTGAATAACCAGGAAGTTGAAATAAACTTGAAGATGGCTAAATATATTATTTCTTTGAACTTTGAACTTTGAACAAGGTGTTTGGTAGTCCATGGTGGAAAATATTCAAGGCTGAATTATTGAGTTATTGGTGTTCTCTAAGCTTGCTTCTTTTCTAGAAGGAGTTTCCTTAGTAGGTTAAATAACATCATCAGTTCATGGGGGAATATAATTTTCTGACTGTTTATATATAGTATGGTAATTTCTCCTATTAATACCCTTGATTGGGGTATAGTTTCTTCTTAAATGCTTTTTGGGTGGGGCATTTTTTCTTCTTTCTTGTTCTTGTTTATCTGGTGGTTCTCAATTATCTAATATTGGTTAATAGATATGTGAGTGTTTGACCTTCAATTACTTCTTTTCTTGAATGGTTTATAGACTAAGCTTATCTTAATATATCTGTTAATGGCTGACTCATCAGAGTACTATGTCTTCAGGAATTCTCTTTCACTTTTGGATTTACTTGTTCTCCCGACCTCATGCACTGATGATATTTCTTAATTTGGAAATGAAACGTCTGCAGGAACAGAAACAGACTCAGAGACCACCAAGAGCCCAATGTGTATTGATAATGTTGACTGGTTTATCAACAGGAATTTTACAGGGCCCTTACAGCAAGATACCTCTTAAGCCAAGAAAAAAAAAGGGCGGCAGCAGTGGTGGACCAGATATCATTTTAAAAAATACTTCATGTAGAGTTAATATTACTGTCTGAATACAATATAGTTCAAAGGGAATATGAATTTCCCATACTAATTAAAAACCAACATTTTAAGTTTAGTCTCCACATTGTATAGGTATCCTTAAGGCTAGGAATGCAACTATTCAACATCTCAGTAATCCTGCATTGTTCATAGTTTGTAGATAGGTTACCTTATGTTTTGTTATATGGTTAAGAGTTGAGGCTTCATCATTACCACAATCTTTGTTGGTGACCAGTGAAAGCTTCTCTGCCACCCAATTCTCCAGGTCCCCAGTATCCATTAAGAACTTTAAAAATGAAAAGTAGGGTGATATTAAGTAAACACAAGAGGCACTAACTTTCACAGATTAGTTCTATAAAAAAGTGTTTTTGTACTCTCAATATTAAATGAAAAGACTGCTAAAAGAATGACATACATTAATTACATACAAAGTCAGAGATAAAACTTTCAGTGTAAGGCAAAATACTTGGCCACTCCTGCAAGAGACAATGCCAAAGAACTTATAAAGCTGAAACTACTGTGAGAAGACATACTCAAAATAAGAACAAATGAGCAAGGTCAGAAAGGAGCCCTTCCTTTTTCAAAAAGAAAAAGGTAAGATATATATCCCTGTTTGCCTTTGTAAGAGCTGAAGCAAGTGTACCGGAAGAAATCAACTCAGGCGAAAAAAAAAATGTCATATAAAGACAAGGCAGCTATCCCTTATTTTGAAGGATGGGAAAAATATGGCCCAAAGTCTTTTAATTCAAAAGGGAAGGAGAAAAAGAATTTAGGATGTATTTATTTACCACCCTTCTTGTATCCAATGACTCTGGGTGGCTTACAACATTAAATATATATATATACCTGATAGTAAACAACTGACTGCTGCAGTTGCTTTATTTTTTTATCACATGCTTCTTCCAGTTCTGTCCAGTTTTTGCTCAGTTCCTGGCACTTTTCTTTGATTCTCCTAGAAGGCTTGCACATATCTTCTGCCACAGCATTCCCCTTTTCTAGAACCCTGGAGATTTGCTGTTTGTGGGCTTTCACTTCAATCTGTAATTCCTAGGAGAAAAACAGGCAGAAAGGTGATGGAAAAGTGAGAGACAGGACAAATAGCCAAAAGAAGCAATCCAAGAGAAACTTGGAGTCTATGTGCTATTTTTCAAAGCCTAAAGTTTACGGAGTTATTTTTTTGGACTCAAATGTTAAAAAAAATTACCTTCTCCTAGTGTATGTTCTTATGTCTTACATCCAGAGATATAAGATCTCTGAACCAGAAGAGAAAAAAAATGGATTCCTGAAACTCTTGTTTTCATTCTGAAGGGAAAGTTTACTAAATGTATCTATTGTCTCTAATATTTCTTTGATGGCAGTTACAATTGCAGGAACAGTATTGATGACCTGGCCATCACAGTTCTGCCAAAGATATCTGCATACAGAAATGATAAAGAAATTGATCAGAAACTTCCCCAGGAAGATAATGGGAATTCTTTTTGAAATGTTGCCTAAGGTTCTCAACAAGGAATTTCCACTTCCATGTATAAAATAAATTATAGATATTGACAATTTATCTGATTGCTTTTGATAAAACCTATGCGACATTGGGAAATGTTTGGTTTCGAACTGCTGATCAATAATTTATTTGGATAAAATCCAATGGTATAAGCAGTTCTAGCTGTGTTTTAAACTGTTTCCTGATATGGAAGCACCATATTGCTGCTGCCATGGCTGGCGAGGAGTTGGCTTTTTATGTTGTGATTTTTTTAATGAGGTAAGCTGTCTGGAATCATCTCTTATGTGTCAACTGGGTAGCTATATAAATTTGTATAATAACAAACTAAATAATATTGGTATACGTGATTAATTCTTATTATAGATGCTGCTGAAATTAAAGGCATTTGATAATGAAGTGAAAGATATTGATGACTGCTTATTCTTGTTTTTAAAAATTCCATATGTTTATAATTTATCATTTCAGATTCTTTTCTTCTTTTATTTCCTTTACTGTAAATACCTTGGAAGTCTATTGTCTAAGGCAGCTTCTTCTGTGATTGATATTTTACTATATGGGAATTTTATGTGTTCTTTTAACCATGATAGACATTTGGCATCATAATTTAAGGTTAGGAAATGCAATCTTTATAAATATTGCAAAATTTTAAATCTTATTCATGGCTTTTCCCCACTCCATAGAAATTTGTTTATCATTTTTTGCCAATTCTGCAAGGTTTTCAAAAACTTAAATTGATGCTGTTTGAAATAAAAAGCTAATATTGTGTAGTACATTCATTTTTACTGCTGCCTAGAAAATTTCAGGTTTTACCACTTTTCAAGATATTTAAATTTGCTTTTCCATTTTTAATAATAGTTTAATTACTCACCTAATGGAACAAAAACAAAAAATTAAAAATGTTCTACTAATCACCAGTGCTAAGTTTGAATACATACAGTATTTCATTTTATGCATATCGCTGAGTTAAGGTGTTTTGCACAATTTTTCAAAGACAAAAGCAAAACCAAAACCAATTGTTTATGTAATTGTAAAAATATCTTGGCACGGCAAGACCACCCAAACTGACTAGGAAGAATTAGTTCATTTTTAATTACAGGTATATAATTTTCATGATTTAAACCTAATTCATGATAGTGATAATGTTTTAAAACTGGTCCCCAGCAACATTTTAAAAGGACCCAGTTTGGTCTACTGGAAATCAGGAGACTGTGAATTCTAGTCCTACCTTAAGCATGAAAGACTGGGTGACTTTGGGCCAGTCACTATCTCTCAGCCCAACTCATCTCATGGAGTTGTTGTGGCGAGAATAGGAGGAAGAAGGAAGGATTAAGCAACTCAAGGTTGCTTTGAGTTAGTTATTAAGTAATAAAGGCAAGATACCAAACAAACAAATAAATAAAAAAATAAATAAAATCCATGAATATTTCAATGCCAAGCTCGTGGCTCATTTGAACTAAGTTTCTCTATGGCTCTTGACCACCTTGCAGGTTTCAATCAAAATAGTAAGCTTATAGAAAGTAAGCAAAGCTGAGGCATCTCGAGTGAGTACATGCCTTGTTTTGTTTTTAGAATTGTATCTAATGTAGGACTGATATTTGGGTAGGCTAAATCCTTGCTGCTGGTAAGTTTTCCATCTGACTGGAGAATGAGCTGCTAATCCAAATCTAAAAAGTGAAATGCTTTTGAAAGCCCCCAGTCCGACTTTCAGAAGAACCATCATAATTGAAGACTTACCCTCTGCTTCTGTAGCAAGCTTTGAGCCCCATTTAAAGATTTTCCTTGGATTGTGGAATTGGCAATAGACATTCGCTCATTAATCCATTTCATTTCCATGTCGTGGTAATGGTAGAACTGAAACAGCTCCACACTTGCCTCCAATAGATGCCCCCTCTCCGCAAGAGGTTTTTGGAGGGAATCAAATCTGTAAATTAGATGTTTAAAAAAGGCTGTTCAAATCTGTATATTTAAAAAGAATCATTAGGGTTCCTCACTGACTAAACATTTCTAATTGATTGGCCCTATTGGTACTAATGCCATTACTACTATTAGTAAAGTAATAATGTTAAACAAGAAGAGAAAGCAGCAAGGACATTTATATAAAAATAGGAGCACTTTCCAAAACTATTTTACATTATAATTATCCAATCTATGGTATACGTGGCAATTTTAATTTGAATGTATTGTTTTTGTGTAATTTGCTATATTTCCTTATGGAGTGCTTTCCAGAAAAATAAAATAAATAAATAAACAAACTTTGGGAGTGACTGCAAACAGCATTTTTTGGGTTATTTATTTATTTACTTATTGGTCTCAAAGGACAGAAAAATGCCACCTAATAAGGTCACCTGATAGGTGATTATTTGACGAGGATGTGCACAGAAAGTTTAAAGGTATACATTAAGTGTGCTAAACCAAACAAACTTGATGTACCTATTTCACACTTTTTTCTTGCTTTAAATGAGGCAAGTCAAATTAAGTTTTTTACTGAAATTCAGCCAGGCAAGCTGAGAATCGTACATGTAGGAATTTGGTGGCCATATAAATTTGCTTAATAAATAAATAAATGTTCTGGGGACTATCCCCCCCCCCAAAAAGCTCGGAGGCTGCCTGAAGACCAAGGGCCACAGATTGTCTCTTTTCTCTTAGCAAATATTTAACTTTAATGTTTAAATATTTAATTAATTAATTGAATATTTAATATTTAAAATATTTTATGGCTACAAAAAAACCCTGTGAGGCCGATTAAGGTGAAAATATATCTTGTTATGCTTCCACAGAAGAATGGAAGAATGACTTGCCTCATTGACTTTTCTGACAGCCAACCTCAGTATTCAGTCACTGTAGCATGCTAGTAGTTTTTTCTGCTCCCTTCCTTGTACAGTAATTTGCTCTAGTTGAAAAGCAGCCTTTAGTTTTCTGATCCCTGAAAGAAGAGTAGCTTACCTTTCCAGATAACTCTGGGTCTCATCAAGAATCCTCTCTCTATTGAAGTGATGAGTAGCTACACTCTTGGCGTGAGACACAATGGAATTCATTTTCTCAGCCAGTCCCTGCATTTCGTTTTCTAGCTGTCTATGCTCCTTGAGTAAATTGCGACTGGAACGCAAATTATGACCCAATTCTGCATTTCGAAGCATCCTCTCTATCTTCTCTATCTTTTCGTCAGCATCCTAAGGAAGAAAATGTAGAGATCAGATACAAATACAGGTAGTGCTCGCTGTATTTTGCCCACTTCAGAAAACTTCTGTCTTTTTGCTTTCAGATTGGACATCTACTTCTGTATTTGGTCTTGCTAAATTTTGTGGGGCTTACATGTAATATCTGGCTACAGGGGAACCTAAGGGAAATTAAAAGTTGCTCTTCAATTTATGTAATGTCCTATGGCCTTTATATACTGTCTTAGATATTTTAGTATTTGTGGGGTATTTTAAATTTAACTGTAATAAATATTTCCTTCATGCATTGCTCCTAACCTCAAGAAGCTCCATCAGTTGTTCCTGCTGGCCAGCCTGCCTCAGTTTATCTCCACATTCTATCATCTTGCTGTAGAGCTTCTCCCATTTCTTCTTTATTTCTGACATTTTGTCCTGAATGGAATCTGCAGCATAGTGGTCATTTTGTATTAGTTGATTTCCAGTCTAGAGGAATGCAATACATTTAGTCAAAAACATTTATCTTGATAACCAAAAAAATATAGTGGTTATTTCTATCTGCTGGTCTTTATTCAGAGAAAGTGCATGTATAGTGTAAACCTTCATCCCTCACACCAATTGTTGATCATCAGTTATCAATAACAATAATATTACAACTATACATTTTGAGTGAAGACACACTGTTCTACTTCCTAGGAGGTGCATTATGAGCAATAGCATGCTGACTTGGAAAGTAGTCTCTGAATTAGAGATGCTAGCATGCATCAGAATACTAAATCCATGCCTGGGGTAAAATTGACTTTGATTGCACTTATGGCATTTTAGCCAAAATGTGCTCAAACTGACCAGGGTTGTCTTTCTTGTTAGTACAGAACATGTTTGTAACATGGATATGATTAATACTGGTAATCTAGTTCAGGGCTTTTCAACCTTTTCATCCATTGTACCACTTTTAGGATATGGCAATATCCGAGTACCACCAGTTGCCTAGCAAGATGTCAAAAACTTGATGACCCCCCCCAAAAAAGGGAAAAAAGTGATGAAGTATAGGTAGTCCTTGACTTACAACAGTTCGCTTAGTGATTGTTCGAAGTTACAATGGCACTGAAAAAAGTGCCCCCAAGCCACAGCCGAGCAAGACACCTGCCTGCCCACTTGGCAGCGCTCTTCCTCCTGTCCTAGGTTTTCATTGTTGTGAGCATTTCTGTTGAGGATTGGCAGTGGGGGTGGGGTGGGGGATGTTTGATTTTTATTCCTCCTGTCTGCTGGGTGGTTGCAGCAGGTTTTGGTCACTTCACATGACCCTGGGACACTGTGACCGTCATAAATATGAATCAGTTGCCAAGCATCTGAATGTAAATCACAAGACCCTGGAGATGCTGCAACATTTCAGCTGATTGGCGCTTCTCCTGGGCTCAGCAGAAGCACCAGGATCAGCGCCGAGCTCCAGCTGGAGCCTGGTGCTGATCCTGGTCCTTCCACTGAGCCCTGATGGCAGTTCCAGCCATCTCTCATTTAGGCTTGTGCGGTGCTGCCACCGGTTCAGCTCATTCCCCTCCCCCGCTACCACTTTTCTAGGATGGTCGCGTACCACCTGCCAGGTGCCAATGTACCACAGGTGATACCTGTACCACTGGTTGAAAAACCTTGATCTAGTTGATACCTTTTCTACTTTATTAAAATGAGCTACTGTATGTGAAAGGTATGATGAGTAGAAGAAATCAGTTGCAGTAATCTGGTAATGATTGATCTGAATGAAATCCTGCAAGTGGATTTGATGAATGTGCGCAAGAAAAGTGAAGGTGTAGATTCTAAGATCAGAAGTTATAAAATGGTGTAATCTAGGTTGTTCTGGATAGTTTGTTTGTTTCATAGATTGCTGATAGCTCTATATGTTATGTTTCAGTGATATTAAAGAACTAGACATGAAAAATTAAAATACTGTTGTTGTTTTTTGCTCCAGAGAAATTCTTCAAACATTCATTCACTTGCATTATCAAGATGTGCACTCATATGTTGATACATCCAACTTGAAAGCACCTAAATTATGAAGCTTCTAAACTGACCATGCAGTCTTAACCTGAATATTAGAAATCTGATTCTCATTTTAATTTTCTTTAAAAAAAATTAAACACAGGTTTTGCAGGAACTTTAGAGAAAATCATCACTAGTGATTTATAGAATCAACCTGCTATTGCTGTGTAATATGAAGTCTTCTATAATATTATTAATGTGATGGTTTGCATGATGCTACAAACTGCTAGTATGGAAGTCTTCCAAGATTCAACACTGTGTTTTGGGTACATGGACATAAGCTTATTTTTTTTATTAGTTGTATCATAGCAATTTGCATAGAATCTCTGTATGCAATTTTGTAATTCTCTCATTAGCCAAAGATTAACAAATTATTGGCCCTTCTACTAGTCATCTTTCTACCTGCATGAGACCACCTTACCGTCATCAGCCCCATAAAATGCTTCTTATTGGCCATCATTTCTTGTTCCGCAGCCTCATGCCTTTTCAGCTTCCGTAAGATATTTGTTGGGTCACGATAAGACTCATCTGATGCTATCTTGTATTTTTCTTCCATCCATACCAAGAGCTCGGCAGTGTCACGAATGAACTCCTGCAATCGTATATATTAGATTTTGAGAACTTTAGTGGACAATACAGTATACCGTGTCTTACATTTAGCATATTAAAGACACCTAAGACTGTCCTAAGACAGTCTGTATATGTAGACTGTCTATTACCATGTCAAGCTAAGCCAGTGCTTCTCAATTATTTTCTGTCATGCCCCCCTAGGAAGAAGAAAACATTTCGCGCCCCCTCCGCGCGACTGTAAATAGTATCATTTCCGGGTCTAAAAGTCACACGGGCAGGTTTGGCCAATCAGGATAGAGCATCATGTCTATCCAATCGGCTGCTACTGGGGCTGCGCTGGGACAATCAATGCCGTGTGGGTCAAACGAGCCCCCCTTTACGGAGCCTCGTGCCCCCCCTGGGGGGCCCGCCCCACTATTTGAGAAGCACTGAGCTAAGCCAAGACCAAACAAACCATAATATAACTTAGCTGACAGGAATGCACAACTTTTCTGAGCTGAGGGCCACACTTGGCCTTTCAGTGGCATGCTATGAGTCATTCTCCATAAAATAAAGGGCGAGAAAGAAACAAAATTACTTTTACATTTCCTTTAAATTAAATATAGTTCTTATATTTAATCATTTTTCATTCTGCCAGGGGTTTAAGTATACATGTATTTTATAATTTACTAACAAAATTCAGAATCTGGAGGCTACATGTGATCCTGGGGGTCACTGGTTTTATATACTTCTGATTTAATATGACATGTAACACCACAGTCAGATTTACTGTAGATGAAGTATGATGAGTTGGAAAATGCATAGTTCAGAGTGATAAATTCAAACTTTCTATAGTCTGCAACACATCAATATTCTGACCTGTAGTAGAAGAGAATCTAATAGCCTCCTTTTTCTCTGCTCATATTTATTTATGATCAATTTCCATCTTTCACATAAGGTAACCATTGTTTTCTTAATCCTACAGAAGAAGTAACAGATCCTTCAGTTTCTTGAAAAAACATTCTGGAGGAGTGGGAGGGAACAGAAAGAGAAATAGGAAAATAGCTATCATGACTTCTATAAATAGAATTACAGGTGTTGAGACTAAATACACAGTGTCTCAACTCCCATAATTCTGGTGACCCAGGTACATTATTATCAATTTTACATTTAGTACAGCAAATACACTTGATTTTTCTGGTTAAAAGAAAAAAAGTTACTGTTATACAAATTCCTTTTATGAACTTAATGGCATATTTCAAATTCAAGAATGATTATCATTGTTTTTAATTTCATAAATTTTCTATCAAACTAATTCATCATAATGATTCTGAATCTTGTTGGTGCTATATCTGAAATATCTTGTTGGGCTTTATCTGAAATAAATGATACTTAACAATAAGCAGATGGAGTTACAGAACTCACACTGTCAAGATGCAAAGTTTTCTTTGTGTGGCTAAGGGAAACTGAGGCACAGTGAATCTAAATAGTGTGCTTTATGCTGTTCAATGGACTCATTTCAGATAACAGGTCTCTTCATGTTTGCGCCAGCCATTAAAATTAATACAATGCAAAAATTTGGGTTCCCATAAGCTGTTTCTTCCCCTACTGTAAAAGCTTCTGTTTTTTTTTTCTTTATGTGTAGGCTGCTTAGAATTTCTTAATGTGTTGTATTTATTGGTATCTCGTGGCAGCAATTGTTTTTTCTGGTATCATTGTCTTTATCACTTTTTAGGCTCTCTGATGATACTTGATGATCTGAAGAAGCCCAATAGGATGACTTTTCATGGTGAGTCTTTCCTCAGAATTTAATTACAATATGGGAAAAACCCATTACAATATGGATCACTGGACATACTCAGGCATTCCTTGCTGATTTGATAAATAAGAAAGATAAAAAAGCCTAAAGTTCCTCAATGAGAACGTCACTGATCTTTAATTTCTGCAAGAGTGAATCCTACCCCATCAGATTGAATGAGAAAGAGAAAAAGGGCAGGACACAATAAGCACAAGAGTAATTCTCACCTCTTCTCCTTTGAGCTTCCAACTGAGAAACAAGAAAAACAACAAACTATTTGTGAGAAATGCTCCCTTGGTTTTCATCTTCTCAAGCATTGATAATTCAGAAGGTTTTATATAATGAGAGAAATGACCCTCTTCAGATATGCTCTATCCAGACTACTGCACTCAATGTACTGTAAAGCCATTTTGAAAGCTTAAGAAAATATTGGTGGTCCATTTTATTCAGCAGAAGAGTGAATAAAACGCAGAAGCTGCTATATTCTACAGAGAAATGAAGCAATTACATTTGTTATTAAGTTTTTAAAGTGCATTTCAATTGCAATGAAATAGCTTGCAAAAATATAAATCATCTTGTCAACACTAATACTAAACCAGCTTCTGAAAATATCCTCACTCCCTTATTTATAGCATGCACATAAACACACATCGAAGTCAAGGGGAGGAATTTATGAGCTTCTTGATAATAGGTTTGTCCAGTCTCACAGTCTCTCCTCTTTTGTAGTTCTCAGAGGACATACCTGTCACAAGCAAAATGACCCCTTTCTATTAGCTGCTCTCCTTGGCCATTGGCTGCATTTGCTCGACGTTTCAACACCAGCAGCACTTGTTCAAAATCCTCATGTCGCTTCAGGAGACTCTGAGTTGAATCCACGTGATCCTGAAGGAAAGACCCTAAGAGTTACGATGTCCCCATATTATTTTATGTCTGTCTCCAGAACACATGAATGCTCTGAAACCTGAGCTAGCTGGGTGAGGGTAATGTAACAATAATTTAAGAGTGCTCATTTGCCTCACATAGAATTTAATTAATTTAATTAAAATTCTTAATGATGATGCTAGATGGTGTTGAATTGCTATTATTCTCCATTCACTTCAATGGTTATGAAGTTCTGAGACCACCTGAGTGGAATTTGCCTTCCCTGGGTGTACAAATATGGAGGCAAAGCTTAGATTCCTGACCTTGAGTCAGAACAGGGGATATCAGTCTGAAAACACTTCTTCTGCCTCTAGGGCTGCACCTTCCTACCATGTTAACAGCCATGTTACTAACTTAAGTGCTGTAGTGATTCACTTAACAACTATGGCAAGAAAGGTTGCAAAATGGGGCAAAATTAATTGAACAGCTATTTCACATAGCAACAAAAATTTTGGGCTCAGTTGTGATTGTAAGTCGAGGATTTCCCATAAATAAATTCCAGTCTAAATTTGAAATAGAATCATTATTATTTACCCCAAGATTATCAGTCTGAAGAAAGGCCTCATGACTGGAGATAGCAGCAAGGATTGAATCAACTTCTTTGATGAATTTCTGCAATTCTATATTTTCCTGTAGCTTCTTCTGTCGTTCTGTCCACAACTCATCCAGCTCATTCCTTCTTTGGGCAACTCTGTCTATATATTCACCAACATCAGGAGCTCCAACCTTCTGACCTAATTCTTGCAGCTGTTTAAATCTGTCAAAGATTCCAAAACAATTGCATACTGTATATCCCATTTTGTTTGAATAGCATATGCATATTCATGTTTTAAGGTTTTCAAGTTACATATGCTTCTTTACAGAGGCATAAGTGATTAAATATATCTATTCAACAGATGGACAAGGACAGTAGCATTTAATTGGCATTGGTTTAGAGAGTTGTGTTAATTCGTCCATTATAGATTGTAACCATCATATCTGACTTATTATGGCTTAGTCTTTTACATAAAGACAATAATGGTAGGCAATAACTATGATTTAGCATAGTGTTTGCAAACCCCATCTCTGCCTTTGGTGACTAGAATAACTACACCTCTAATGGTCTTTTTTATTGTAGTAATCATGGTTTAAAACTGTCCAAACTGGTACTGCAAACTGCACCATGATTACTATCTGAGCAATTCTTATTGTTACTATAATGTCTTACAAGTACCTGTGATTCTGGCTGTGTATCTCTTTCAGCAAGTCCTGGTGTTCTTTCAAGAGCTGTTCTGCAGAGACCACATCTATACACATCTCTTCCCTTGTCAGTTTCTCCTTCATATCATCAATCCACAAGAGGAGTCTGTGGCTCTCTTGCAGAAAAGCTTGATGATCCCTTGCTATCTGCAAAGCCACTTTCTTCTCCTCTGCCTTTAACTTTAACATTAATAATAGATTCTCCATGTATTCTCCATGTTCTTTTATGATATGACTTTCTGCAGGATTGGTATCCTTGATTCTGTATAATGAAGCCAGAGACACATTCTTGAATTAGAATTAATTCCAATTATTAACCAAAGTTGAATTTCCCTTTAAAAAAGTATTGCCTGCTATATTGTCCTGAATATTGTTAATTTATTGTTTTTTTCCACATCTCAATATTATTACATGATTAATATAGTATGATATGATAAATTTCCATGATTTGGGAATTCATGTAAACATATTTCCAGAAAATTAATTAGAATCTATGTTACAATGTGTAGGGAAAATAGGATAAAATGCATACAATGTTGAGCTAAAAGATACTAGCTGAAAGTCAATTCTAGTTATGAACTCATTATCTTACTGAATGGAGGGCTGCCTTCCTAGATTGCTACATTTATTTAAAATATTAAACACATTGATGTGAAATGTCTTGTGTATTTAGGGAAATGATATGAATAGTAGTATAGTAGTCAATTTAAAGAGAACCAGCTTACTGTAGTGGTTAAAGAGCTAGGGTAGAAATTAGGAAATCATGACTTCTAGTCCTGCCTTAGACACAAATCCAACTGGATGACTTTGGGTCAGTCACTCTTTCTCAACCCGAGGAAGAAAGGAATGGCAAACTACTCCCAAAAAAATGTTGTCAAGAAAACTGCATGAATTAATCTGGGCAGTTGCTATGAGTCAAGACAGGCTTGGAGGGACACACAAAAAGTTAATTTGCAATTACTTAACCATGAATATCACTGAGCAATTTTGGGACAGTCATAGAAACTGAGCAGCTACTTATGTCAGCTGAAATGACTTCTTCTAGTCAGGTTTTATCTGATGGGTAGAAGTGTTACTCAATGATTCAGGAAGGACTTTATATATCAGTTTATATCTGATGCTTTTAAGGTGTCAGTCAGGGTTGAAACTAGCAAGACAGATTCTCTATTATTGGGCCTCATAGCCAGGAGCCTTCTTCTAGATATAGGTTCCTTTCAACTAAGCTTATTTCCTGATTGTTACACTGAACTGAGCCAAAGAGGGATAAGATAACTTTGCAGGTTATTCTGTGTCCCTTGAAGGAAAGCAGGAGTTACCATAATGAAAAGAAAGGATCTTAAAAAATATTGTTTTGGGTTTTGAGCATAAAGGTAATCCCTAATAATATTGGTTCCTAAAGGAAATCAACCCTGACAGTTCATTGAAAGGACACATACTGAAGCTGAGGTGCAAATACTTTGGCTACTAAATGTGAAGAGAAGACTCATTAGGAAAGACCCTGATGCTGGGAAAGATTGAAGGCAAAAGGAGAAGGGAATGGCAGAGGATGAGATAGTTAGATAGTGTCATTGACACAATGAATGGTATAGGATTTCCTGCCTGAGCAGGGCGTTGGACTAGATGACCTCCAAGGTCCCTTCCAACATTATTATTATTATTATGGATCATCGCACAGTCAGCCAGATGTTCAGACTGGATTTGGCATTTTGTCTACCTATCGAGTCCTTACCCAGGACCTGGGATAGGCAGATGTGGATGTTTGATGGTATTACAGGTATCGTCACAGGATGGAAGCAGTTCCTAGTAAGGCCGCCTTTTGCAATTGACTAATAGCGAATTTGTCAATGCCAATGGTGTTCAAGTGGTGCTCCAGTTGTTTTGGTATTGCACCCAAAGAGCCTATTACTATTGGTACTATCCTTGCTTGCTTTTGCCACAATCTTTCTATTTCTATTTGTAGGTCTTTGTATTTTGTTATCTTCTCCAGTTCTTTCTCGTCTATTCTGCTGTCTCCAGGCACTGCCACGTGCACTATCCAGACTTTTTTTGTCATTACTATTATTATTATTATTATTATTATTATTATTATTATTATTATTATTATTATCATCATCATCATCATCATCATCATCATCATCATTATCATCATCATCATCATCATCATCATGAATTTGGGCAAACTCTGTGAGGCAGTGGAAGATAAGTGGGCCTAGTGTTCTTCTTTCTATTCATGGAGAAAATCTATGTGGTTGCTATGAGTTGATACCAACTTGATAGCATATAATCCATCCTATTAATCAATTTCTCTCTATTCAAAGTCATTCCAAACTCCCATCTATTCAATGAGGCAAACACCTTTTCTAAGAAGCAAAATGTATCACCTTATTACTGCTAATCAAGTAAAGGAAGAGGTATGCATCACTGCTGTACCTAAGTCAAGTTAGATATGCGGGTGTCACTCTTTGCTTAAACTGGTATCCAGATTATAAGTGTAACAACTATAATACTAATACTATGACATAGTAAAGAACTGATTTCTTACAAATTGGCTGCCCTCTTTTGGTATTCAATTTTTCTCTCCAGAACTAAGATTTCTCTTTCGCAGGCCGAAAGTTTGTGTGCCTGCCCTTGCAAGACAGCTGGCTTGCTCCCTTGCCCCAAATTCTCAAGGCTGGCCATCTTGTCTTGTAACAGTTCTTGAGTGTCTTGGCAATCCTGAAGAAATGTCTTCACATCGGTAACCCCAATCAGTTCTGAGCCTTTTTCTTCTTTTAATGTTTCCAGACATTCCCACCTAAAAAAAAAAAAAGACAAAAATAAAGCAGAGCTCATTATGGTTAGTCAGGAATATGTCTGCATATATAGAGATATTGAATTTTAAGTTTTAAGAATAGTTTAAATATAGAAAGCGGAAAATAGCAATAGTCCATTCACTATGTTGTGTCAGGTACATTGGAAACCAAATATGCACCTCTATATCTAAAAAAAATTTAGGCTTTTGGCAGCTGCCTGGACAAATCCTTGCAGCCTGCTTCCTAGAACTGAGAGTGCCTGGCTCAAAGTCACCTAGCTGGTTTTCTGCCTAAGGCAGGACTAGAACTTTTGGTCTCCAGGTTTCTGGCCAGGTGCCTTAACCACTGTACAACACTAGTTCTCTTGTTCATTTTTACCTGGTTAAAATAAAAAAAAAACCTTATATGTTTTGGAAAAGCTAATTATTATATATTTAAGGGTGTGGGTCCTTTCAAATATTTGCAAAGTAGAGTCTTATATATCACTGCACCCAAGTTTTTAAAAAGGCCATATATCAACGTTCTTGTGTTCTTTATTTGCTATCAGTTATATATATATATTTACCTCTTGTTTATCTCTTGCTTACGACTTTGGATCGCCTTCTGTTTTCCAGGACACCTCTTAGAAAACATATCTGATGAGGAATTGATTTCATCCAGCTGTTTTTTCCCAACAGCCAATTCTATTAAAAAACTCTGGGGAAAGAGACAGTAAACTAATTTATAAACGTTCATCTTTGCCATAGTTATTTATGAAAATTATCTGGGAGGAGTAAAATGACAAACATATGCGTGATGCTGTTTTGCTACCATGACAATTTGCTACAGAAGCTGCTAATTGTTTGCAATTGTTTACAATCACTGTCTTATGAAAAGTTTCTTCTTTATTATAATTACTGTTTTTGTATATCAAACATGTTTCCAGATGGGGCAGCCTCAGACATTACCAGCCAAAACTAATAGGCAGCTATTCCAATTTCATTCCTTAACAGAAATCTGAAGAAATGGTGGGAAAAATGGGAGAAATAGAAATAGGAAATGACATCAAAAATACCCACTTTCAGGGTTTCTCCAAGTTAAAGTGCTTAGGATAAACTCAGTCCTTGAGTGGGCAGAAAACTTTACCAGCATTTATTTATGCAATTTGTTAATCCAGATGGAATTCACAGATACTAATGATAAACTAATAAAAATAATTAGTATGTTAAGTTATTAAAAGGCAATTTGATACATTAAAATACTCATAATGGTACCAATAGACCATAATCACACTCCTTAACACTGGAGGGGCTTAGAGGGGAGGGGAGTTTTGACAACACCAATAGGTTTACTTGTCTATCAAAACCCATGCCTGGTTTTATTGTTTTAGACAAGTGCTGTTGGAAGAGGGAACAGTGTGATAGAATGGATAAGAAAGCAGACTTCATCTTTTCCTCTAGCATTCCACCTAAGGCTACTCTTGGACAAGTGCACAACCATTTCCCAACCTGGTCTAAGAACTAATGAACATGGTTTGCTGGTTGACATGTTTTGAAAGTTGTTTGAACAGGGTCTACTCACCTTTCAAAATAGTCAGCCAGTCCCCAACAGCTGCTGAGTATATCCCTTTTTCAAAGCCAAGACTCTAAGCTTGGGATCAAGAGAGACAGTCCTATTGATAAGAACCACTGCCCCACCAGGATGGTTTTGATGCACCATGCCATGCTTAAGAGATATCTTATCCTTGAGTAGAATAGAATAGAGCTGGAAGGGACCTTGGAGCTAGTCTAGCCCCCTGCTTGAGCAGGAAAACCTATACCATTTCAGACAAGTGACTGTCCAGTCTCTTCTTCAAAACCTCCAGCCATGAAGCCCCTGCAAGTGATTCCACTGGTTAATTGTCCTGACTGTCAGGAAGTTTCTCCTTAGTTCCAGGTTACTTCTCTCCTTGATTAGTTTCCATCCATTGCTTCTTGTCCTGCCCTCTGGTGCTTTGAAGAATAGGTGGGATCCCCTCTTCTCTGTGGCAGCCTCTCAATGTACTATATATATCAGGCTCATGCCATTCCATAGGGATTATTGGAACACAACACTGATAGAATAGATGGTGAAATAAATTAAGTTGTACCCACAGCTAGGAGCTGCTGACTTCTTGGGTTGTATCTGTAATAACATTGGAAGACCTTAGGCTAATTTAGGGTTGCTCAGGCTGGGAAAGAGATTAAAGTAATTTTGTGGAAATATGTACCCCTCAAAAGTGCAGGAAATCCAGGGCATATTTGCCCTGGGGTTAGATACAAAGGGAGAAAGGATTTAAGGCTTATAAAGGCATAACTTGTCTGGAATAAATCTGTCTTTTTTTAATGCTCTCATTTTTTTTAACATGGAACTCAGTATTAAAAAGTAGATTGCATATGGACACAAAACCTGCCTGCAAATACAGGTAGTCCTTATTTATTGATGGTAATTGGGACTGGTTAAATCTCAAATAATTTATCACCAATTGCTGTTCTTCTGAATAATCCCTTCGGTTATTTCAAATTGCAATATTATTTTCTATAACTTGTAGATCTTCTGTTTGTTCAATAATTAACCTGTAAAGGTATTTCAGTTTCAATTAAGTCTCTGTTGTTTTGGCTGCTACAAACTAACAATGAATAATTCACAGTTTGAACAAGCACAGGTGGTTTTCTTTGCAGATTTACCAGTCAAACCAACATATCTAACCATTGGCTAAAAATCTTGCCATAGTTTTACTGAAATATAACATTTTATGTCAGTATTAATCTTTTATAAATGAAGATGAGTCAGGAACTCAAAGTACAGCCTATTAATAAAGACCTGGAATTTTTGCTGCATAGCTTCCACATTGTCGGCTTTGGGTTGAATGGTCTGGAAAATTTTATCCTTGTCATCTATCCAGGACTGAAACTCTTCACAGGAGTTGTAATATTGATACAGTTGGATTCTTTCTTGTAACTCTTTTTTCCTATGCTGTTTGGAAGAAATTAGAGATGCTTGAATAAGCACTAAAGCATTGCTGATAAAGTAGGTATATTAGCAATAAAATTAGTCAGAAAGATGAACTGAAATTAAGAAAATCCATGTAACTAAACCCACCATTCTACACATCCATCTAAATTTGTCTCATCTTACCTCATCAACCCAAACATAAGGAGCATTATGCAAACTCGATAAATCCTGGATTAGATTTCCTTGGAGATTAGAATGGCCCCAACCCTGTTAGCTTTCCATGTGCCCCTAAAGGTTGGCTATGTTCCCATGCCTGGGGTGCTGAATGTGTTAAGGGGCATGTTTCCTGGCTGTATTACTAACTGGCCAAGTATCTTGCTCTTCTGTATATTCAGTTGGGATGTTTTTCCTTTTTTTCATGTTTTTTATTGTTTTTTAGTATTTTTAACTGCAATATATTTTTTTAATTATAAGCCACCCAGATTCACTGACTGAGGTGGGTGGCTATAGAAATTGATTGATTGATTGAACCAATGAATGAATGAAACCTTTTTCAATCTCTTTCAGACCTTTCCCATGAACATCTGTGGCTAGTGGAAAAGCTATAAGAGGCTTCATTCTTTTTCCTTTATGATCTGTCCACATATTCAGTTAAACAACTGAATGAAGCTCAGAAAAGGCTAATGTGTGTCTGATATTTCACTATACAGAGAAAAGCAAAACAATCCAACAGATTATTAGGAAAAAATAATACCTCAGCCATGGTTTGCAGTTTTTCATACAGCAAAACAACATTCTTCTGCATTTTCCATGTGTTTTCCATAATAATGTGTGAATCAGAGTCAAGTTGTCCAATGAATGTAGTAGGTTTGACAAGAGTCTGTGAAAGATAATGATTTGATGGCATTTTAGCTACTCTCTGGTTGTTGATTTCTGAATTTGCTGCTGGTACAGATGGCATCTGCTCAGAGAAATAGACACAAAATTCTATGTTCAATACTGAGTTCTATTACTCACAAATGCTAAATAACACTTAATTCCAGCTTCGTTTATATATTTAACGATTGATTATGTTACAAAATAAGGTGCATCTAAAAGTTAATGATTTATTAACCAGAGATACTTAAATACAGAAAAAAGATAAAATGAGACTGCCTATTATGGAGTAAGAAGAAATCCCATAGGATGGAGTTCTCATATGGAAATATGAAAGCATGATGGCTAAAATTTCAGGCCTTATACAGTATAGATCCATGTAAGAAGTAAAATGGTCATTTGTGGAGAAAAGATTCATCCGAGGAACAGAATTTGTTTTAAATAAGTATGAACGAGGAGGGGAATCTGAGATATGTCTTTCATTTTGGCCACTCTTTTTCCAATGTGTCAACTTTAAGCATGTCAGTGGGAAATTCTGAGAGTTGAAATCCACGCATCTTAAAATTTCCAGCTTTAAAAAAAACCCACTGGTTTAAGCGCATCAGTAAGTTCACGTATATTTTGGGCAGACAGTTATATAACTTAAACCAGTGGTTCTCAACCTTTCTAATGCCGTGACCCCATAATACAGTTCCCCATGTTGTGGTGACCCCCAAGTGGGTGTGGCCACCAATAAGAGGGAGTAGGACAGCTAGGGAAAAGGGAAAAAAATGGCGGACAGCGTGGTTTGGTGACCCCCGTGAAATGGTTGTTAGACCCCAAATGGGGTCCCGACCCACAGGTTGAGAACCACTGACTTAAACGATTGTTTGGGTACTACATACCACCCGCTGTGCCACAGAATGGGCCTGTTCCTCCAAGTGACTTATTTCTGTAAAATAAGCAGCAAGTTCCTTTTCCAAACGAAGATGACGATGTAACAAAGCTTCTGCACTGGATTCATCTTTTCCATAATCTTTGCTGGCTAAGAGAGTGTGTTTTTCCTGGAGCCAGGAGTCAACCTCATTAATATCTGCAAAGTACTGAAGGGAAAAAAAAAGTCTGAGGTATTGTGATAGTACTTACAGATGATGTTCTACTATAGAATAATTTATGCAGAGGAAAAGGATCTTTTCCTTCGATTCCATTTGTGGAATGCTGTTGTTTTCTGCAGAGGTGAACAATCTGGAGGCCCAGAGCTACATTTTGCCCACATTGAAAAAAATTGATCAAACTTGGTTAAAACTGATAGCATACTAGAAGTGGATAAAACAAATTCATTCAGTACTTTTTCAAATAATATTAAAATACAAAAACACGCAGTTATGTCTATATAAGTAAAAAGCCCAGAAAATTGAAAACTGCTAGAACAGTGGCTTCACTTATTGCAGTCCCATAAAAACCGTTTATTCATGATATAATGATCTTAAAGAATTCAAGGGGGAGGTTAGTAATTTTTTCAACTTCTTTTCTCTTGTTTGGATGAAGGAGGAGACTGACTTACCTGTTGAATGAGAGCAGCTGTATCCAAGCGAATCTTACAATTAGTCATCTCATTTTGGAGCTGTTGCCATAATTGCTGGATGTCTTCCAACTTCTTCTGAATCTCTCGGTTTGAAGGATTGTTCTGCCTTAACTCCCGGCCCTTGCAAATTATTTTAGAACAAATTGCTCGATGGGAGTCACACTCAACTTGGAGAGACTGCCAGACAGAAATTGGGAGATTTGACACCAGTACTTAAAATATGATTTTTATGGATTTGTGGTAGAGCAAAGGATGAAGAGATAAATGTTTGTAACTTTAGAGGGATACATTTGTTTATAGTTGTGATGAAAACTGGAAAGTACTTCTTTGTATATTTCTTTTCCTTTATTATAATCTTATTTCCCTCTTCCTTCTCTTTATTTTTTCTCGCACTTTTTACTTTCTAATCTTCTTTCTTTCTTTCTTTCTTTCTTTCTTTCTTTCTTTCTTTCTTTCTTTAAGTTTTAAAGAAAGAAAATAGATTTTACTATTATAATGAAAATTCTTAATTAAATTATATCAAAAAAGCAGGAAGAAGTGGTAATAAAGATGTGGTAATAAAGATGTGACATACTTTCACATTTGGTGGAATTGTAAAAAGGTAAAGGCTTTTTTGATTATGATTTGGTGGAACATTCAAAAGATTTTTAGAAGGAAGATAAAGTTTACTCCTCAATTATTTCAACTGGGTATTCTTGTGGATCTAAATGATAAAGAAACTATTTTAATGTTGAATTTATTAACCGCAGCAAGGTTACTAGTAGGTTCATATTGGAAGAAAGATTTCTTGCCTACTCTAGATGAATGGATATTTAAAGTTTCTAGTTTTGCAGAAATGGCAAAAATTTCTGCTTATTTAAAGGACCATACACAAGAAAAATATATTACTGTATGGAGAAGATGGATAGATTATATTCAGAAAAAGTATGGAACTAAAAAGTTTCATTTATTTTATGAATGAATTTTATAGTAAATATTATAGAGAATTGCTTAGGAGGTTATTGGAGTTAAAGGTTAAGTATGATATTTTCTTTTTCTTTTTTTCTCTTTTTTCGTGTTCCTTTTTCTTTTTCTTTTTTTTTCTATTGTAAATTTTCTTATTAATAACCCTGTATTCTGCTCTGGGAAGTGAAGGGAGGGGGGTTGGAGGTGGGAGGGTGGAAGAGTGGGGGGAGAAGGGTAATATAGATAATGGTAGCTTATAAGAAGGGTGCGGCCTGGGCAATTCCCCTATGCTGCGTTCATGGGTTTGATAGGGATGAGAGGAGAAGAAGGTGTAGAGAGGAAGTAGGATGGTAAGAGGAGAGGGGGAGGGGAAGAGAGTAGGAAGGGAGGAGAGAAAGAGGAGGGAAGTAGGGAAGGTTTTAAGAAAGGGTGGACGCAGCCTGGGGGGAATGGGTAGGTGGTAGCAATGGTTATGAATTCATTTTATTCTAAAATTGTATTTTTTATGATGTATAAATGGAAAAAATAAAAAACTTTTAATAATAAAAAAAGCAGGAAGAAGGAGGGCAATATATATATTTCTTGGAGTTTTCAGAGAAATCTAAGAAATCAGCAATGCTGGTAAGAGTTCTGTTTTCTTCCTCTCTGAAATGCATCTTATGGCTTTGTGAGAGATAAAAATGAGAAATATAGTCTCACGGTTCCATTCACAGCTCTATTATGGATTTCTATTAAAGTTGCTCAAATGATAAAGAAAATACATTTTACTGACCTTATGACTTTGGAGAGAGGCTGAAATATGAGTGAGATCATCCTCTAAGGTACCCATCTTCACTAATTTCCATTTGTCAGACAACCATTGCTTTTCTTCTTTGCACTCATGAAAAAATTCAAAAAGCTTCAAAGCCCCTTCCAGCTGAAGTTGCCTGAATCAAATGAATACATGATGTACTTTAAAAGGGTAACAACTGGAGATTATTTCAGGTATTTCTAATCGTTCCAGCTTGTTTAAATATAAAAATACAGTATAGTTCCAACCTAGTTTTACTCAGGATCCTAGAATCACACAACAGAAGAAGCCATGGCAGAATCTTCTAAATATTTGCTGCTATAAATTTATTTGGTAAAATTCTATATTTCTTTGTTTTCCTTCTGTTGGAAAAATCTCATGTGTGTCACTTAATTTAATATTACATTTCTCAGCAAAATTGAAATGCATTAAATAAAAGATAGCTGTATAAAAAGACTGAAATTTTTTTCCATAATAAGTTTTACTCAGGGACAATATTAAAGAAAATAAAGGAATAAAGTTCCTTCCAACTTTAAGAAAACAAGGCCAAACCAAATTAAAGTACACATTCAAAAAAAAATTCCCCAATCATACCAAAAATCCCAACTCCCCACCCTTACTCCACACAACCTTTGATGCTAAAGTTTCCTACAGATTGCTTTCACGTTCACTCTGTATTAATATGTAACTGAAGATGTGCCTAGTATTTAATAGTATTTAGTATATAGTTTATATTTAAAAATCCCTTCTCCACCCAATGGGTCTTCCTCAATCTTGGGCCCTCAACCAGAACCTGGGGGTTTGTGGTTCCTGCACATATATTAGCTATTCCCAGCACTGCATTCTTCTGGCTACAGAGCTCTGATGTTGTTCCTGGCATTTGTTGGAGCCAGTTCCCAGCTTAAGAGTCACAATTATTACAACCACTTTGACTTTTACTTTCCACAGTCCCTCTAGTTCCTCCTTCAGGCCCTGGTAGTTTTCCAGCTTCTCATACTTCTTCTTCCTCAGGTTGCTGTCATTTGGCATCACTACATCTGCCACCACTGCTGTCTTCTGGTCCTTGATATCTGGTTGATTGGCTAGTACTGCCCTGTCTAGATATGGAAGTCCCACAGCCCTCTTATTCTCCACAACCTTCTGTGAAATCTCCCCTTTTGACTTAGGAGTGTTTAGCCCATATACTAGATAGATGTTCCGGCACACAGTGATATGTGTGTGTGTGTGAGTGAGTGCAAATGAGCATACGTGTGTGTATGTGTGATGTAGCCAAAAAGAATGATTCTTCCCAGATTCATTTTAAGAGCTTGGTATACTTGCCAAAGTCATTCTTAAAGAACCAGAATTATTTTGCCCTTTGCCTGAATGTCAAAAATTTAGAATGCTTTGGTTTATGTGCCTACATACGCACATGCCTTTTAAAATCATTAACAACATAGGGTTTATCTGAGGGGACTGAGCCCCAATGGTCTCTCATTTCTCTCTGATGAATGCATGGAATGGAGAAACACAATACATGCACAGAGAATTGCAATCTAAGATCAGGATCTTTATCTTTTTGTGGAATAAACCAACGTGTTCATCAATATTTACAAGAATTTTACCGTGTTTGGCAGGAATCCTGAAGATTCTGATGTAGTTGACAAAGCATCTGATATTTGACTTGAAGCATATCTGATTTGGCTGCTTTCCTTTTTATTATATCTTCTGTTTTTTCAGCAATGCACATGATGCTTTCCTCAAGAGAAGAGATTTGGGAGACAACTAATTTGTGCTTTTGCAAAAATTCCACTGCTTCAAAGAGCTCTTTGCCACAATCCTTAGAGCTTACTAATATCTAGAAATAGAATGAAAGAAAAATATTTTGTATGTTTTTTAGCTACTCAATTGCAGGCAGTTCCCAAATTCATACATAGCTTGTAAAATGGTACATTAATAATTTACTACAATTCATACATTATACTAAACCATAAACCATGATTTACAAAAGACAGTGATCAATTTTATCCTTATTACACATCAAACTCAAAACAAGCAAGTTTTATTAGTATGATCCAAGTCAATGAAGTAATGTTACAATAGATGCATAGTATGATAATACCATCTTACTAAATCATGACATCTATTACATATTTATATATGAAAAGAAATATAAGGAATCATGGAATGGTGACATGTTCTACAACACCCTTTCCTAATCTCCCCCTTTAATATTTGGGGGAGCAGAAGAAGAATTGTGAAGCAACCAGAGTGGAAAAGTTTGACTTATGCTACTTGACATACATTCTGGGATGATCTCTTTAATACTATTAAACAAAGTCCTTGGGACGGACTTGATAGATAAATAAAAATGCCAAATCCAGTCTAAACAGCTGGCTGACCATAATAATACTAGTCAGCTAATATTTTGCCTGGTATTGCCATGTGCTGAGATAGAGAAAAATGTTCTAATAAATGGTTGTATAAGATCCTGTGTTGTGATGGAATGTCTAACAGGGAAAGTGGAGGAAGAAACAGGATTGTTGCAAAACAAATTCCTCAGCCTAGCAAGGAGGGACCTACAATGGTACCTTGGTACTCAACTGCTTTGAAACTCATCAGATTTAGTACTCAACACATCAACATTTTGATGTGAAAATTTTGTCCTGATAGTCATCATTTGTTTGGTACTCAACGCACAAGTTAGAACTTGTCAGTGTCAACTGCCTTGTGACTCACTACACTATTCCTTATGGCAAAAAATTATTTGGTACCACTTTTGTACTCATCACACTTCCCAGAACCAATTAACAATGAGTACTGAGGTATCTTGTATGTGAAAGAGACTTGGAATAACTGTCTTAATTTTGCAAGGTATAAGGACTAAGCTGGAGACTTGCTGTAACAAGCTTTCAAGGTGTTTTGTTACAATACCTATTATCAATATAGATCAATACAGAAATCCAAATGGTTCATATTTGTTTGTCTCAAAAGGCTTTATACATGCCAGGCTTGTCACAGAAAAAAGCAAACTAATTAACAGTGCTTGCTATATTTGAACAATATTCCTTCCTACATATCATTGGTTTTCAACATATAATCTTCTAATTTAATGGAGACAAACCCTCCACAAAGTCATGTGAATAGATTTTTATGAGTGGTTACAATCTATGGTTTAAATTCAAATTCTCATTCCAAATACCCCCTCTGCATAAAACATCCTTATTCGTTCTTTTTCCATAGGCTACAGATAGGAAGCATTGCTTGTCCATTAAAGACCACATCCACCAAGATCTACCTTTAGAATGAATAACTCAATATACCTGCACTCCTTTAAGTTCTTCCATAATGGTATCAATGTTCCTCAAAAGGACTAGCACTTCCTGCATCTTTCCCATAGCATGTTTTTGTCTTTTGAGATGGTCCCAGAGATCTTGCCATTGCTGAATGATGTCCATTTGCCTGTGAAGAGAGCAAAAAGAAGAAAAAAATGAGTTATCAGAAGACTTCACTAATGGGCAATTCAAGTTACCCCATATTCTTATGATATATTTCCATATACCTTATTTACAACATTAGCTGCTATGGGGAAATGTGAGGTTTAATCCAATGGGAAAATGCAACTTCAAATTGTAATATTCAGTAGCAACTCTGAATTTTGTGAAAAAATTTTGAATGTGAAAAAAGTGAATCATAGAACAATGTGGAAGGAGAGCCTCCCAACAGTCAGTGTGGATGTTTCTTTTTCTCTTTTTTCTTACCCTCTGGGACCTAGTTGGGCTATGCCCATGATCCAACTCAAAAAAAGTCAAGATCTCTAGGCAGATGGTATCGGTATATCAGGAGGAAATGGTGTGTGTTGGAATGGGAGATCCAAGTGTTTTGCAGGTGAGATCTACAGAACTGGTTAAGCAAACAAACAAAAGATGCCCAGGACAAAATTGGCTTAGGAAGTGCAGAGGAATTTTAAATTTTGGCAGCTGCTCAGGTGAGAAGCAATCAAAGCTGAGGGCATAGAAAACAGCTAGCAACCAAAGCATCCAAACCTAGTTTGACTAAAGGGGTTTTTAGGATTCAGGCCAGTGGTGGGATTCAGCTAGTTCGCACCACTTCGGCAAAACTGGTAGCTAATTTTTTGTTGCCAAGGCCCAGAATGGACTTCCGGAAGCAGCATCCACACAGAGAATCGGTTGTTCACATATTTGAATCCCACTACTGATTCAGGCTGAGAAGAAAAGAAAACGAGGAGAAGAAATGTATGCAACAAAAGAAATGAAAAGAAAAAGAAAGCACAGGGGGAGCAAAAAAAATGTACAGAAATTCACACAAATATATTTAGAGTACAAGCCTGGGAATCCACAGAAAAGCATAGGCTACATTAAGGCAAGACAAAGAAATTTACATAATTCAACACCCATTAAATAAGATATATAGCATATGCAAATAAAATTAGAAAGAGTTGTGTAAATTGATACACAAAGACCCTCATGCCTTTGTAGACCTATTAGACTGCAATTTTGAAATTGTAAACGTTGCATTACATTAGCAGCTTGTGCATATTTTATTCTTTCTTGTGTTATCACCAAGATGTTTTGCTATTGTGATTGCCCTTTATTTTTGTGTCTTTATCATCTGCCCTAACTTTTTTTTATTTTGGGAAGAATACAAAATAAAATATAATATGATCCGTTGAATTACTCTTTCCAAAGATGGAAGTTGCATTAATTCATGCTAAGCAAACACCTGTGATGTGCTTTTCATTCTCTCCAACACCAGTTCTGACTACTGCCCCAATCTGAAGGCATCCTACTCACTTATTGGCAATCAAGTCATTGTCCTGATAGTTCTCCTGCATGATTTCAGCAGCCATTGTAGACAAGGCTTTGAAGCGTTGGTCTTGGGGAAGCATATCTGCTTCAATCGCCTCTAGTTTCCTAGTGTCTGCCTGAAGTTGTTCTATATTGTCAGGTTGCCAATCACCCTGCTTTTGGATTATCTCTCTCATGTTCCTCAAATAGGCCTCACGAATGGCTGCTTTCTTCAGAAACATCTGGACCTGTTGCTCAATTCTCTCAAGTCTTAACAGCTCCTGCTGTATTGCTTTTCCTCGACTGTCCTCTGCTTTCTCCAAAGCAATCCATTTTTTTTCCAGATCTCTTAAAGTTCTTCCTTCAGGGGGCAGATAAGCACGCTGATTGTTGACTTGCTGTTTGATCCGTATGTAGAAGAAATTGGCTTCAATGATTCCCTTCTCGCGGTATTTGGGTGGTTTTTCCACAGTGCGGAAGATCTTAAAGTTATTCATGACGAAGCACATTTTCTCCAGAGAATTGGGGAAAGAATGGTCATCCAGTTCTGTCACTTTGAGCTTTATCCATTTTAAGAGTTCAAAGATCATGTGTTCATACTGGAATTTCAAGTCATCTGTCTCCTTCAGGCAGAACATGATCTGCAGAAAGATCAAATACAACATTTCCCCATTAATCCTAGTTAGTAGAATTCTACTCACATTTTCAATAAAGCCAGATTTCCATCCAAGAGCCTTTAAAAGAAAGTTACATATTCCATGAACAATTCATCATGGAATCTCAGAGTATTAAGTACTGTATTCAGCTAAAATCAGCAATTGTTAATTGGACCAGAACCATCTTTACAGTAATATTACACTCAACACAGTTCTGATCCAAATTTTCTTCCAGAACTTCTCTTGGATATAAAGAAGAAAACATCCAATTGCAATATGGATGATTATATGTTTTTTGTAAGTTGAGGCTAATCACAGTGCTAGAAACAAATGGATTGAGTTCAGTTAAAATGATCACTGTATTGCTGCTGAGTTACTCAGAGGAAAATGCAAATAGTGATTAAAATAACGTGTAACTGTTCATATTTATACCACTACTAGATGAATGAAAAGCTTGGCTTCTTTCAATCAGGGCATACATATGTGTTCCATCCTCAAGATCCTGAGAAGCCATAATCTATCAGTCCCAAATTGTCAGAGGTTACCATGTTATAGGAGTTCAGCTAAGTTTCATCTTAACAGCCTCTGTTTTTTTTGACAATGGAAAACTATGTGTTCCATAGATAAAGACTGAGTCCACCTTCTATTTGGGCCAAAGAAATTATTTACTTAAGACATACCAGACATTAAGAATGCTAATTATCAAAAAACCAATACACTGACTTTAGCAAGCCTCTTCTGGACTGTTTGACCTTGCTTCTGCCTGGAAAAGTAATGGTAGTAGAATGACACATAGGTCATGATGGATCTCTCATCTGGAAATGGCACCGCCACATCTTCAGCATCCAACAACTTTAAGATTCCCAGGTGCTTCTCCGCCACAGTGAAGGCATTATTTAGATTAATTATGGGCTGGTCATGCCGCAGGGAGCTGTATTGTATAAGATCAGGCCTGAAAAGATCATAAATAAAAACAAATAAAATAGATGAAGGAGATTATGTTTAGAAAATGCATTTTTTCCCTTAGAATTTTTAGAAATTTACTCCAGTTTTAAATAGGCTATTGATAGGGGTGTCAGAGGTAATGTAATACAATATTGGTGGAGGGAAAACTGAATATATCTTTCTTCAGTAACTGGATTAGGTACTTTAAAATAAGAATTCATGGTATCACCATACAATTACATTTTCTAGAGTTGCTCTGGTGGAATCAAGAGAAATTGTATTTGTGGATACTCAGGTAATTCAAGTTTGTAATAGGTTTTTGACTTAGAGTAACTTTTCCAATAACTGATGAAAAGTTTCAGAACTTATTAGTGTGCCATCTACCCCAAGTTAAAGTTATTAAATTCCCCTCAGAAGCTGTGAAGAATATAGATCTGCTTTATAAAACATAGAAACAGTTTGTTGAATGACATGGAGTAACACATGCCATTTTCTGCATCTGACTTTAAAGAGATAAGATGCAATAATTTGAAATAATTTGTGAGCAGACTATATATTTGTATTTATCTTTAAAGTAATTATAGTTCAAAATTTATGCAAACTTCTAAATGTGCAGGAGTAAAACAAATATTATTTCTTACATGGTTCAGCATATTTGGAGAAGCCCATAAGAGTGAAAAAATAATAGAACATTAAGACTTAACTTGCCTTCTAGACGACATGGAAATGCTGTGATTTGTATCTTCTGAAGCAGCATTGTAAAAATTTCCATTATAGTATTTTTTTCTGAGCATAATAAGAAAACATCTCCCTTGTTTAAAATGGATGTTCAACATGCATTCATGATTCTCTATCCCTATAATGGCACATGCACAGATACATGTGCAAAAACCACAAGCAGGGCATAATTGTCCCTGATTCTTATGAGTCACCAATGACTCATCTCAGAAGCATGATTCCTTGGATTTTGAAGGTAGCAACTGATAGCTTATCCTCTATGACATTATTCTGTTTCTTATCTTGCTACAACTTGCTCTAACAAGTTTCATAATTCAGCAATAAATAAGAAATGTTTCCTATACAGTACCTGTCTTGAACTTCTGGCTATTTATATTTGCAGGGTGATTCTGGATTCTAATATTACAGAATATATGTAGTATATATTGCATAATACAATCCATTAAAATAATGGATTCTAATAGTATACAAGAGAGGAAAAGGCAACAAAAATAAAGTTGTCCTATCCGCATTTTGCCTACCACACACAATTTGCTAAAGCTTCATTATATTCCTTCCAGATGAAAATCTTCTTTTTCTATTAACTTTTAGTACCTTTCTCAGTGGTACATGAATCATATGTCAGAACACTTTGGAAAGACTGAACTCATACTTTTCCTTACCTGTGAGCATGAAGGAGGGCATTGAAAGCTAGCCCATCATTCCAGCTTTTGGAAAAGTCTTTCACATTGACGTTAGAATAGCTGGCTGTCTTATACTGACACCAAACTAATAGAGCTTCATTGGAAGACAGAGCATCAACTCTAGACCCAAATTCATCCTAGAAAGTCAACAAGGCGAAAGCATTCATAGGATAATCTAAATCTAAATTAGCAAAACTAAAACCCCACAAAGAACCAAAGATTTAAGGATTTAGTAACCAGCAACAGAAATACATGCAGATTTAAATTATAATTAACTGTATGGTTAATAAAGGTAAAAGTAAAGGTTTCCATTGTCCAGTTGTGTCTGACTCTAGGGGGTGGTGCTCATCTCTATTTCTTAGCTGAGAGAGCCAGTGTTGTCCATGGTGACATGGGCAGCATGATTATACGATGAGGTGCCCAGAGTGCTGATATCTTCCTACTGAAGTGGTACCTATTTATCTACTCACATTTGCATGCTTTCAAACTGCTAGGTGGGCAGGAGCTGGGGCAAGTAACAGGACCTCACCCCATTGCATGGTGCTTGGGTGTCAAACCTGGGCTGTCAACTTTCCAGCTTTAACCACTAAGCTATCACAGTTCTCTAGTATGATTAATAATTAGCTGTAAATATAAAATTGAATTGGTTTTTTATGCATCCACTCAACTCGTCTTAGGTTCAGAAGTCTCAAGAGTGACAAATTTTAACCCTTACATTACTGGATAATGATTTTGGTGATTATATAGCTATAGATACATAGAATATTGACTTAAACATTTCACCAATATTGTACAAAGGCTCTGATCTCTGGATCTATAGGAGAACAGTTTCACAAAATTTCCTGCAGACTGCACAATCATCTCTATGCTTCTTTTCAATCATAAATGATATATCAAATTTTAGATTGTTGGAGAATTATTAGGCTAACAGTGATAACAGAAAGAAAAAAGTGAGCAGCTTTTAAATTACAATTTTACCTTATCAAGACTGATCATTGAAATTTGAAATCTGAGGATAATTATCCACATTAATCCAAGGATGAGGGTCTGGTCTCCATCTACTATATTTTCTGGCCCAATTAGCTTCACCTGTACCTGCTGAATGCACAAGAGGTTCTTATCATTAGTGTGTTTACAAAAGTCTCTGAGAATCAAAAAAAATGAGTCAATCAGTACATTTAGGAATAGTTCTTGGAAAACATACAAAACAGAGAGATAAACTCTTCTCCATCTTTGCTATCCTTCTCACATAAAGACTAATTTGCATGATTTTCAGCAATTGGACAAAGGTGATATGTGTGATCAACTTATTTCCATGAGTGACTATGTTTTTCACAGTGCTCGTAGGTATGTTCCCTCCACTATCATGAAAGTGGAGGTGGGAAATATTGATCATTCTGAGCAGCTCCATTATGATGCTAATGCTTCTTTTATTTGGTAGCCAACGGTACAACAGTGACATAATAGTATCATTAAAATCAGTATGGCTGTGATTTCCAGACTGACAATATTTTGGTGATGGGATCAATATTTTTATTTTTTTTGCTGAAAATCTAGAAAAAAAACAGTTTGCTGTTTCTTCTGTAGCAAAATAGCAAGCCTCTCTGGTGATCACAAAAAGGAGATGGAGATCCACATTGGATCCAAAGCTGTACTACTCTTGCTTTTCTTTTTCTAGCAAGACTGGCCCAAATCATGTGGCACATCTAGGAATATCACTGCTGCCACACCCAGGCTCCTAAAGATTATCTATCTTTCCAGGTGTCTCCTCGTTTTCTCTGAAAAATAATTTGGCATACTAATGATGGATTTGAATGCTTTGATGCCACCTGATAATGCTCTCTCAATGCAAATGTCAATGATACTTCTCTCAGTTCTCAAAGGCTAGTCATTCAGCAAGAAATTTGTAAAGAACAGTGCAATATACTTGGACCATTTGAGTTTCTAAGTTTTTGAACAACATTTCAGGTGAGACAAATTCAGAAATTTGTAAAAAAAAAAAAAAGTGGGGAGGACTTGTGGAGAGAACGATGACATTCACTCTCTCATATATGCATGGAGATAACTCCTGCTTTATTTTATGATAGTGTCACATATTAGTTTCCTATTTCCTAATTGTCAAAATGTAACAGAAAGGAGTGAGGAAGAAAAAAATACAGCGGTGTTCCAGACAAAAGCTCTGTTGAGTTCTGCTGTGATGAAATGTAAAAGTAAGTCAGAAACAGGCACATTGATTTATATTAGGTGTGCAAGACGTTTTCAGGTTGCAACAGTTTTTCCCAAGAAACTGTTTAATTAATTAAACTTTGCTAGAACAAAGAAATATAAACTAAATAGAGAGCCAAATAAATAAAATTTAGTCTCCCATATTTGAAATATCAGATCCATCTATTAATTCCAACCTGTTAATTTAATAACTCTAATGAATATCCAGACTTCAATCAGATGTAATACATTGGAGTCCTATTGGGGGACAACACAATGGAGGTGGTGATTGAATAACAACAGGTCCCATCTTCACTCCACTCCACCCCCAAACTTCCCATGTGTCCTTAGGTTTTAATGTTTGATTTTAATTATTTATGTTTTCAGTGTTTAATGATTGTAAGCTGCCCAGAGTTACCCTATGATAAGATGGGCAGCCAATAAATTTTATAATTAAACAAACAAACAAACAAATAAATATTAGAGACTCACTTTCACTAATTACCAGATCACTTCCTGTATTGATCATAGAGCAATATCTTAGCAATCACAGTATATCAATCTATCAATCAGGAGTGCAACTTTCATCCAAGGACTGCATATTGTCCTCAAGTCCTCTTTTGGGAACTAAAGAGCTATCTCTGAGCATATTAACCGAAAACCCATAACACAATTTCTGCCTTTTTTCATAGTTTGAAAACAAATAGAACTTCAAAATTCCCTTAAGCCATAACTCCATTCATATACATTGTATGTGATCTTACATTTTTGTACTGTTCATCTCCCTCCCTCCCCCAAATTTAAGTGCTACCCTTGGTTACTTATGCTATAGACTTTCTACAAAAATGGGTAATCTGTTACTGACAAGATAAAATTTTAGTTGGGGTGGCTGGGTGGAAATTCATCAATAGATAGAGCCACTTCAATTGATGCTTTCCACCCTCCCATCACAGCTGAAACTTGATTAGTGGCTATTATAATTCCAAACTTTGTATCTCACCTTAGATTTGAGGAATTGAATGGCTTTGCTATTGTTCTCCAAAAAATGAACCCTCATCTTGCCTTTGTTTGGCCTGGGAAGTTGTTCAGAAGACAGTAGCTCCAAAATACGCAGGAGATAAATACCATCTTTCAGTTCAGTGTAGAGATCTCGAATCTTAATGTTTGCCTACAAAATTAAAGGATCACAAATAAAGCCAACAACAATAGTACCATGTTCTTAACGCTATCTTGCTTATGGGAATTATGACATAAAGCTGATATTGGACTAGTAGTTATTTGACTGCTCAATAATAAGCAGGAGAGAGGCAATTCTCGTTTATTTTGACATAACAGATGAGACCTATAGAGAAAAAGGCAAACTCAAATACTGTATTATATGAATAAAAATCTATGTCAGGCCTGCCATCTTCAGCATACTCCTCTTTGCTGGCATCTTGCTATAAAATGCAAGGGAGGAGAGAGGTAATTGGGGAAATGAAGACAGGGCATGGGAATAAGCAGAGAAAGAGGATGGAGGATGATAAGGTGATAGGAACCAGAGGTGTCAAACCAGAATGCATAGGCCGATCAATGATGGAGCTTGAGGATGGAATGCAAAACTATACCAAAGAGAAGCCAAACATCAAAGCTGTTCCCAAACACCAAAAACAAATATGATTGGACAGTGGTGAAGGGGGGGAGGGCCAGGGAAAGGGGAAAAATGTAAGGTTTGCACAGGAATACTTGGATCCAGTTTTCCTTATACTGTAACCACTTGACTTTAATAAAAGAACTTTTCACTTCAAATAATGGAGTTGAGGGTCTTTCTTTCTAAATGTCTGAGTTAGGACAAGCCTGACATTCTATTTCTAAGACTTTTCTGCAGAGTATTGTTCTTGACATTATAGTTTAAAAAATAATACATGAATCATTGATTGGGTTGATTGATCAAATTAAGCAGAAGAATCTGTTAACATCAGCAAAAAAGTGTTTAAAGGAATCATATATGAAGAACATTACAAAAGCTACCTACGCTGTGTTTGTAGAAAACATTATTCAACCAATTGGTGAATGTTTTCTTCTGCATGATCATACGTTGTGCTTGCAACTTCCTGAATTGTCCTTGTACATATTCTTCTTCCATGGTAGCCTAAAAACAAGAATATTCCAACATGACTCCAATAGAATAAGATGTCCCAACTTGCTACCAATTCCCCTGAGTTCTTGAGCTTTTTCCTCTTCTTTACATCAAGGAAATTTCATTGGCCATAATATTCTTTTTTTCTGGATGAAAAGTATTGTTTCTCGTGAATAGGAAATGTAGATCTATCAGCTAATCATGTCTACCAAAAGAGGCTTTGTAGACACCTAGGTTGGATAAAGATATTAAGGTCTTTAATAATGAAAGTACTGTTTTTTTTGGGGGGGGTGGCAGTTATTATCATAAACACCCAAGAATCTTGGGATTGCAACAATGAAATAAAATTAAATAAAATACATAAAGGTCATCATGATAAACATGTACATAGGAAACACTTTAAATCACGGGTATCTCGCCGCGTCATGAGACGTGTCATGACGTATTGTGACTTTTTTCGCATTGCCGGAGCAAGTATGAACACGGCCTCTGCATGATGCAACTGGTCTGCGGGCCGGCAGTTTGACACCCCTGCTTTAAATGGTACTAAATAAGACAACCTCTAACAATTAAATTCAACATCCTCATTTGAAACCAAAATAAATTGTAATAGAAAACATGTCTTCTTTTGACTCTCATTATTTGTTTTACTTCATTATCAAGAACCATGTGATCCATATGAAGACACCATCTCTGAACTGCTATGTTAACAACAAAAAAATTCAAGAACAAATATGGGCTTGTAGAGAAGTCCACATGGGTTGAGAATTATACAATCTGGAATGCAGAAGCTGGACAGGCCAATTCTAAGCAATTTTGTGAGTAAGCAAAATACTTATATAGTTAATGTTTATTATTATTTTTTAAAATAGCATTGGTAGTTGGCAAACGTTTATTGATTATATACTATCAGGACTTTGTCAACTCTTTGCGAGTATGTTGATACACGAATGAAGATAAATATATGCATCCCAGGATAATGTTGCAGGATCCAATCTGTGTCGGCCATCAGGGCTAGATTTCATTCAGTTTTGTTTTCCGAGCTTTCGGATTCGTGCTGGAGCCCATCCTCAGGGAATCTCTCTCTCACACAATCTGGTAAGAGAGAAGGTCCTTGAGGATGGGCTCCAGCACAAGTTTGAAAGCTCGGAAGACTAAAACTAGTCCCAGTGACGGACGCAGATCCTGCTACATTGATATATTTTCTCCATGGTGATTCGTCCCTAACCTGATATTCCGGATCTTCCAATGGTGCACTCATCATCACTGCAACTGAGTCCATCTGTTTTGCTGCTGGTTGTCCTCTTCTGATCATGGTAAATATAGAATAGACGTTAAGGTAGCAAATAAGCTATTTTTCAGCTTATGGATATCAAAACCAATGGAGCCATCTCTGATCCAATTCCTGCTTCTAATTCTACCTAATTGCTTACAGTATACCATTTAGCTTTGTACATCCTTTACGGTTGCAAGATGTTTTCTCACATATGTCATTCAGTTTGTATTCCCTGGAATTTTTTAAATTATATTTTACTTATTTATTAAATTTCTATGCCACCCATCTCCCCTACAAGGTGTCTCTGGGTGGCTATAAGGCTTATAAGGTTCCCATCAGTGTGCTTATGAATATAATCCTGTTTATAATTCTTTTTCTCTAACATTATCCCCAACTTCAGCAAGTGACTGATTTATTTTAATAAGATTGAAACACTCCAATTTAAATAGACTCTTCATTCATCTCTCATATAAATTCTTGCTTCTATTGAAGAAAATCCCCCTTTTCTATTGTAAAAGCTTTCTTCTCTTATAAAAAGCAAGGAATGACCTTTGATTTAAAATATAAATAAAATATACCTTTTAACAGTGCCAGGAAGAGATGCATCACATATTTGTTTCTTATTTATGTAGAAACAGAATTCTGTAAAATCTTTACTTACCTAATCTTGCCAAGATGTTCTTGTTAAATTCAAAAAGCAGCCATTCAAAGGAGAGGTAGGTTCCTCATTACAAACTGGTGGCCTATTTGTGCACACACAGTGAACTTTGAATGCTATGATAATAAGAAAGTATTTATAATCTCCATAAAAATCTGACCAGGAAACTTTATTAGAACATTGGGGGTAAAGGTTCTTGGCAAAAGAATTGCGCAAGTGGCATATTTAGAGTCACTGCTTCACATTCTTCAGAATCTGATATAAAACGAGCGAAGGTGCAAGGTTGCCAAAGGAAAGAAAAAAGGATGCTTATGTGCCACGTTGGTATGTGTGTCTATACAAGGTTACAGTTGGCAACACTCATTTAACTTATACAGGAAACAGAATAACAGAGTTGGAACGAACCTTGGAGAACTTCTAGTCCAATCCTGCTCAGGCAGGAAACCCTATGCCATTTCAGAAATTTTCTGCTATGAAATTTTATTTATCTTTTCTCTGGAATAGCTAAAATCTACTTAAAAAAAGATTCAAGATATAAAATATTTTGTCAACTGCCTAATGTAATTGCCTTTCAAGAACCAATGAAGAAAATAAACTCTATCAGCTGTTCAGGGCAGTCACTATGAGGACAATGTGTGACTTCAAGTAAACATGAATTAAAGTGGAATGGGGAACTCATGACATTCAAGATGTGCTTTGTTGGATTAAAAACTTCAGATAACTGCAACCATTTTGGCCAGTAGTGATGTAATATGGGAAGATATATCCCACGCTAACTATCAAGCAAAATTTGTTATTTCTACAGGCTCTTACCAATAAAACATTAAAATCCAAGGTTCTCTAGAAAATGGCACCACCTCAGAGTGACACCCAAGGAAACCAGCATGATTGTATTCCTAAACAAATGAATGCCTTTTTTTCCCCAAGTAAATGAGTCATGTTGTTGCATTAGTAGATTTTTGAACCCTGAATGTCAGTAGGAAATACGATTTGCTAATAAAACTATTATAGTGACTAACTATTATAAATACCAGGCACGCCTAGCACATTTATTGCCAACTGTGAAATACCAGTTGTTTGATTTATATTGCCCTTTGTTCATTTTTCACAATACCTACATTTTCATGATTATCTCACTTAATTAGTGTATGAAATAATTAACTAATGGCTTTAGAATGCTATTGCACTATGCATTATTTTTTTTCTCTGTTGCCACAATGGAAGTTAGGAGGGCAATACCATCTACTGGTATAATTGGTAGAAGAAATTATTATTATTATTATTTATAAATTTTATTGATTTTCTAATATTTTTATTGATTTTCTAATATTTTCACATATTTGAAAAGCAACGTGGAGGTTGGGTAGTATTAATTCAATTACATACAAATATCATTAGTACAGATTTCAAATTGCTACCATAAACATTTCCTCTCTTTTCCTCTTCATATATACTGTCTATTTGTAGATTTAAAACAAGTTTTATTCTATCAATCACCTAAAAATAACTTTCCTACATTTATCAATAGTTTTTAGTTTATATATTTATATTCTAGTTGTTTTACAATACAATCTTTTAGACAATCAATGACCTAATAATTTTTCCAGTTTTAATTTCCACTAACATTTACCGTAAATGCCGGCGTATAAGACGACTTCTGCAAATGCTGAAATCGGTGCCAAAGACGGGGGTCGTCTTATACGCTGAGTCGTCTTATACGCCGGAAATACTGGTAGTTTCCGGCGTATAAGACGACGTTCTAGGAATGCGGCCCAGCTATAAAGACGGGGGTCGTCTTATACGCCGGGTCGCCTAATATGGCGGCATATACGGTAAATTTAACATTTAATATTTATTATTCCCAAGATTTTTAATATACCTCCAATTCCTCTATCACCATTCCTCACAAGATCTAATGTTCAAAATACACATCTTATCTGTTTAACTTCTCACCCTCTACATCAACAAATTTATAATACAATCTAATATCCTTCCTTTCTGCTAGTTTTCGATTTTTTTAAAGTAGTAATCATAATTTCTTTTTATTTCAGTATTTAATGCTTCCTCTCTTCCTCTTTGTATCTGCTGTCTCATGCTTAAACTAATAATTTTTGTTACTGACGTTCCATATAGGCCTGTTTATTACTTTCATCAATATGTTTTTAGCTTCTCTACATCCTATTCACCTTTATATAACCTTTATATACAAATCTAAATTCAAATTTAGCTATTAGTATTCATACTGCTAAGTTTTAATGACCAAAAACTTTTCTTATGTTCAACATGCACATCTTATCTATTTAAGTATATGCTGTTTCAAATTTCGATAAGATGGTTGAAACTCCATTCTTCTTCAGTCTTATTCTAGCTTTTTTCCTTTGCCAAATCATATTCCATGTCCTTGTTGTTGCGTCATCAAGCCAATCTTCTTGTAATGTCATATATTATTTGGTGTTGATGAATCTGTCCAGTCACCACTTTTTGAGAGGACTTGTAGATCTGGTGGGTCGTCTCTTTATTCTTCCATATCGATGTGGTTGTTCTGAGTTGTTTATCTTCTCATCCAACTGTTCTTTTTCTGGATCCTCCAGTTCCTTCTGATTTATATAGAAAACCTTTCCCTTTTTCCAAGTTGTCCATGTCTTTTCTGGATTTTCAAATGTCAATGTTTGTTGAATAGTTGATTCTTCTGTCCTGGTATTTGAATGTTTCATTTTTTCTATTGTATTTTGTATAGATGATTCTTTAGTTGCAGTCAAAATTTGGGCTTTCATATCTGGGCTGTCTTTTTGTTCCTTCCCATAGTTTCTTAATTTTTCATTGGCTGTGGTGAGAGTTTAAATTATTGTTTTCAACACAGAGAGAATTTGTTGATCTTTATCCATAAGGAGATTTTGTTCCTGATCCTCTTCCATATTTTAGACTAAAGGCTTTACAATTAGGAAGTCCAAAAGAAAGGAAAAGTTTTTTTTTCTGGGTAAGGAACACAAAGCCTTTCACAGCTGTTATTTCAAAATTTTCAAGGTTATGTGTCTTATCTATTTCTCTGGTCTGTCAGCCAAGCCCCTGAAAAATAACAAATTAAAATACCAAATTTGACCACATGGTGTTGCCTCTACCTTTTAAAGTCTCCCTTTGAGTCCCAGAGTTATTTTAATATTTTCAGCTTTTCTTCTTATTTATAAGGAAAAAAAACCCCCAGATTTTCAACAGAAATAATGAGAAATAAAAAGTAAAAAGTCTTTCAATCCATAAGCTTTAGGAAATAAAAGTTCCAATTAGGATCCAATTATTTTTTCAACGTTTTCAAAAAAAAAAAGCTCTTCTGTATATTCAATTGCTGCTGTTTCTAGAGGGAGGGTTAAAATCCTTCCTTCTCCACAGGGGGGAAAGTACTTCAGCAGCTTATGCAGGTAATTAAGTAATTAGGATGTAAGAGAGCCAGTCCTGTCCACGCTGCTTTGAAGTTGCCAGATGGTAATGTGACTTCAGCTGTTAGCAGCCTAAGGATGAGCCATATTTCTATGGCCGGTCCTTTTGTCCGCCGGTTTGGAGGGATTGCCAACTCTAGCGGGAGAGATGCTGCTCTCCCATGATCCAGCAAATGCCCCTCCTTGCTGGTCGCCTCTTTGGGGTGGACTTTCGGCCCTTTTCAGGCCCCCCTAGCGATGCGAAACTGGACGGGGGGAGAGAGAGCAAGTCTCCCAGCCATCCATGGCAGCCGCATCTGCAGAAGAAATTATTTTTATCTTCACAATTCCGGTGTGACTGCTGCAAGCAGGCTATTTCTTAAATAAGTTATTTTTAAGACCAATGGATGCAATTGTAAAAGAAAGCTTCTGTGTAGGTTGTGAATAAAAATGAAAACAAACAATGAAGAAAACACTGAGAAAAATATATATAGCCTTTGAGTCAGTGTTGACAAGTCCCTGCAGTTCTTGGCAATGTTTTTGGAAGTGGTTTACCATTTCCTTCTTCCTAGGGCTGAGATAATATGACTGGATCAAGGTCACTCAGTTGGCTTTATGCTTCATGTTCTCTGTTTGTTAGCCAAATACCTTAACCACTACACCAAAATGGTTCTCTAGGTCAGGGGTCCCCAGCCTGTAGGCTGCAGCCCACTACTGGGCAATGGCCTCTTGGCCACTGGGCCATGTGAAGGGATAGCCAGTGCATGTGCATTGTGCATGCACTTATGCGCCACATTCACGCTAGTGCTGCCCCAAGCATCCCACTGGTGCTAGCACCACCCCAAGCGTCCCACTGACACTAGCGCCACCCTGAGCATCCCACTAGCGCTAGTGCCACCCATTTGTAGCACTCACACTTGTGCAGCCCTGTTTGTATGTGCACATGTGCTCAGGCACAGCCTGTTTGTGTGTGCACATATGTTTGCACATGGCCCATCTGTGTGCATGTACATGCATGTAATGATGCCTGCCTCCCTTTCCGGGCTGCCAAACCAAAAAAGTTGGAGACCTCTGCTCTAGGTACATATTTAAAACCTTTTAAAAAGTTTTCTGATTTAAAATGAAATAGCTGGAGATGCAGAAAGTTTGGTAAAATGGCTCTAATAGAGTAGATCAGACATGTCAAACTCGTGATGTCACGTAACATTGCGAGACGTATTGGAACAGTTTTGCCATTGCCCACAGTGGGGTGGGTGTGGCTTCTGGATGACATGTCCGGCCTGCAGGCTGGCAGGTTGACACCCATGGAATAGATTATATAAGGCTCTAAAGCAGTGGTTCTCAACCTTTCTAATGCCGTGACCCCATAAAACAGTTCCCCATGTTGTGGTGACCCCCAAGTGGGTGTGGCCACCAATAAGAGGGAGTAGGACAGCTAGGGAAAAGGCAAAAAAATTGGCGGACTGCGTTGTTTGGCGACCCCCGTGAAATGGTCGTTTGACCCCAAATGGGGTCCCGACCCACAGGTTGAGAACCACTGCTCTAAAGGTAATGACCAGGACTTTGAATAGGGCCTGGAAACTAGTGTTGCAGTCTAAGAATAGATGTAAATTTCCCTGATTAGTTTCCTGCTTGGTGAATCAGTTATAGCCTCTACATTGTCTTCAAAGAGGGCATGGAACTAATCCAATAAGTTGGTGATTAGGATAAGATCTATTATCTCAAGAACACACTGTTGTACCTGCAATAGTAATTTATGCACCAGCTTCCCCTTGAGGCATCATCTTCCAGAGATCAACCAAGTGGCATGGCAAGCTTAAACTCAGAAGATATGATCCTGATATAATCAGGAGATTGATAATGAGCAGCCAATTCCAGAGATGCCAGATGAACCACTGCTGAGGTGGGGAGAGGAGCTGTAGACAGACGAAGTGGGGCTGTCCCTTAATCGGCAGGCCCAGCTGCTATGGGATTCAAAGTCTTAGCTGCCACCATGTCTCAGTGCAAGGGCTTGCCATGCGGAGAGGAGAGGAGAGGAGAGAAGAGAGGAGAGGCATTCTGTAAGATTCCTCACAAGGAAGGAGCCCTTCCAAAAATCAGTAGTGGAAGCTGCTTATATTGAAGGAGCATATCAAGCTCAAGGCTCTCCATTAATAACTGTTCATTTACCCAGACTGTGTATGCCTTGATTCTCGATTTGAAATCTGTCTGGACCCAGACTGTCTGAAAAAACCTCTATGACATTTGGTCCCTTGGACTTCACTTGACCCCTTTTGTGCCTGCTCTTTGGATTGGAACTCTTTTAAGGCAAACTTAAACTTTGGGAGACTTGTCTCTCTACTGTGTGTGTGAATGTCTCTTTGTGTTCATATTTCCTCTACTGTTTATTTATTTCACAAAACTTACCAATAAAGTATTCAGCCCCCTTTCTCTGTGCTTATGTGTGTTTAGCCCGGGACAGGACACCACACTGAAAATAGAGCTGTCCACTAAATTGTTGAGAAAATCTCTAGCTCCTCCCCCCCGAAACTCCAGATCCATCAGAGACCTCTTGGATTATTCTAAACAATCATCTACTCTTGCAGATGTTCAGGTGGGTTGAGCTGCAGTTTGAGTAGGATCTGGTATGACCATTGCAAAATACACAAGTTGGTCTTCCATATCCAGATCACATTTCATCTGCTCAATCTGTGTGTGTGGGAGCTGCAATGACATTTTGGATGACATGCCAGTGTTCACCAGCAGCCAACACTATTTTCAAAAGCATGTCCTGTTCTTGGCCAGTTTTAGAGGCTGTGGAGAGCCAGGGGTGAGCAATTAATTTTCTCAAATGGTCACATGAGACACTGGGACTATTGTGGACAGCTGCCACTACTGCCCACCCCTGCTGCTACACCATTGCCTCATTCCTGTGCTACCGCCCTACCCCTTCCACTGACACCTCCAGGCTGATGCTGGTGATGCCCTGCTCCCTGTCACAGTCTGGATTGGAACTGCTCACAGACCAGATGTCTGGTCTAACCCAGAATCTCTGGAAATTGCACGAGAATGGACATGCTTTTGTGTAGGATTTGAAGGCTGCAGAGGCCACAGAAGAATGCTTCAAAAGCAAAGTCCTCATCTGGGTTGGAGCAAACTCAAGTAGGCCGAAGGCCTGTCAACAGAAAGAAAAAACTGCCAGGCAAATCCTGAGGAGCACTGGGCCATGGAAGCAATCAACCATTCTGCAAAACTCGCATGCCTTGGTGAATGGCTTGTGGTGGAGTTTTTGAGTGGCAGTCATGTCCAGCCTAAGAATTGCTACTGATTGCCACTGTTCAGGGTGGCCTAGATTGGGAGGGGGGGGGAGATAATTCTCTTTGTGTGTGTGTGTGTGTGTGTGTGAGAGAGAGAGAGAGAGAGAGTGAGAGAGAGAGAGAGAGAGAGAGAGAGAGAGAGAGAGAGAGAGAGAGAGAGAGAGAGAGAGAGAGATGCCAGCAGACTCAAGTTAGGCATTTTCTGAATTTTTGACATGTCAAGCCCAAAAGGTTTGTCATCACTGCTCTAGCTTGTCTCTGTAGCTTAATATTACATACAGGGGCTCTCAATCAGTTACCTTAACAGTTCTACTGCTCACTCCAATGCTTTCACAAGTAAGTTTCACCTCTTTTTCCATGAATCATAAATAGGGAAAGGTTTCCAATTCAATTGCAGCCACCCTTTTGACTTTTCTGATTCCTTTGATGAACATCCTGGTGATTCATGTCCTAGTATAGTGTATGAATGGAGTCAAATGTGGCTTATTCAGTAAACAATAGATTTATAAACATGAAAATTGTTATTTCCTTGTACAGTGTACGGGAATTCTTTCGTGAACAATATGCTTTCTTTTCAAAGCTGAATTGACGTAAATCTTTTGAATTTCGAAATTTCCAATCTAAAATCTGATTGAAATATTTCAAGCACTGAAAAACATCAAAACAAGCATGACACTTTTTCAGATCTAAGACTGAATTTGTATCAGTTCTAGGACATACAGTACAAATATGTACAAATACGGCAGTAGCCCAATATCAGTTCTAGTTTTAACCACCAGATGGCAGACCTCTGTAGAAAAGAAACTGCAGTGGCACAAATTTGCATTGTTTTTAATAAATAGCAGTTCTTGTAATTCCATTAGCAATGGAAGAAAAGAATAAAAAAATATGCAAAAGTACTGCAGTATTTAAAAACTGTACAAAAGAGAGAATTGCAACTGTTGAAACAAAGCAACACGTGCCCTTAAACAATAACAAAATTAGTTCTGAAAGAATAGATTACATCCAAGATATTTAGCAGTAGCACAAAAATGAAGTAAAATCATATTTGAAAAAAGGAATGGCACACAGCCTGAACCCTAAAGCTGTACCAGTAGAGAAACAAATATTATGCACAAACTCTGGAATTGGGTCATTGGTGATCCTGGAAATAATGCATCATCAAATCCATGTGAACAAAATACTATTGTATTCCTTCCGTCTCTCATATCAAGTGTATAAAACTAGAAATATTGAAATTCTATTTAACCAATGGGGTTTTCATGCATATTTTGAAAGCCCAAGGTTTGAAAAATCTTCAGTGGAGCTATAGTTGGATGGATTTAGGAATTGGCTACAAATAGCTCACTTATGAACTATTTGTACTTTAATTAACGATCCTTCGAGGCTTCAACAAGATTCAGGGAGAAAATATATTTGGTAAGTCTCCTGTTTGGCCATTAGCAAAATTATAATGAAAGGAGTATGTCATCCTGGAAAAGCCCTTCTGTTATGGATAAAAGTTGGGAAACTCTTGTGGAGAGATACACAGAGAAGCAATTCTTAAAAGATGCCAGAAGTACAGAGAATAACTCATCTTTCTAATAAACCTTTTCCTCCTTTATACTATGGCTGAATCCCCCCCCCCCGAAAATCCAGTTGAATACTAAATGCTGTTAACAGAAATTAAGGCTAGTTTAATTCTTTGTCTTGCTTTGTTTAATGCCATAGTCTTGCTCTTTTAAAAATTGTCATCAGTTTACACTAATCAGCAATTTTTCTTTCTTTCTTTCAGCAAAAATGAAGAAACCAGAGCAAATTTTATTTACCACAATCTCAAAAACAGCAGCAGAATAATGAAGAAAATAAGAATCTTTCAGAAATCCAAGGGTTTTTTTTTGGGGGGGGAAAAGGAAGCGACAATTTTCATGGAATAGTTACATTTGCTGTTTCTACTACAACCCAGTAAGACATCCATGGCACCATCAAAGTCAGACAACTTGGGCTGATGTAAAAAGCTGAGCAGGCTGAACCTGATTAGTGTTTAGATAAGGGATCATCAGGAAATACCAGAGCTGTGGACATTACGGGGAAACCTGAAAACACATCCTGGAAGGAGGCAGTAGAAAACTACGCCTGAAAAGAAAACTACATGGACATTGCCGTAAAATTGCTGGTTGCTGAGCTTGACTCGAAGACTGTTCTCCGTTGACCATACAGACTTTAACGTGGGGAAACATGCAAACATTTGTGCATGCACACACACATGACTCTAAAAAGAAAGACAAACTAAAATGGCTTAAGCTGTGTATTTTTTTTATTTTTGGCAATAAATAAAATATATATTCTGTCTATATGTGATTTACAGATAGAATTTTATTTCTTGATTTCTTTTTTCAGTGTCACCAGAATTTCAATTTCCCTTTAAGGATTTTCCCCCTTGAAATAAACTGTATCTGCTAAGACTCAATACTACAAGAGGGAAAGATGGTAAATTTCTACCAGGCACCAGGCTCTTTAGTCTAACATGGTCCTCCTGGCCATTTGTCTCTGAATTATTATTACCCTTTCTCAATCAATCGGCTCCTTCAAAAACCTTGAAATTGCAAAAACCCACCATTGCAAAATCAGCACTGGCCTATACTGTCCCTCCTGACTGATAGATTCATACTTGAATATTAATCTTGGTAACAGAACTAGAGCTAGATTGACAGTCTATTAAAAAAAACCTGAAATAATTACAGCACCTTAATGACAATGTTCACAAAGCGGTTATAATGAAGATCCAAAACTGATACCGTTCTAATCATATTTAGCCATAAAGTTAACCCAGAAAAATGGGGTTTCCTCAGTAAGCCAGGGTTAAGCCTACTATGGCTTAATGTAACAAAGTACATGTTTTACAAACAGAAGATCCCATGTTAGCACTTCCACTTAAAGGGATCTGAGGCAATAAGTTTGGAAAGACCATACAATGTCACCACTGATGACATCATCAGCGCAGAGGAGACTGAGATGGCTGGATCAATTTGACTTCATATTTGTTACAGTCATATCCTGCCTTTCATTCAGAAGCTCAAGGCAGCAACTCAGTTGAACTAGATCATTGTGTAGAGCAGGGGTGTCAAACTGCCGGCCCACGGACTGGTTGCATCATACGGATGCCGTGTCCACCCCAGCTCCGACAATGCAAAAAAAGTCACGATACGTCACGTGATGCGACGAGTTTGACACCCGTGGTGTAGATCAAGTTCACACGTGACAGTGCAAGGGAAGAAGCCAATAGGAAGCAAGAGAATAGCAAACAAGATCCCTGGGATCACTACCCATCAAAAACTGGGAATACCAAAGAATGATCAATTTCACCTTTCACATTAACAATGAATAATATCACTGAGAAGAATATCAAAACAGTTTTACTTGCCCCGTACGTAATTCACTTTCAGTAAGCATACCTTTCATTTATTCATGGTAACACTGCAAAGAATATTGGTACGTGGTCAGCAAGTTTTATTTTTATGAAACTGAATTCTCAGAATGTGTAATTTTGCAAACTATATTTGTACATAAAGTACCCCACAGATTTATAGCTAATTAAAAAGTATCAATTACCTCTAAGCTATTAGGATCTGACCACAATATTTGGTAATAGCCTCCTCTTAAATGACTTTATAAAGTAAAAAATAAAATGCACAGACACCAATTTTATCACAACTTATCAGCTATGATGTTAACTGGAACCTCCATGTTCTGAGATAGCATATCTCTAATCACCAAATGCTGAGAACAGGGAAAGGTACTGTAATGCATTCATGTCCCATTTATAGAGTTTGTGCAAAATTTGGCTGGAAACAAAATTGAATCTAATCTTGCAAAACTGATATTTTATATGTTATTTATAGCAATTTGAATAATTTCAACAATTACTCTGATCACAATCAACTGAAATAAGTATTTGTTAATTATATTTCACCAATTTTCTCAAATGAAGTTAGTATTCATTAAAACACTTATTTTTTGCATACCATTTTTTTCTTTTTCCCAGTGAACTATTTGTTCATAAATTTTAAACTAAAACATGCTCTTAAATATTTGATTAAAGCAACAAAACTGCACTGAAATGCATTCTCTTAGGCTAAAAACGTAATCTAAGAAACATAGTTTGATTTTGGAATATCATAAAAATATTTCAAATATATTTCAAATAAAAAAAATAATGGCTCTTGGAAGAAAATTGATTTAAAATTTTGTAAAGGCCTTAAGTTTTGTCTTTTATTATTTAAACATCTGAATTTATTTTACACCTACCTAATCCTATTTCATCAATATGACTGTAAATTTAGTGGAAATATTTCTCCTTAACCCATTTAATATTTGCAAAAAGAGATTTAAAAGGCACTTTCGACAAAATATTTTTGTGCAAGAGGGTTTCTATATCTATTCATAAAAGTTAACTAGTGCTCTACATTGCTGGTTCCTATAACTTACAAAGAATATTGCATCTAATTCATGTATATTTTAAAAATCAGAAATAATTTCTATAGGGACACAAATGTGCATACATGGATACCCTGACTAATTATAGTTTCTCATTGCCAATTATGTTCTGCGTGCTTTTTTTTAAAAAGAATGCAAAAGCGATTTTGCTTTAGGACAAATTTAAAATCTGAAAATATTGGCAGATTAATATACTTTCAAGTGGGCTAAAAGGATTCTTGCAAGTTTTTCTATGTAACGGTTTTCACCATTTTGTGTGTTTAACTTTTTCACAATTCATTTTACCGCTCTATTCCACGCACATTTTTTCTATGGGATGGGGGTACCAAATGGATGGGCAAGATATTAGGAAGTTCATATCCTTCCAATTTTATCTTGATGAGATGCTTCGCTAATGCAAATTCCTCTTCGTCCAACATGCCATCGTTATCACAGTCAGCAAGTTTCCAGATTTTTCCCAAGACACTGTTTGGCAGTTTGGAGGTCAGCATATCTTTCTTTGCATTGGCCCCAGAGATTCTACCATTGACTGGTGAGAGAGTGTAAAAGATTTCATCGTATGTGGGTTTATCTTTGGCAACAACCCATTCCTCCTCATCAGCTCCTTCCTTGGCACCTTCCCCATAGCCATGGTCAAATGGTCCTGCTGTGGTGCCATCAAATGCCCCACCTTGCACCTTTTGTGTTGGCATGCTACGTTCTTCCTGTGTAACCAGAGTCATTAAATAAGCCACTTTATTGGCCAGCATGTTATCGACGGCTTCTATCAGTTTTGGTCTCAGTGAATGGAATTTAGTGAAGTCATAGTTCTCCAATTGTTCCTATGAAATGACAAAAACACATAACAATGACAAGTCAAAATCTTTTCAATAACTCCTTGAAGAAATTCTTGATGCTTACCAAGTTTGAAAAGGAGGAATACAGAACGTTGCAACAGCATTAAAGAGTAAACAATATGTTTGAGGAAACAATATTTATCCAGTCTGCGTAAACAGGACACAGGATGAAAATTTAAATTCATTGCATCATAGAATATTGTTAAGTACGAGTAGAAAAACAACATATCTCTAGGTACAGAATTTCCATCAGCAGCAATCAACATAATCAATTGAATTTCAACTCAACAATTCCTATACACTTATTTGGAAACCAAACGAGGTGGCGCAGCAGTTAGATTGCAGTACTGCAGGCCACTTTAGCTGACTGTGTTCAGCAGGTCAGCGGTTCAAATCTCACCGGCTCAAGGTTGACTCAGCCTTCCATCCTTTCGAGGTAGGTAAAATGAGGACCCAGATTGTTGGGGGCAATGTAAATATATATATATATATATATATATACACACACACACACACACACACACACACACACACACACACACACACTGCTTACTGGTGTACACCGCTTAGAGAGTGCTTGCACTTAAAGTGGTATATAAGTCTCATAAATAAATAAATAAATAATACTTTCAATGTTAGTAACTTCTCACCCCACTAATGCTATTCACAAGTAAGAACCTGCACTTAAAAAGTATGGAATGCATATAGTGTATACCTCCATCTTTTCCTCCTTCCCAAGAGGGGCATTACACTTCCAACTGAAGTTTCCCAGTCTACTTTTTATGACTGATTAAAAAGACATTATCACTTATTTATCATAGGCCTTAGCAAGGCCTATAAACCCTGACACTGAAGCTATTTATCAGTGCATCCAACAAATCTAAGACTTTAGCTCTCTCTTAAATTAGAGCCGAAAATTTTAAACAAGCAATGTGATACATTAAAATATTAATTTAAAATTAGGTATGTTGGCCATCCTGAAATTAAAAAGCAGGATATAATCATCATCATCATCACCATCTTCTTATGTTTGATTAAGAATAACAATAATAGGTATGTATCACTATAACATCTTTAATAAGTGGCTTATGCTTATGTTTCTCTCTCTCATAAGAGCTCATTTGCTTTAGCGTTTCTACCTCCCCTAATCTGCAAAACAATATAACAGACAATATTCTTCTAAAAGGGGTATAGGCGGCTGAGGTAGTAAGGGCAGCACTGAATGCTGACAAGATCATGAAGGTTTTTCAGTGTAAATATCCCAACCAGAAACACAACCTAACCAGATAGGATTGTTGAAAGCAAATTGCAAAGCTAGGTGGGAATAGTTCTACGAGAGGACAGCACTTTTTTATAAAGTGCATCAGCAACAGCAACATCACCATCACCTTCCCAAGTCCATACAAAAAACTCGATATGTGGATAGAAATCTAAAGTCTAAACATCTGGCACACTGTGTGACCAAGCTTACTTATTTATTTATGGCCTTGCATATGGAGCTTAAAGGATCACACAGCCATGGAGCTGGTCGGTGTCCCAAGAGCCCTCCCCTTCCAGTTGATTTTTAACTGGGGCTTAATTATTTTTGCCACCCTCTAAAAACATTTCAGTTTTGAAATTTTAATTCTAAGGTTTTAATTTTGACATACTGTTTTATATTCTGACATTTTACTGTACACTACCCAGGTCCTTCTTTAAGGGAGATGGGCAGCTCAGATTTGTGAAAAATGAATAAATATTCTTTTCAATCATAATATATATCCCAAACCAATTGTGAGAAATAAAACTCAGACTAGATGGAGAGATGGAATTATTATTATGTACGCAACTTTGAGCAGATAAACTGTTGTTTGGTAGCCTATTTACCTGTAATGGTTTGATCTACTGAAATACAATACCTGCATTTTCTTGACTTCGGGGAAATCTCCTGATGAAATTTGATACTCCTGCTGTAGCTGACGATAAATTTCAGGTAATCTGTTGATCAATTCCTTCTTTTTATTTTCTTTTCCAAATACTGAAGGCATTTCTTTTTTCAAATAGCTGATTATATAAGCATGCACCTAAAAAGAGTAATTAGAGTTAAAAAAATATGTTTATATATTCATTTATTTTCATTTATCAATAAATGAAAATACTTTTATTTACATGCATATATGTATATTTCATGTAAATAAATTAAACACACACAAATCCACCCAGGAACTTGTAAAGCTGAATCATGGGCCTTTAATGAAAATCTCATATTCCAAAATAGCACCAACACAGCTCTAAAAAGAATTAGCAACTTCAAAATATACAACACTGGAACCAGAATCTTACATCAAACTGAGGATTTTGCTAGGTCAGGAAATTAGAATTATACATAAAATACAATGGATATGAAACTGCAGCAAAATCAAGTAAAAATAATATTTATATTTCTGGAAAAGTTCCACTAGAGAATAAGATCTTAAGTATTTCCAGCAAACATTTATGTCTGACTATGTATGGAAGAATGGGTCATAAAAAAAAGTAAACTCAAGCATTGTCCAACTTTTGAGAAGAGAAAGGAGAAAAAAAAAAGGAAGGCTTGAAGTAACTCAAAATCAGAAATGGGAGCAACTTCTAAGAAAAGGAAACAATGCACCCTTTAGTTCAGATTGTTGTGTTGAAAAACATAAAAAACTTATTAACTTCCACCATAAAAGGTGTGCTCAACCAAGTAAGCACACCTTTACTTCACCCTAGATGGCAGAAATCTTTTCCCTTCAAATCCTGGAGGTTGGAACTGTAGGAGAAAAGCTGTATTATTCTATTGTAGCCAAAAATCAGGAAGAATCTGGTTGAAGTTTTTTTTTTCCTGCCTTTTATTAAAAGGCAGAGGCTCCCAGGAACTGTAGCTCACTTCTTTGGTTCACTTCATTAGTCTGTGCATCTGAACTGCAGTTCTAGAAATTAAATGCTTTTTAATAAAATGGGTGAATCTGAAAAGGCATCACCTGACTCCTCCTGAGTTTTGAAATTAGGACAGACTTTTAATCCCTTCAGCAGGAAATTATGTATAAATTGTTAAGGTCTCAGAAATTAGTGTGTTTCCTTCTTTCTCTAGCTTCATAATCTTTTTCGATTATTGACAGGTAGGATCTATCATTATCCCAAACACTATTTACTGCAATAATCACATTTGGAAAGCTCAGCAGGATGTGACAAACTTTAACTTTGGAATTAAAGATTAGCCATATATGTGCTTGTATACACATATATGCATATAACCTATTCTCTCTTTTAGTTAATATCCTGTATATTACTTGTATATAGTACTTGTATGATTCCATCTTTAGACAATGCAATTTTACAAATGTCACCAGAGAAGGGTAGAAATATTAGAACTATTAAAAGAAGGAAACAAAGCTGAGGAACATTTATCTGAAAAGTATACTGCCAAGTTTCAGTAAAGTTTATCTTGTGCATTTGCCAAATGGGAATGGATTTCCCACAATATGCTATTTTAAAAGCTTCTTACCCCATTGTGGATGATACTGATGGATTGTGCCTGGATATAGATTAACCTCCCATATTGATACTGAACAGCAATTGCTATCTATATATGCAACATGTATGCATATACACATACAACAATGCTACCACTCAAAGAAAATGAATGAAACCATGTTCTGATTTTGAAACAAACAAGATGAAAGAGCTTCCACCTATTCTTAACAGCCAGGAAAATTACAGGAAAATGCCTGTACCAATCAGTACAAGTTTAGGGGGGGAGTCTTAATAATTATATCAATAGAAGTTGTGCAAGCACAATGTTTGTTCAAAAACCTTTACAAAAGTTATTTGTTTATTTAAAACATTTACATATCCATCCATCTTCTAACCAACTCTGGGCAGCTCCCAATCAAATATATAATTATATATAATTACATAATTCCCCCTTGTGAATCCAGAATATTTCAGTTACGAGAAAGAGAATGAAACAGTGTCTGGAATAAAAACAGAAGAGTGTATCATAATTAGCAATGGTCACAGATTGTATTTAGAATTACGATGGAAAAAAAGCTGAGACCACTGAACTGAAACTACAACATTCTTTGAATACCATTATGAAGCATAATTAAAACTCCTCTCTAAGAAAGGTAAATCTTGTAATATATTCACCATAGTTTGTAAAGCCATTGGAATTTTGTTTTGTTTCTTTTACTTCAAAAGGTATTGAAATTTCTGTTCAATGGCTACAAATTCCCTTTCTGCCTTTCTTGCTTATACCACATGACATTCAATATCATTAAGCAGTTTAAACCTGATACCGACAGAAAAAAACACAATCCTGGATTTAAGAAGAAAAGGGACCAAGACAAAGAAAAAAAATTAAAAGTGAATTAGGATGCCTATATTTGTATATACAAGTTTCTACATACAAGTTTACAATAATTTATACTATTTTTATATAAATTAAATTAATGAATTTAAAATATTAAAATATATTTATATTTTTATATATATCTAATTGATGCAGCAGGTTCATACAAGTTGATTTCTTTCAAATGATTACTGCCTCAGGTCCTGCAGTAATAAGTGCTCCTAAACGAATCACAGAAAACAAAAACAAATAAAATAATTTCTTTGTATCCCACTCCTTATTCATGTTAGCATTTCCCTGGCTGCGTGCAAAAAAATTCTAGCATTTTTTATGTGTGGCAGCTCAAAGGTTATTGAGCCAGCTTTCCCCACAAAAGACCCAAACCTCAGAAGCCAAGATGCACGACCAGACAGAGGATCCTACCACAAGTTTTTCACAAAACTGGATTAGAAGCCAAGATGATGCATATCAGGCTTTGCCCAATTTTACTGGTTGGTTTAAAGAGATAAACCGATCAAACGTTATCCAAGGTCAATAAATGAGGGGACTGTTGAACCTGAACCTTCTGAAATCCTGCACAATTTAAGGTGGGGGGAGGGGGAAGAAGAGAAAAAAATAAACAAAACACTTTAAATGCTGGCGGCTTGGTTATATTGAAATAGGAAGATTCCACAGCAGTCTCAACAATTTGATTTTTTCCCCTCTTAATAAAACAGATAAAAGGGCTTTCAGGTTAGGATCTATAGTGGACTAGATGTCCTTGAAAGAATGGAAACGGCAACGTGGTGGACCCTGATTACTCTGACAGTGCATTCTGTCTGGTGCAGTCATTCTGGACAAAAAGAAATCATGAGATTGCCCATTTGCAGAAGGGAGGAAACTTGATTTTTACTCTTTCCCTTGCAATTGAGACAGTTTCACTTCTGGATTACAATATTACAATGACAACCACTAGAACAGTGGCAAAAACAGCAGAAGGGAGGAAAGGGCCACTAGTGCAAGCTGCAGAGAGTATATTTCTTGTTTGGCATTTTCTGACCACAGAGGAATAATCCTTTAATTATTTAGTGTAATAAGAAATTCCTTAAAAGTTATTTTTTTAAAAAATGCAGAGACCATTAAAGCCATAATTTTCTAATGGTAGAACAAAAAGGAAAAGAGGAAAGGAAAGGATGTAATTAAAGCTTTGATATGTGAGGAGAAAAATATTTTGAAGAAAGAAAATAATAACATTTCGCAAAATTTCTACCATGGAAGACAGTGGAGTCCCTTTGCACTGACCATCAGCACTCTAGTTTACTAGGTGTCTATTTTTCCCCACACAATAATCATCATAATGACATTTCTGCGACTTTATATAGATGGCCACTGCAGATGAAAATGCCAAGTCAACAAATCAATCACATCAGTCAGTACCTATATATTACACTCCACCTTACCTTTGCAAGCCGTGACCTCTTGATCAGATCATTCAGTTTTCTCACTGTTGCTTTTTGTGGAAGATTCTGAATGTCTTGGAAAAGATCTTGTGCCTCTACCTCAAACAATTTTCGATTCTCTGTGTTTTGCAGGGGCTGGGCCCAAAAAGAACCAATGTAAACTCGCAATACCTCTGGAGTATTAATTACTTTGCCTAAGGACCACATGAGTGCACCATATACTCTCATTAACTGCTGGGTGTCCACTTGGTCAGCCTTATTCAACACCACCCGTATCTTGTCATCCTGACCCCGGAAGGCCTTGATTGCTTCTGAGAATTCATCAGAAATATCAAGTTTATGGGCATCAAATAAAAGGATGATACGATCAACCCGCTCAGCAAACCACTGCAGGACATGACAGAAGTCGTAACCTGAACAAAAAAGACAATAAATAGGAAAAGGTGATGAAATATGATTTTGCTCACAGTTTTTCAACATAACTCTTGTAAGATGAAGCAAGACATAATTTCGTAGTGCTTGAAAGAGTAGCAGGTTTCAGACGTTACAGTGGCAGCCAGTTCAGCTTCACTCTGCACAGCAAATAATTTTCATGAAGAGCTACTCACAAAAATTGTTCATATGTATTTGAACATGAACCTAAAGCAAGTATCATAATAAAAATGTAGAATTACACAGATTGTCAAAAATACAGGGAATACTCACACATACAGTGGATACCAAAAGCATATATCTTACTCCAAATTATTAACTCCACAGTTACAGACAGGATTTTCCTAGCTAAGTTAGATGATTTTCCTCTATAAATGACAGCACTAGCTTCAAACCTCATTAAACTTGGCAACACATAACAGCCCAGCATGGCAAAAATCTATTGCAGTAGAGATTCTGTTATTCATACATTTTTCCATGCCAGTACTTTTGGGATTAAACATTGCTAAATTTGCAGAGGTTGGTGCTATCATTAAAAGGGGAAAAACAAAACAAAACAAAACAAAAGAACACATTGTAAAACTGAGAAAGGCAAGAGAAAGAAAAGGGAAGAGATAGATTGAGGGAGAAAAGCTAAAATGCCTTGGATGGGAAAAAAGATAGATCCTTTTGAGGTGCGATATTTTTGGCAGATATATTACAGGCAGTCCCTGGTTAAGAACATCTGACTTACAGACAACTCACACTTATGAATGGACTGCTATAAAGCCAACGCTATTAAGAATCTGAGTTAAATACAATGGTTCCTAATAACAAATGCATGCACTATTTTGTGACACCCATGAGAACATTGTGCAGCTTCAGCAGTTCATTATGCAGCTTCATTCTTTGAAGAAGAAAAGCTCTGTACAAACCTCCCTTGGTGTCTACTTCAAGGTAAAGGTAAAATATACACTATATACTAAAATAAATATTTGAATAATGGACACTAAGTAAAAATCATATGTACCTGTTCTGACTTACCTACAAATTCAATTTAAAGAAAGACTTAGGAATTGATCTTATTCATAACCTGGGGGGCTTTATGTACGTTAATTTCTGAAATTCTTAAGTATTGAATCTAAATCTTCAGCACACAACACATATGATTCATTGTTTTGTTATTTTCAGTTAGCAGCATTACAAAAAAAAAAAAAAAACCCACCAAAAAACAGCATGTGATAGAAGCATGTGTTCAGGGAGATATCAGTTAAATATTAATTAATAATTTTGCAGGAATATACTTCAGAATCAATCTTGCAAAAACCCTTCAAAAATCTGAAATCTCTGTAGAGAAGTAGAGATATCAGATATGATTTAATGGATACTCACTGTTAATATGGTTTAATATTTCAAATATAATGATATACTTTATTGTTAGACACTTTAAACACTATTTTACAAGAAATGTAGAGAATATTACAGTAATGTCATAAATAAAAAAATAATCAAATAAAGCAATCAACCTTATTTGATTGTCACTTCAGAATCAGTGTAATGTGTCCTAAGTGGTGAATATTATAAAGCCATATCAAAACTAAATTACAAAACTTACAAATTATTATTGGTTTGATATTCTCAAAGTTGTATACAATAACTACCAGTTCCTTCAGTTCTGCCCTATTTATAGTTTTATTAATATGTCAATATCATCAATAACCAGTTTTCTCTAATTTGTGCCTTCCATGTATTGGAATTATTACTTTCTCAATCTTTGGTCAGTGTGCTGAGAACTGTAGACCTGATATATGTGGAAGGCTTCAGTTTTGAGTTAAATATGACAATAGCTTAATATAGTATTAATAACACAATTCTAACAATTTTAATGACTTGATTTAATAAATGAATAGTAGAGACTCAATATAATAAAATTATGTATATTGCATTTTACCTAGTAGTCTTAAACATTAGAAATGCTTCACATATATTATTTGGTTCTAACTTTTAAGTAATTCTGTGCAGTCAAGTTGAAGTTTTCCCCTTATATATTTCAAGGTTTTATTCAATTACTTTTTAATACGATGAGCATTATAATCAAAGGAAAATGTTGCAATCTTTCAGTTCAGAGACAGTAATATGAGAGAACATAAAACACAGATTTAACGTCTAACAGATTGTGGCTTAGAACACTGTAGAAGCATCTAGAAACATGGCTGGACAAACTGGGCTTGGTATGTTCAATAACTATTCTAATGTTTGAATTATTTTATTTTTAAAAAATTACTTCCAAATCTATTTTTTATTCTGTCTGTGGTAAGTGCCTGCTGCCAAAGGAAGAGGGCATATATGTTCATATAAAAAAGAGGAAAATCACCTCTACTGATGCGTTGTTTCTCTCCTGAAAGAATGCCAGGGCTATCTATGATGCTGATACTCTTCAGAACCTGATTGGGTAATTGAGCACACATGAACCTATATAGAAAAGAGAAAACCTTGGTTACAGAAGACTTGGGAAAAGCCTTTCCCTGTATTTAAACTACCAGTGATAGACGCCCTCACCCAAAGCATGAAAGGCGGTGGTTCATTTTGTCCAATTTCTGTATATAAAATGATTCCAACTTTAAGACTTCTGCACATTTGGAGAGCATGAATACTTCTCTCCATAAGAGACAGAATTTGACTTAGACCAGGATCTTGTTTTTTTCATAGAGAAACTGTATGTGAATATGGTAATTCACATGTAGGGTACTTATCACACGTATATGTCCATCCATGGTCAACAGGCATGATCATAACATATTCAATACCCATCTTCCTATCATAAAACAAGAAACACTGCATTTTTAAATTCCTGTCTACCACCATCTTTCTTCAGGGATTCTCTCCATAGAAGGGGAGTGGATTAATAGCTGGGAAGAAGGAAGGATCCAGGTATCTATGGGATACATTTTCCCAAAGGAGCTCAAAGTTGTTTTAAACTCCCATCAAATCCAATTGTAGATGCCCCTAACCAAGATAATAGCAATTATACAGAAAAACACATGGAAACTGGTTAAAAGAAAAGATTATTTATTTATTTATTTATCTATAGCACTTAGACTTATATACCACTTTACAGTGCTTTACAGCCCTATCTAAGCAGTTTACAGAGTCAGCATAGTGTCCCCAACAATCTGGGTCCTCATTTTACCGACCTCGGAAGGATGGAAGGCTGAGTCAACCTTGAGCCAGTGAGAATCGAACTGCCAAACTACAGGCAGCTGGTAGTCAGCAGAAGTAGCCTGCACTACTGCATTCTAACCACTGCGCCACCATGGCTTTTTAAAATTTATTTATTTATTTACCTACCTACCTACTTACTGACTCCATTTTATTGACCGCCCATCTTACCACAGGGTAACTGGATGGCTTACTGCTATTAACCTGAGATGGATAAATATAGACAGATGGTATAAAGAATCTCTGAAATGTTATTTTTTTCACATCTAGAATTAGACTTCTCTAAGGATTTGCATTGGATTATAACTTCAATATTATAGAGTTATTAGCTAGTTTATCTAGGAATGATAGATATGCTGTTTAATACAACTGGGAAACATTACATTGTAGAAGAATGTATGATAAGGGAAACAGGAGAAACTAAGGGACTGTTCCCATTTTTAAAGAAAAGAAATGTAATTTAAAAATTGCAGGATACATGTGACTATAGATAGATTTTAAGCCAAATACTATGCAAGATTTATTGATATGCTGGTGTAAACTTAAGTAACCCAATTAATAAAAACATTAAAATGAATAGTGATGGCCATATTATGTCTTCCTTCCTAATTATTTTATTTATTTAACAATAGTGTTAAGTATGCCAATCCATAAAAATATTGTCAAGCCCTGAAGGCTTGCCATACACAAGGGGACAGGGGAGCAGATGGCAGTCCACCAAGCTCGGAAGCCGCAGAGCAGCCCACCACCCCACCGCATCGCCGAACCTGGCATCACGTCCCGGACACGCCTCCACGGTCCAACATACCAGCGGCAACGAGCAACGCCGAGTTAACGAGCCCGGGACCACCCGAAAGCCATATGTTGCTAGCAAGCACGGAAGTCCCCGAGCCTCAGCTGATACCGGCAAGCCGGGTGGTGGCCGGCGCGGCGCCGCCGGAAAAGAACCTCATGCCTTCGCACACGGACCTAGAATGGACATGGGATGGGGGGGACATACCCATATGGGGGGACGCTAGACAGGGAGAGCTTGGCGGCGGGAGGCTGCTGCATGGATCAGACGCGCGGGAAGGGGGTTACGAGGGCAGGATTCCGTCGGTGAAAGGGAGAGCACAGGGAAAGGGTGGGGCACTTATACAATTTGACCGGATGCTGGTTTGGGACCGGGGGCGGGGATATAGGGTGGGGCGCACAATTATAATGCGCCGGGAGGAAGCCACTCCCAGCGCTGACTTTGCTTCACATTTGAAATAAAGAAGTCAACGAGTGCAGTGTGTACCAGCGTTCCTTACTTTGCTTTTCACCCAAGGACGACAACGGATGCATTGACAGAAAGTCAGCGCTGCCCTTTTCCGTATTCCGTTCTTCCGTGTGCCGCGAGGAGCAAGGTATGGCACACAGGGGGTGCCCCTGGTCGAGGGGGAGGTGGTGGCTGCCGGCACTGACGGAGCCGTGGAGGCCGTTCCGGTGCCGGAGCCGGCGGCCGAGCAGCCAGTGGTGCAGCCTAAATTATTGTTAGCTGCAAACCCGGGACCTGGCGTGGAGGACCCCGGGGCCACTAAGCTTCAGGAGGAGTGGTGGCAAAGCCCGGTGCTGACCGGAGGACAGGCGGATCAGCTTCCAACGCCCAGGCCGAAGCCCATTCACTCGGGATGGAGGGAGAGACGAGTCACCACAGAGGACGACGAGGACTGGAGCTATTCCACGGCTCCAGGCCAGGAAACAATGGATATATTGCGGCACAGGTTCGGCGAGGCGAGTTATAGGGGCGCCTCTAATGTTTGGCAGTCGGAGGAGGATTCTGCGGGGCGCACTCTGTCATCCCGGTTTCGCTTAAGCAGCCCGCGGCTGCGGTTGCCGCATTCGGCTGGTGGGCCTGCCGTTACGGGTCTCCCTACGGGTAGCCCGCCAGGTCAGCCGCAGCCGGCCCGGCCGGTTGGTCCCGGAGGTGTGGTTGGGGGCCCTGCGCTGGCAGGGGGTGTAGGCCAGCGGGGACCTGCAACGGGATACGCTACTAACGTGCCAGGCCAACCCTTGGGGCCATGGGGTCCAGGGAATCCGTGGGGGGCCCCTCCTATACCTGTCACGTTTGACGGCAACCCGGATCAACTGGCGATGTTCTTGGGCCAGGTCATAAGCCACCTGGATCAGTTCGCACAATTATATGCCTCCCAGTGGGCCATGGTCGGCGCGGTCACCGCCGCTTTGCGTGGAGAGGCGGCGGCATGGGCGGCCGACCTATATAGCGACCATGCCCGCGAGTTGGGGAGCGCGGGGCTGTTCTTGGACGCTTTGCACGGGAGGTTCGAAGATCCCACTCGCGCACAGAGAGCCGAGGCCGAACTTCTAGCGCTGCAGCAAGGGAAGCGCCCGGCCATTGAATATGTACGAGATTTCCGGAGGATGGCCGGCCGTTTGCATTCTTCATGGCCGGAGCGACTGCTGGTGCATCATTTTAGAGCCGGCCTAGACCATGACTTACGGCAGGCCTGCGTATACCGGGGAGTGCCCAACAGACTTCGAGATTGGTTCAAGGTGGTGGTCGAGCTTGAGACGGGCCTTAAAGAGGTGCATCGCGGAGGCGGGGACATTCTGCGGCCACGGCGTCTCGGGGATAGGCCTCGTGAGGAAAGTCAGGCCCAGCCACGAGCAACACCCAAGTCATCGGGGACACCGGGAGAGGCTGTTTTCCGCTGTTTCCGCTGTAACCAACCGGGCCATCGAGCAGCCGATTGCCTGGCCCCTAGCCCCCGTAAGGCCGTAACAGTTAGTAAAGTAACACCCATGAAGAACACCGCTGAGGGTTCGAGAGCTGCCACCCAGCAACCAACCCCGGCAGCGAGAAGAGGGTCCCCAGCAACTCCAGAGGCCATGGCAGTCGCGCGCTACCAGATGGAGGGCGGCGAGGACAGTCCCGACGATGGGTCCACTGATCCAATGGTGAGTGAACCCATTAGGCCTTTTGTTTTACCTATAGTCCTAACGAGTCCGGCAACGGGCGTACGAAGGGCATGTCAGGCTTTGATAGACACCGGGTGCACACGATGCCTGATTAGTAGGAAAGTAGCGGTGGAGAGCGGATTCCGGATATATAAATTAACACAACCCATCAGGTTCGAGCAGGTGGATGGGTCATTGTTGGGAGGGGTTCCAGCGACTCATGTTACCGAACGAGTACGCATGGACCTGGGAGAGCATTGGGAAGTATTACGCTTCATCGTAGTGCCCATTATGACAGAGGCTGTTATACTGGGTCTAGCTTGGTTAGATAAATGGACTCCTACTATATGGTGGGGAGGGGGTTACCGTCACGTACGTCTTGGGGTAGGCCCAATGCCAGTGGGTGGCGATGCTGAAGAGAAGGCCCCTGATGTCCCAGGAACAACAGCGCAGCTCCAGGAGAGGGAGGGGGAACTGCCATACCCCGAGGAGTATAGGGACTTAGCGGCCGTATTCAGCGAGGAGGATTGCAACCAACTGCCTCCTCACCGATTGACAGATTGCGCTATTGAGCTACTGCCGGGGGTGAAACTCCCAAAACCCCGGATGTACGCTATGACACCAACGGAAGTGCAGGAACTCCGTAGATACATCGATCAGAATTTAGCACGGGGGTTCATCCAACCAGCCCGTTCGCGCATAGCGGCACCCGTACTTTTTAAGGAAAAGAAAGATGGATCGTTACGCTTATGTGTTGATTTCCGGGGGTTGAATGCAGTATGCGTTGAGCACTTATACCCCCTACCCCTTATGAAGGATTTATTGGCACATTTAGGGACAGGTCGCATATTTACTAAGTTGGACCTACGAGAGGCGTATTATAGAGTACGAATTAAGGCTGGCGACGAGTGGAAAACGGCATTTAATTGCCCGTTAGGTAGTTTCCAGTTTCGCGTCATGCCGTTTGGATTACAAGGGGCCCCCGCGGTGTTCATGCAGTTAATCAATCAGGTGTTGCATGAACATCTATATCGCGGGGTCCTTGTATATCTAGATGACATCTTAATTTACACCACAACGAAGGACGAACATATTAATCTTGTGAGGCAAGTGCTGCAGAAGCTTCTCGATGCCCAGCTTTACGTGAAATTATCTAAGTGCGAGTTTCACCAAGAAAGACTAGATTATCTGGGGTATCGTATCTCAAGGCACGGGGTGGAAATGGATCCGAGCAAGGTGCAAGCAGTACTGGACTGGCAAGCCCCCAAAACTAGGCGCCAACTACAAAGCTTCCTCGGATTTGCGAATTTTTACCGCCAGTTCATCCCATCATTTGCCACCGTAGTTCAGCCTCTCACAGAGCTTTTAAGGACGAAACATTTGCAGGGGAAACCTCGTCCAAGCCAACAGTTGGAATGGACCATGAACTGCCAAAAGGCGTTCGAGTTATTGAAAGCATTATTCGCTAAAGAGCCGGTGTTACGCCACCCCGACCCAAGCGTCCCATTTGTGGTCCAAGTGGACGCTAGCGATGTGGCGGTGGGGGCAGTGCTGCTACAGAAGAACGATAGCGGGGCGTTGCAGCCATGCGCGTATACTTCACGAAAATTCACAACGGCTGAACGTAGTTGGGCCGTCTGGGAGAAGGAGGCCTTTGCGGTCCGATGGGCCTTAGCAACCTGGCGACATTTTTTAGAAGGGGCCGAGTTGCCTTTTGAGGTGTGGACGGACCACAAGAATCTGGAGGCACTACAAACCCCAAGACGATTGGCTCCCAAACATGTCCGGTGGGCCCAATACTTTAGCCGGTTTAAGTTCGTGCTGAGGTATGTACCGGGAGGGAAAAACTTTCTAGCCGACGCATTGTCGCGAATGCCACAATATCATAGTAGACGGGAGGAGGTCATACAGGCGGTAATACCCTTTTCTCAGCATGAGATAGCTAGAAGTGCAATTCATAACTCTCAAGGAAGCGAGTTGCAGGCCATCAGGACGGCCCTCTTGACGGATAAGTGGGCAAACGAGCATTCAGGGTGGTTGACCAACCGAGACGGCGTGGCGTGGAAAGGCGACAAGATGTATGTGCCCGAAAGCCTACGTACATCCGTTCTTCGGAGGTGTCATGATGCCAAGCAGGCGGGTCATTTTGGGTTTTTAAAGACCTTGCATTTACTGCGGCGGCAGTTTTGGTGGCCCAGATTGAAAGTAGATGTTGAACAATATGTACGAGGGTGTCATGTGTGCGCCAGTGCGAAACCCAGGGTAGGAAAGCCCATGGGACTGTTACAGGCAGTGTCCAATCCGTCTCGGCCCTGGGAAGAGATCGCCATGGATTTCATAGTAGAGCTACCCGAAAACCGAGGTTACAATGTAATCTGGACAGTGATAGATCTGTTCTCCAAGCAGGCGCACTTTATTCCATGCAAAGGGCTGCCATCAGCAAGGCGTTTATCACGGCTCTTTATTCAACATATCTATCGGCTCCATGGTACACCCAAGAGAATTATATCAGACAGAGGGGTGCAGTTTACTGCACGATTTTGGAGGGAGTTTGTTCATTTACTAGGGTCAACTCAGGCGTTAAGCTCAGCGTACCATCCAAGTACCAACGGGGCGGCTGAGAGAGCGAATGCTATGGTGGAAAGATACCTTCGGAGTTATGTATCATTTCAGCAAACGGACTGGGTGGATCTCCTACCGTTTGCTGAGGTGGCATATAACAACACCGTACACAGCAGTACCGGGTACACCCCGTTCAAAGTCGTATTTGGTGTAGATTTTAACCCTATTCCCGAATGGTCACCAGAGGTGGGTAGGGGACAAACCCCTCAAACATGGTACTCCCGAGTCACGGAGCTCTGGGAGCGGGTGAAGGTAGCGCGGCGGAAGGCCGAGGCAGCTGTGAAGATCCAAGCGGACAAGAAAAGGGCAGAGCATAAACCATTCAAGGTGGGAGACTGGATGTATTTGGCTACCAAATACCTGCGGTTACAAGTACTGTGCAAAAAACTGGGTCCGAAGTATGTGGGCCCATTCCAGATAACCAAGGTGATCAACCCAGTTACAGTCGAATTACGGTTGCCTGCCTCCTTAGGAAGGGTCCACCCAGTGTTCCACAGTAGCCTCCTCAAACCGGCACATAGAAGTCCCTACACCGATGGGGTACCGGGGCCAATCTCGGAGTCCCATTACGAAGTACAGGAGGTCCTGGACTCCCGAAGGCGGTACGGTAAAATCCAATACCTTCTACGGTGGAAGGGATACCCGCTCTCCGATGCAACCTGGGTAGAGGAGGGGGATATAAATGCACCCAAACTAATCAGGGCTTTCCACCGTAAGTGTCCAGGGAAGCCAGGACGAAATGGGTGCCACGTCGTGTATGCAAACTCCAGCCTTTCTTTTCCAGGAAGGAACATGGTAGAAGGGGCCGCATGTCAAGCCCTGAAGGCTTGCCATACACAAGGGGACAGGGGAGCAGATGGCAGTCCACCAAGCTCGGAAGCCGCAGAGCAGCCCACCACCCCACCGCATCGCCGAACCTGGCATCACGTCCCGGACACGCCTCCACGGTCCAACATACCAGCGGCAACGAGCAACGCCGAGTTAACGAGCCCGGGACCACCCGAAAGCCATATGTTGCTAGCAAGCACGGAAGTCCCCGAGCCTCAGCTGATACCGGCAAGCCGGGTGGTGGCCGGCGCGGCGCCGCTGGAAAAGAACCTCATGCCTTCGCACACGGACCTAGAATGGACATGGGATGGGGGGGACATACCCATATGGGGGGACGCTAGACAGGGAGAGCTTGGCGGCGGGAGGCTGCTGCATGGATCAGACGCGCGGGAAGGGGGTTACGAGGGCAGGATTCCGTCGGTGAAAGGGAGAGCACAGGGAAAGGGTGGGGCACTTATACAATTTGACCGGATGCTGGTTTGGGACCGGGGGCGGGGATATAGGGTGGGGCGCACAATTATAATGCGCCGGGAGGAAGCCACTCCCAGCGCTGACTTTGCTTCACATTTGAAATAAAGAAGTCAACGAGTGCAGTGTGTACCGGCGTTCCTTACTTTGCTTTTCACCCAAGGACGACAACGGATGCATTGACAAATATTGTAAACTATCTCATGTAATCTAGGTGATGTACAATATAAGAAAATACAGTAAAAAGCAAGATAGACTATACTATATTTTGGACATGCAGCTTTTTCCCATTTGGAATGATTCTTAATGTTTTAAGAATATTTTCTGCAGTCTTTTTACTAGGCTACCAAAAAACAAAATCAAGTAAGGAACAACGCAAATACATTTTATTTTAAAAATCATTCATTCTGTCCTCTTCATGCATTTATTAGGTGGCTTAAAAAAGACAAGTTTATGAGAAGACTGTGTCCTTTATATCAGCTAAACAATCACACTGTGTTTTACATTTTCTGGATGCCAGGAATGTAGTAGTAGCAGGTTTTACATGAAAAACAAGAACTGCAGTTATATATGGAGACAGCACTGTAATAACACTCAAGCTGTTGTGAACAATTATGGGCAATAAAAAAGAGAGAAAAGATTTTTCAGTAGTGTATAAATAAGCTCTGTGGATTCTAAACTACAATTATTTGTAGCAGTTTGCTTTTTTAAGAAAGCTGTAGAAACAGAGTTCACTGCATTATCCCACAATTCTTGTTGGGCTATCAATGAAATATTTTTTTTTAAAAAAAATCTGGGCTGATAAATACACCAACAGGGAAAATATTTTGATTGTTAGGACAAAAGCCAATTAAAATTCTTTCCAGAGGAAACAAGTTTCAAGAATGAAAAAACTCATAGCAAAAGGCTTTGCTATCTGGCCTGGGGGATCAGAAAATGGTGGCGACCCCATAAAATGGCTGTAGTGTTCTTGAATGGCTGAGCTCTCCCAGTGATTGTTCTGTGTGGCTTTTAATTGTTTTTAACATATGAATTATAATATCTGTGTGGCTGTTTAATATTTTTATTTTTTTTGGTATTGTTTATGTTTTAATTATAAACCGCAGCTGCCCAGAGACATGAATGCAAGTTGGGTAGCTATATGTTGAATAAATAAATTAAAAAACAACTGAAAAGGGACTTTTTCCAGAACCAAATATATTTTTGTCCCTTCTTCCCTTCCATTTTACTCAAGCCATAGAGGTAGAACAGGGATTTAGGCAGAAGTTCAAGGCAAGAAATACTGGAAAAGGTGATCGTGAACACCAGAATACTGATGAAGTAAGGCAAGGAAGAATTTACCAGTTTCTTTTTATTCTTTTTAAGAAAGCAAAACTGGAGCTTGCTGACTCTGGAAAGAGTCGAAGAGTTGCTCTATTTTAGGAATGGGAATTATATAAAAAACAACCTTACAAGTCTGTAGCACACACAGTGCACTTTATTCCATTCCTTAAGTAGCTGGTTTTTGCTTTTTTTTTTTTTTTTTTTATAAAAAAGTAAAACTAAAGAGTATTTTGGGGTGAACCGAATAAGTGTTGGAACCATTTTACTCTTTGTATATTTGATTGATAATCAAGACTCTTATTACTTCAATGTGGTATATACAAAAATCCTTCCACCATTTCCCCCCATAATAATAAATCTGAGCTAAGAAACAGTAGTTTGCTGAAGTTATCAAAGTATTTTCATGAGTGAGAATGTAGACTTGAACCTTCCCCAATAGCTTTTTGTCCCTCTAAAAAGGCTAGAAAATTCTTTCAAAGTGTGCAGATTATATCCTACAACCCAGAAAACACTACTACATATAAGTCTGCCTAACTTCTTAGTTTTTTATACTTCAGTTCCGCTTACATGAATCTTGAAGATGGTAAAAAATGGCATAAATTTCCATTATTCAAAGTTAACAGTAATTTTATTAGCTTTGCTTAAAATGTTACTAGCCTACATTTAACACACAATTCTATAGATGTATTTATATGAGCCTATAAAACAAAGGAATTTATGACTCTTTTGGAAATGTATGTATCTATATATGTCATGCTGATTGGAAGACAGAGACGAGAAATGGCCCACAGAAGTTTGGTTATTCAGCAACACAAAATGTTATTAAATATACAGTATGCATAAATTAGTCCACAGCTTTTCCTTACCTATTCAAAAATGCATTTCCAAAACGGCTGAGTTTGCGGAATGGCTTTTTGGGATCCACCACAAGAGCGTTTCCTGGAGTACTCCCTTCAGTATCTCCATACATGACAGCAATAAAAGAATCTGTAGTTGGTTCAGGGCCAATTCGCATGCCTGGAAAATCTTGCTCTAGAAGGTACCTAATCATGATGCAAAATATAATAAAACAATATTAAAAACAAATTGAGAACATAGCATTATTCTTCTAAGGAAAACCCAGGATATAAATAAATGAAAACACTCTAAATGTAGATTTTAACAATTATGCCATTAAGACATATTATATTTTTATATTTTGTAGTTTATAAACTTATCAGTGACTGCAAAATCTATGAATAAATTAAGTCTGCATTTAGTAGGGAACAGAAATAAACATGGATTCTGCAACCATTCAAAAGAGATTTGGCCAATTGGTTAATATAAAGGAAATAATGGACATAATAATAAATTTCACAGGAATAAAAAACAGCCATTAATATTTATGCCAGTTGTTTCAAGTTGAAATAAATACAGCAGAAATTTTAAAGTCAAGTTTAAAGACTTTGTATTTGACTTTTTTCATTTTTATCTGCATCACCAAATTCATCAGCAGTGTCTTCCCTTTCCTGTTCATCTAAATAATAAGCCAATTTTTGATGTCTTACATCCTTTCCCACTTTTTATTTGAAATAAATAGACAGGGGAGGAAATGTTTTCAACCATACCATTCGATTTGTTTCTGAATATTGCAGACCAGGGAACAAATAACTTTTACCCTTGCTAATGCATGAAATACATACTCAAATGTTCAGGTTTATGAATTAGGTTTGCTACCTATAGAGCTGCTTTCTTAGCTTCATAAAATAAGATCAAGTGACAATGTCTGGCAAATTATGTCAATGCAAGAAAATAAAGTATATAAAATGATTGCTTCAGTGCTTTTTTTCTTAAAAAAAAAAAAAAAAAAAAAGGTGCCGGAACTCACACACATCATACAACCCACCTTGCCTACCCTACAAAGTTCCATCCAAAAAAGGTGCCGGAACTCCGTTCTGGGCATTCTATAAGAAAAAAAGCCCTGGATTGCTTGGCAGATCTTTCCTCAAATATTTACTACTTTAAGAGATTACATAAATATCAGCCTTTTAACTGCTGTAATAGAAACTAAAATAATCCAATTCTGATAAGTCAAGCAGCATTATTTCCATTTTCCCTCAATCTTGTGTAATTCACATGACAGCAATTTCCTCCCTATCCACATCCCAGAGACAATTACCTAGTCCTAGAAGTATGCTATTATCTTTTTTCCTGCTGCAGCCATAAGAGATACTGAAGAGATAATTCTGCTTGGCATTCCATTGCAGTACTGAGGTGATGCATTCCTATAGTTCTCAACCAGCATTTGAAGAAGACCAGACTGGGAAAATCTATTCTACTATATGTTTCAAAAAAAAAAAAAAAAAAAAAAAGAAATAGTTACAGATCCTATGCCTATGTTAAGGTACATTATACAAATAATTCAGTGATTTAAAAAATATTTCATGCCAACCCATTCTATGCTGCCATCCTGAGTGGGACTTATATCTTCATCTACTTCAACACATGGAAACCATAGCTGAGGTGTCTTTATACATCTCTGGAAGATATATAAGGTGACCAACCGTCCTCCTTTAGGGAGGACAGTCCTCCTTTTGTAAGTTTTGTCCTCCCTCAAAAAGTGTCCTCCTTCATGTCCTCCTTTTCGATATTTGAAGACTAGTTTGCAAGGCTTTTTTTTTTTCCCTCATAGAACACTCAGAACGGGGTTCCACACCTTTTTTGATGTTTTTTTTCCAACTTTTGCATGAGCTGTGCTACTCCCAATATTGGCTTTCGAAAGCCAATAGGAATTGCTGCTGAGCACCCCAAAACACCCGGCTGGCAAACTTTGCACATGCAACTTGTCTGTATTATTGTTGCAATGAATAAAATGTTTCTTTTATTTACGATATTTTTTTCTTCAATTTATTTGTATCCTCCTTTTCATTGTAAAAAAGTTGGTCACCTTAAGACAGTGGTTCTCAACCTGTGGGTCGGGACTCCATTTGGGGTCGAATGACCATTTCACGGGGGTTGCCAAACAACACAGTCCACCTTTTCCTTAGCTGTACTACTCCCTTTTATTCTATTGGCTTTTGAAAGCCAATAGAATAGACTCTCTTGAATAGAGTCTAATACTATTGGCTTTTAAAAGCCAATAGGAATTGTCCAGGCTGTCTCTGCCCTGCTGAGCCCGCCCAAAGTCCCATTCTGCAAACTGTGCTGCACCAGTCGAGTAGTCCTCAACTTACGACCGGTTGAGTAGTCCTTGACTTACGACCGGTTGGGGGTCGCGGCATTAAAAAGGTTGAGAACCACTGCCTTAAGATATACTAATTCCATTCTTTTTTAACCAGATGGATGTGACTCATGTCCTCATTATCTCCATACTAGATTACCACAATATACCAGAGTTGGGATTGCTCTTGAAAACTACTGCAGATGAGGACTGCAAGCTGATGGGTGCTACCTCATTTGGCAATCAAACACTTATTTTGCAGTGTTGCATTAGTTTCCAACAGACTTCTAGGTTTTATTTATTTACTTTATTTGTATGCTGGTCATTCCTAAGAACTTCAGATATTATCAAGATCAATGCAAAATAAAAAGCAACTCTTTGAAAAATAAATAAATCTACTCATAATGTAAAAGAATTCGACATGAAAACAATAAACAGAAAATATACAAAATCATTGACTCATTTGGCTGACAAACTCAAAGCCACTCTCTCTTGGGTAGATTATAAAATTGTGAAGAATAAGGATGAAGGTCTGTTCTCTGAGCTTGAGGGTTGGTTTTCATTACCAGACTAGGTAACATCTTCAGTGGTGTTTAGTGGAAGTCTGTGTCAGTGTTCTACTTATATAAGGGCTTCAGGTGTGAGAGTGTCAAGTGAGGGTCTTGTGATGGGCCAGGTGTGAGTCATCAGAGAGAGGCTTGTGATGAGGAGGTACTTCAGATAAGGGTCATTGGAGGGTGTGAATTTGTGGGTCAGCAGTGAGTCATCAGTGGGAGGCTGGTAATGGGTCTTGTGATGGGGAGATTATGTCAGGTCAGGGTCATTGGAAGGTAAACTGCTGGGGAGAGAGAGAGGGGCTTGAGGGTTGGTGCTGTCTCAGGATGGCTATTCGATTCGATTTGGATTCTGACGGGTTGATATGCTGGTTGTAGATCAATGTGTTTGTTGATGGAATTGCTTGTAGAGTGCCAGGCTTTGATGAACTCCCAAGTGTGGCGGATGGTAGTGTGGCTGATGATTTTAGTGTTGCTCCAATTGAACTGGTGTTGTTTGGTGTCAGTGTGGGTAAAGATTAGGGATTTGGGATCATGACGTTTGACTACTAGCCTGTGTTCCTGGTTTTTAATATGATGCGATGTTTGTCCCATGTAGAAGTGATTGCAATCGTTATAGTTGATTTTGTAGATGACGTTGCTTCTTTCATCCTTCTGTGTCTTGTCTTTGGTTCTCTTATAAATGATAAGTTAAGACTCTGTATTTTCTTCTGAAGAAGTATATGCAAGTTTTCTTGCTTCTGGACTTGGCTCTTCTTATCTTGTAATTTATTTAGACACTGAGATCCCTATTGCATTTATTACTATCTAGTATGGTCCAGCACATCCTATACTTATGCTCTTAATTTTAATACTCAAATGCAGAGAACATTTGAGGGGCAGGGCTGTCTATCCAAATACCTGTTAAATGAAATTGTTGTCACTGCAGTAATTTAGATAGTTATGTGGAGTACATAAATTGATGCACATGAAATAAGAATATAGTAATGCAACTACACAAATGATATAAGCTGACATAAATGACATAAAATATTTAAATTGTCTGGGACATTTGTGAACAACAGAGTTTTGTTCTTTGTTTCAGCATGAGACCCAAGAGTAACATTTTGTCTATTACATTCAAATCTGTTGAATGAAGGTCCAGAGAATCAAGATTTTACTGTAATCCAAACATCACAAGTAAATTGAGTAAGCAATAGTGTTTTCACATAGTCATAAAACAAGGTAAATGATGAAAGAAAAACCAAGTTGGTGACATGAATGTGGAGAAGGAAAAACTAAGAAGAGGAGGAGGCTAGAACAAGAGATATAAGAAAGCAACGAAGATGTGAACATAAATTTACACAAATAACTTCTTTAGCACCAGCTGTATGTATACTTCAGACTCACTTTATTTGTATTTTGTTATTTGTTGTTTTACTAGTTACTTGGAACACTCAATCCTTTTAAAGTATAAGCTACATAAATCTTATTTTCATTTGACTGTAGTGAAACTGCAGACCGGTCCACACCCACATTAGAGAGTAATATAGCACAGAAGCTTTACAAAACAAATTAAAATAAATATTGTTTCAGTACGGAAATACTTCACTGGTCTAAATAGATTGTCTTATAGAATTACCATTCCACTTCAAACCATTGTACAGACCTGCAGACCCAAAGCAAACAGAGAAGATAAGGACTAAACAAATTGATCCATACAGAAAGTATTTCGTCATAGAACAATTGATTTAGTAGCCTTTAAATATACTTTTTTCAAATATTCTGGTCTGCATATGGAACAACACTGGGCTCTTCTGTTTTGAGTCTGGGCTGAAATGCTGTTCTTATAGATAGAAGAGTTATGAAAGAGGTTAAGAGTGGAAGAAAGACAACCCTGAGAAGTTTTGAAATGGTATTCCTGCAGACAGAAATGGTGATAAAGGGGATTAAGAGTGGAAGAAAGTCAGCCCTGAGGGGTTTTGTCAATGATATGTGCACATACTGGTGATACCAACCTTGCTCGATTCAACCCCTAAAATCATTCCCATTTTTTTCTGCCCAAATACAGTACAACAAAAGTATCCCTAATTTTGTTTCTATTGAACTGCAGCTGATCTGAAATAATCAGCCAGAAGTTTTGGAATCCAATGATTCATTTTGAATGTGAAATAAAGCATATTTTTCTCTTCCATGCACAACCTTTCATTAAAACTCTACTCAGTTACAAAGCTGTCTATTTTTATAAAAGGAGAGCGGATGTTTGCTAAATCCTGTTTTAAATAAAATTTGTGACATGAGGCTTAAAAGGAAATTTCATCTTAATAAAAACAGGAAGATAAGCAATCACAGCAGAAATACAGTAAATGGGAGTCATTAAAGGTGCATATATAAATATTCTCAATTGCCTTCTCAGCCAAGAAAGCTAATACATATATCAATATATAAATATGGAAAAGATTGATAATGTGGGCCACAGATGAAATGATGTATACTGGTGGGCCAACCCAATAATCTTTCTCCATTTCATGAAAGTATTTGTGACAAGAGGAAACTCACTGCTATTAACCTTTCTAAACAATTCTGTTAGGATCAAGCAATCTGCACTGATACAGCTGGAAAAAATGTATTTATTAATATATACAACTATTACGAAAAGCAAAATCTTAGCTCACCAACTCAAACAAACCTAGATGAAATACACATTTGACTTAACTATTAAAGAACATTTCATAGTTTATATTGTATAAAATATACAAGAAAGCACTGCACCTCACATTCCTTACCTCTTTTTTCATCTTTCCTTCATACAGTTTTGTCTATGGATACATATTCTAATGCAGTGGTAAACTCTTTATAAAAAGTTAAACTATCTCCCTATTCTTCATTTGAGGCATACTGGAAATTATTAATGAATGAACTTTTTGAAGAATTGGCTATATTATATCACTGAGACCTTCTTGGATGTTTATCCAACTCTCTTTCAACCTGTTTCTGACATACTTTTCAAATTCAGTATTTAAAACTGGACAATCTATTCACTATGCACAACTGGATAAACCATTCTATGTGATATTAAGCACAACATTTATTGATGAGATTTGTTTCAGACATGAACTTGAGTCACTGAATTTTGAAGATGACTAGGTGGAAGAATAAACTATATTTAGCAGAAAACCCCAAACACACACATTGGCAGAATCAATTTTGCAATCTGAAATTAGGAAAATTCAGTATTGTATCCACAGTTTGAATACATTTGAAATTAATCCAGATTCAACCTGTTGAGCTTTTTTTTTCTTTTTAAAGCACACAATTCTATGAAAAACTATAATAGGAAACATAAACCACGGGCTCTTTAAAACTGCATGAGTCGATTCCTGTGACATCCTTCGCAAAAGAAACAGAGCCTTCAGTTCAGTCAACATCAGTCTCACTACTCTTTGGACTTAAGCCAGTTCACCTTCCAACAGTATTAGTAAATTCAAATATAAACAACTGACAGTATATATTTCCAAAGGAAAAACAATGACTCTTTAGGCAATTTAAATTCTAGCACATTAGCTATGCTAAATATTTACTTCACTAACTGCTGATGAAATGAATGTGTCCTCTTGGTGTTAATAAACTCTTCTTATCTTGAAGTTAAATATAGAACTTGCTAGGCTTTCTACTGGGTATAAAATTAAATTTGTAGAAAGAAAAAGAAGCAGATAACTGAATGATGAAAGGAAAGCACCTAAAAGCAGAAGCGTTGGAACAGGACTTCAATTCCCATAAAACCCATAAAATCTATACTGCTTAGGACATGAAGTCTAAAGGTCATGGGAAACCACTATGTTGAAAATGACTATATTTAATATCAGTCCTTTAACAGAGGAGACACAATGAGAGGAGGACAAATGACTGTACTGAGTATTAATCACAGGAAAAGGAAGCATTAAAATCATACAGATAAAGAAAAGGTAAAAACTGCTCTACTGAGGTGTTGGTATTATAATTACTAGTAATCCCAAAGGTGCTTTTCCAAAAGGCAACTGGACTTTCTTCTTCAATTGTCTTTTGGAAAAGCTCTTTTGGGACAACCATGATCTGGATATCTGAGAATTTCTATAGACAATTACTAGAAATCTGGGATTAAAGCCCAAGTGTCTGAAGAGGCCATTCATGAATTATTTTATTATACACATACAAGAATTGTGATGCTAAATTATTTTCCTAAACTTCAATTTACTATTGAACTTTTGTTCTATAGAGCCTGGAAGTTAGCAAACATATTATTTTCTATACATTTTTCTTCTTGATACTAAGAAATGGATTCAGAATATGAGTCCAAGTTGTGTTTGAAGTTTGTATATTTTAAAAAATGAAAAGATGAAGCAATGTCTCTACAGTTTGGCAGTTCGAGTCTCACTGGCTCAAAGTTGACTTGGCTTTCCATCCTTCCAAGGTCGATAAAACGAGGACCCAGATTGTTGGGGGCAATATGCTGACTTTGTAAACTGCTTAAAGAGGGCTGTAAAGCACTGTGAAGCAATATATAAGTCTAAGTGCTATTACTACATACTAAATTTAATGACCACCTAAAGGACTGCATTAATTCCATATTGATACAAATGGATATCATGTGGCTCTTTTTATCCTTCTGTCATATTTATAGCTAAATTTTAATCATTATATATGTAAGGAATTTTCAGTTGCTTACCTACCATTGTTTTGTATTTATGAGTTTTTAAAAGGCTGTGAATTGTGAAACATTGCTTCCTTTCCAATTATTTATATTTCATTATGTGGATGAGATAATAGAACTCATTCTCTGTGGAAGTTATTATTAAAGGCAAACTAAATATTGAAAAGAGCAAATTGAAGGTGGCCTGTAATAAATACTATCTATAATGTATAAATTGGGAGGTTCACATGTATGTGCATGCAATATTGCCAGAATGAGAGATAATAAAACTCTAGATTCCCTCAAGGCCTAGCTTTAAGTCTTTAAAAGGAGAACATTAAAAGGTTTTAACTTAAGGCTACCTGGAAAGATAATTAAGAGTAAAAAGCAATTAAAATATTACTCAACTATCCTGAGACACTGATCCAGATGGAAATGTATACTAGAAATAAATCTACGTTGATGTTTAGAGCAATCTAATACTAAAAAAAGTTATATCTAAGTAACAATCTTCCTCAACACATTCTTGATAAGGCTGTAAGAGGAAAATTATCACATACTTCTGTATGTAGTATCTATACTACTAAAACTCTTATCCTGAAACTTTGTCTTAAATTATACAGCCAAACATTTACCAGATACAGTCTACTTGGCAGGTTGCAATGCCTGACCTTCAGACAGCATGTAATGTTCAATGTTAAAGAGGATTTTTGGGTTTTGGTTTCCTTATTTTTAACTTTTATTATGCATGAAATAATATAGTAACAATTTCTTTAAAATGTATACTTTTCTGTAAACAAATTAATATGCCATATATCATTTTCTTCATTCAGGAAAGATGCACATTCAGTTTATAAAACATTACAAATACAAGATCATTCTAGACAGAAACACTACAATAACAATCTAATCCTATTAAAGTTAAATGCCTCCAAAGGGCATTTCCATTCCCGAAGGGTGGTCTCATGTTGCACAAAGCCATAATAGGATTTGTAAACCATATTTTACAGTTGAGAATGTCATGTAAACCCAGCCAAGGCTAGTTATAGTTAAGAAAACTGTAGTTAAACAAGCTCTGGCTTACTGCAATACATGATGTCACTCGGGAATAATTTAGTCTCTTGACAATGTTCACAGCTGACCCCGAATAAGCTGCTACTGATCAATTTTGATATCTGAATCCATCTTCTTGGCCTAAGTCATCATTTTTAATATCACAGTTGGGATCAGACAATAGGAAGTCAAACTTGGTAGGTGTGGGACCATATGTCATTTTTTTCCGGCAAATACGCGGTTATCAGCTAGCAAAGGATGATAAATGTGTGGGTAAACCCACCTCCTCCCAACACAAATCCCACCAGGCGAGGAGGGAAGAGAGCTTAACTCTTGGGCTCTTCCGAGAGTTACAGGCTACTATTTAAGCTCGGAGCAGCAGGAAGGAAACTGCCTGGTCCTCGGTCACCCGCCATAATCGGTCCGGGAGGCAGAGGCGAGCGCGTTTTTACCTGATAAAAGTGGTCTTCCCGGTGCTGTACTGACCCACGAGAAGCACCATGGGCTTGTTGTCGAAGTCTGCGTTCTCCAGGGCTGGCGAGTGGAACTCATGAAAGCGGTAATGCTCCTCCAGCGGAAGCAGTTTCTTCGCGTAAAGCTCCTTCAAACCGCCGGTCACCGTTTCCACCACGTCCTCGCTTTCGCCAGGCTTTTGGTGCCCGCTCTGCTTCAGCCAACTGAACATGCCGATGGTCGCTGCTTAGCGGCCGTCCCAAGCCTCTCGCTTACTCGTTCGTTCGCTCTCCCGCCTGGGCTGCCACCAGACTGAAAGGACGACCCGGCAAGCGGTGAACCCCGCCCTTCCTGGTTTGCCTGCGGTTGCCTCGCTAAAGGGGAGGGACGTCCCGGGGCGGAGGCTGGAAGCGCCATGTTCCGTGTCTCTTTCTTCTTCCTCCTCCTCTTCCTTCTTTTTCTTCCCTCTCTCCTGGAAAGCGGGTCCGGCGGTGACTTAATAGAAGCACGAATTTTATAGCGTATCGGGTGATAGGAGCCAGCCCGGGCGGTTAAGTTATCATTCGGTGGGACTGGAAACCAGGAAATTAGTCAATTAATTAAACCCTAAGTTTAATTTTTGGGAATCCAAGTAGAAGAGGGCGCGCTCTCCTTCTCAAGAGCAGGGCCGACTACACCGCCTTTCCCCGGATTATCCGGATATACCGCTAAGGAGGGGGGAGGCCAATGGGCAGCTTCTGCTTCTGCTCAGTGACCGTCGAAAGGCGGTCGGAGGTTCTCTAGAAGTGCCAGCCCAATCTGTCACGTTTCGTACAAGCGGAGGAAAGGAATCTCGGGTACTCTTTTGGGACCCAGCTGTCTGAAAGTGCTCCGCAGTCTTGGGGAGTGTCGGTCTGAGAAAGGGCGGAGTAAACCAACCTTCTGAAGGGTATTTAGATTCCCATCAATCTAAGTGGAAATTAGTTGGCAAATAATGTCAGGCATCACCTTTCAGGGTCTTGCCTCAGTCTTGCGAAGTTATTCAGAATCAAGAGGGAAACGAGAGCTCAACTGAAATGGAATAAAAAGTACTTCCTGTAAAAAATAATAATCCAGGGCTCTTTATTATGAAGCTCGGTAAATGAGTTTCCTGCCAAACTCCATTATGGAAAAAAAGATAATTTAGAATAGTTCGCTTTGGTTAATAGCTAATCCTCAACTGGCAATTATGGCATATAAAGAGGACCTGATCTTGGATTTTGCTGTGGCTTCAATTATTATTAAAGTAATCTTTATGTCTTGTCAATTCTTTGTGTATGCCTATGTTTGTGTAACTCACCAAATTATTTTTAACTTTAATTCTTGTAACCTTTAATGTGTATTTTTCTGTGTGACTCTGGGCCTGTGGTTAGTTTATGGGTGAGTATTTGTGGTGGCGCAGTGTTTGTATAAATATTATTATTATTATCGATCATCGCACAGTCAGCCAGATGTTCAGACTGGATTTGGCATTTTGTCTACCTATCGAGTCCTTACCCAGGACCTGGGATAGGCAGATGTGGATGTTTGATGGTATTACAGATATCGTCGCAGGATGGAAGCAGTTCCTAGTAAGGCCGCCTTTTGCAATTGACTAATAGCGAATTTGTCAATGCCAATGGTGTTCAAGTGGTGCTCCAGTTGTTTTGGGATTGCACCCAAGGAGCCTATGACTATTGGTACTACCCTTGCTTGCTTTTGCCACAGTCTTTCTATTTCTATTTGTAGGTCTTTGTATTTTGTTATCTTCTCCAGTTCTTTCTCTTCTATTCTGCTATCTCCAGGCACTGCCACGTCCACTATCCAGACTTTTTTGTCTTTCTTATCGACAATTGTTAAGTCTGGGGTGTTATGTTGCAGGTGCTTGTCTGTTTGAATTCTGAAGTCCCAGAGCAGTTTAATTTTATCATTTTCTATGACTTTCTCTATTTTATGATCCCACCAGTTTTTGCTTACAGGCAAATGATATTTTTTGCAGATCTTCCAATGCACCATTGTTGCTACTTTGTCATGCCGCTGCTTGTAATCAGTTTGTGCAATCTTCTTGCAACAGCTTACCAAGTGGTCCACTGTTTCTTCAGCTTCTTTGCATAGGCGGCACTTACTGTCTGTTGCTGTCTTCTCAATTTTGACTTTGTATGCATTTGTCCTTAAGGCTTGGTCTTGTGCAGCCAGAATTAGTCCCTCGGTCTCTTTCTTCAATTTTCCTGCTCTTAGCCATTGCCAGGTTTTATTATTATCTGCTTTCCCAGCTATTTTTTTCATGTATTGGCCATGTAGTGCTTTGTCTTCCCATGCCTCTATTCTGTTCTTCATTTGGTCTTTCTTGTAGGCCAGTTTGGTCTCTCCAGTAGTTAGTAAGCCTTCCTGATATACTAATTTCAGTGCATCTTCATCATTGTTCTTCAGATATTCTTCCAAAGCCATTTTTTCTTCTTCAACCATCTGATGTACTTGTAGCATTCCACGCCCACCTATTTGCCTTGGTAGATAAAGTCTATCAATGTCACTGCGTGGATGAAGGGCATGATTCATTGTCATTATTTTTCTGGTCTGCCTATCCATTGCTTTTAGTTCTGCTTGAGTCCAGTCCACTATTCCAGCTGTGTACCTAATGACTGGGATTGCCCAGGTGTTGATTGCCTTTATGGTATTTCCTCCATTGAGTTTGGATTTTAAGATCTTCTTCACTCTCTTGATGTATTCACCTCTAATCTTTTTCTTGACTTCAGTGTGCTTGATGTTGTCAGCTTGAAGGATACCCAAGTATTTGTAGTACTCTTCCTCATCCAGATTCTTAATGTTATTTTCGTGGGGCATCTTGATTCCTTCAGTTTTCATTATTTTTCCTTGTTTGATAGTAAGTGTGGCACATTTGTCCAAGCCAAACTCCATTACAATATCTTGGCTATATATACGGACAGTGTTGAGCAGCGATTCTATTTCAGATGATGTTTTTCCATACAGCTTCAGATCATCCATGTAAAGGAGGTGGGATAGTCTAGCAGATGTTTTTGATGTTTGATAGCCATGTCCTGAGTTATTCAGTATTGTTGACAGAGGAAACAGTGCAATAACAAATAGTAATGGTGATAATGAATCTCCTTGAAATATTCCTCTCTTGATATTAACCTCTCCCAGCCTCTCACCATTGATCTGCAACTGTGTCTTCCATTGTGCCATCGATCTTTGCACAAATTTTCTGATGTTTCTACTGACTCCTGTTATTTCTAGGCACTTTATTATCCAATCATGTGGCAGAGAGTCAAATGCCTTTTTGTAGTCAATCCATGCTACATTCAGGTTGGTCTTCCTTCTCTTGCAGTTTTCCAAGATCATTTTGTCTATTAGGAGTTGATCTTTTGTTCCTCTGCTGTTGGGGCGGTTTCCTTTCTGCTCAGGTGGAAAGAGATTGTTTTCAACTAGATGCTGTTGCACTGCATCAGCTACTACACCAGTTAGTAATTTGAAAGTTGTTGGTAAGCAGGTAATTGGCCTGTAGTTACCTGGTGTTGCCCCTTTTGCTGGATTTTTCATTATTAGGTAGGTTTTCCCAGTTGTTAGCCACTTTTCAATTTCTCCTCCTTGTAGTATATTGTTGAACTGCTTGGCAATGAGTGGGTGTATAACAGTTAGATGTTTCAACCAAAACCCATGCAGTTCATCTTCACCTGGTGCTGACCAATTTTTGATTTTCTTTGCTCTTTTTTCTACCATTTTTGTTGTTATTGCTAGTTCTTTCATTTCAACTTCTGTTTTATTTGCATCCACCTCTTTTAACCAAGCCGCATCCTTATTGTATTTCTTTGGGTTATCCCATATCTGCTTCCAGAACTGTACTGTTTCTTCCTTGTCAGGTACTGACTGATTCCTTGCAGTTTCTCCATTGATGGATTGGTAGAAACGTTTCTGATTGGATTGAAATTGGAGGTTCTGCCTATAGTTTGCAATTCGAGCTTCATATCTACTGATTTTCCTGGCTATAGCTGTTATTTGTTGCTTTATTATTTCCAGTGCTTCCTTGATCTTCCTTGTTTCTAAGTGGTATTTCTTGATTAGGTATTCTTTGGTCTTCTTGTTCTTCAGCTTCTTTTCTTTCATCTGTTCTAGCTTGCTTGCATGTGATCTTAATTTGCTGATCTTATTTTCTAGTCTAACCTTCCATTTTTCTGGTGCACTGTTTGTTTGTTTTTCTTCTTTGTTGATTTTGCATCCCAGGTATTCTGTTATAACTGCAGCTGTGCTGTACATTAGTTGGTTTGTTTCTTGCAGTGAATTGGTGCTTATACTTGATATTGCAGTATTTGCATCTTTTAATGCTTGTGCTAGCTGTTTCTTTGGAACAAGCTTCAATGCAGGTAGCCTTATTCTGTTGTTTTTGTGCTGTTCTAGATGCTCAGTTATTCTTTGTTTCAATTCTTTTATTTCTTTAGTTAGAGGGTTTTGTTCTTCCTGAGGTAGAGGTGCCTGGTTTCCAAATGAGAACAGTTGTATATCTCTGCTGGATTCTTTCACTGCCAACTCCCCCTGGTTTGCCTCTACATTCTGAATTACTTCTGGTAAGGCTTTGATTTCTTTGCCCTGGGTAAACCTTTGCAGTTCGTCCAATTCTGTTTCTGTGAATACTTTATTTCGTGTTATAAATCGGCGTTGATCTGCTAGTCTCTGTTCTGTTATTTCTGATTCTGGATGTTGTTCTTTCCAGAACTGGTGCATTCGTTTTAGATATCCTCTTCTTGTTGGACTTGATCTGTAGTAACAGATCATTATTTCTTTGTTTTCCATCACTGTGTATCTGCGACGGGTAAACACCTTTTCTTCCAGTAGTTCTGCAGCTGCTGGCCCTGGTTGCTCAGCCAACAGTCCTGAGTCCTGTAACCCATTTTTCACCAGATATCCAGGAACTCCAATATCTAGTGCGGACCTTGTTAACCCGGGCGACGTCCGAGCCGGTATGGCATTCTGCAATTTACGTCTCACCATATTTTTTATGGGAGAGACACTCTTTGTCTGACTCCTCTGATGAGACCTGTCCAGTATGGTTGAACCTCTGGCATAGCTCTCATCTTCCTCAGAGTACACAAGCCCCACAACCACGTCAAGGTAGTGCCTCACTATTATTATTATTATTATTATTATTATTATTATTATTATTATTATTATTATTATTATTAATCATCGCACAGTCAGCCAGATGTTCAGACTGGATTTGGCATTTTGTCTACCGATCGAGTCCTTACCAAGGACCTGGGATAGGCAGATGTGGATGTTTGATGGTATTACAGATATCGTTGCAGGATGGAAGCAGTTCCTAGTAAGGCCACCTTTTGCAATAGATTAATGGCAAATTTGTCAATACCAATGGTGTTCAAATGGTGCTCCAGTTGTTTTGGGATTGCATCCAAGGCGCCTGTTACTATTGGTACTACCCTTGCTTGCTTTTGCCACAGTCTTTCTATTTCGATTTGTAGGTCTTTGTATTTTGTTATCTTCTCCAGTTCTTTCTCGTCTATTCTGCTGTCTCCAGGCACTGCCACGTCCACTATCCAGACTTTTTTGTCTTTCTTATCAACAATTGTTAAGTGTGGGGTGTTATGTTGCAGGTGCTTGTCTGAATTTGAATTCTGTTTGAATTCTGAAGTCCCAGAGCCATTCTGGCCCTTCCAAGAATCACATTGGCTCTCATGGAGCAGATTCAGTAACCCAGGCATCCACATTGATGTTTCTAGTTGACCATTTGGTTGTGCCCAAACTTTGGAGGGATGCAATTGCATCTGAAGCAGGCTGGTTTAATTATACTCTGGCCTCTTCAAGGATGTGTCTAGGTCCAGGATAAGCCTTAGATAAAAGGAGCTAGCTGAGAGGGTTTGTGTGTGAGGACCTAGGAGAAAAGGAAATGATGAACTAAATGATAGAACAATTTTATCAGCCGTAGCTACTATTGCTAGTACAAGATAACAAGGCTTACTAGATCTTAAACAAATGGCACACTAAGAAATATTGCTGCTTGAAACTTTGCCAAGAACTTAACTTGACATTTACAGCCATCCTGCTTAGACCAACCATAGTTTATAGCTTGAAGGTAGACTCTCTGAAATTCCAAAGTGGATAAAAAATTCTGACAGAGATAAGAGTTGGGTCTCATATTAGCACTGGAGAACTTAAAAGGCCAGAAAGGGCTAAGTAAACCAAAGGCCAAGAACTTGACTATCTGGTTAAATGAGTAGCGTAAATCCTACTTAGGATATACTAGACAACCTGTGATCCATTGGATCATCATATCAGAAATATTTCCTTACCTAAACAGAGAACAGAATGAACATGGATAGACAAAAAATGTTATGGGAGTAGGAGTAACTTCTGATTTCCTGTCAGCTTCCCCATTGAATTTCCTTGTGGAAAGCTATCAGCAAGCACCAAAACCCTTCCCTCCCAGGAAGGAAGGAAGTTTTAAAGAAGCTTCTGCTCAGCCTACTTTGTTTCCAGTATCTCAGAACAATCCACTTACAATTTCTTTTTGCAACAAACTTTTTCGAAGTTTGGCTGAATTGTTTTTAAAAGAAAAATTCTCATTAAAATCCTCCCCATATACAAAACGTCAGAGGTTGCAGAGTTTTTTATGTAAGATTTGCTGCAAACTGCATTGCTGCATTAGGTGAGAAGACCCAAAGCTCCTTCCATTTTTCTTAGAGTTCAGCTGAAGAGAAAAACCCTTGGTTGAAAGACTAAACTAAACAGATTAGGCAGTGTTAATGGCTTCAGCCTGAATGGTAACAACCTATCATAATTATCTTCCCCATGGAACTTTTGGAAAAAGAAGAGCTGCTTGTAAGATTTACACAACCATCCTTCCCAAGTCATAAAAGGAAGTGAGATGACTTCTGTTTTCCTCCAGTGAAGTAAGGACAAATCACTATATACTCACCATGAAACACTTTTCAGTTCCTTCTCTGATCATAACAAGGAAGTTCCAGTGAAGAGAAGGGAAAGGTTTTATGTTCCACTTGCCATTGGCAGCAGAAACACATCAAAATTGCTTTTAGTTTCATAAAATCTCTATGTTTCCCTCTTATGTGGCTACAATTCAGACTCATCATTTCCATTATTTTGTTAGTTGCTGAAATTAGGTAAGCAATATAGAAAAAGCACAGCACTACTAAAACCAGAACAGAAAAAAGAGTCAAAGAAAAAAATGCTGCAAGGTAGATGAATCCTATAATTAAAGGTATTACAAGTTAGTGTAAATTAGAGATAATACAAGCCATTGGAAGTGAAACTCTGTCTTGTGTTTAGCTTTTTGTTAACAGAGATTAGAATAAATTATTGTAGAATTTTGCTTTTCTTGCTTTGATATGTTTTTTCTGAAAACTACTGTATTACACTGTGCCTATCTATAAGGTTACACTTACATTGGTGAATTCTGCAATGAGGGAATGTTCTAGAACAGTGGTTCTCAACCTTTTTAATGCCACGACCCCAACCGGTCGTAAGTCGGACTACTCAACCGGTCGTAAGTCGAGAACTACTCAACTGGTGCAGCACCGTTTGCAGAATGGGACTTTTGGAGGGCTCAGCAGGGCAGAGACAGCCTGGACAATTCCTATTGGCTTTTGAAAGCAAATAGAATTAGACTCTATTCAAGAGACTCTATTCTATTGGCTTTCAAAAGCCAATAGAATAAAAGGAAGTAGCACAGCTAAGGAAAAGGGGAAAAAAATGGTGGACTGCGTTGTTTGGCGACCCCCGTGAAATGGTTGTTCGACCCCAAATGGGGTCCCGACCCACAGGTTGAGAACCACTGTTCTAGAATGTCTTGACAGAAGTTTCTGAAAATATTAAAATTCTGGCTATGGATTCTGCATAAACATCAATGCCGGATTGTTCTACAAAGGAAACTTCTCAGTTGATATTTTACATTTTATTTTTTAAATGTTATTAATATTGGGGAAAGTGATTTCTATGTGGATAATAGTCTTATATTTGGCTTATCTCTCTTTGATGAGGAAACATATACTGAGGCCTATATTATACAGGACCTAGGGATATTTTTCCCTTTATGGATTACTGCCTTGTCGTGGCGAAGGGGCTTGCGTAACTCAATGAAGCTATAAGCTATGCCGTGCAGGGCCACCCAAGACGGACAGGTCATAGCAGAGAGTTCTGACAAAATGTGATCCACTGGAGAAGGAAATGGCAAACCACTCCAGTATCTTTGCCATGAAATCCCCATGGACAGTACTAAAAGGCAAAAAGATATGACGCTGGAAGATGAGCCCCTCAGGTCGGAAGGTGTCCAATATGATACTGGGGAAGAGCAGAGGGCTAGTACTAGTAGTGCCAGAAAGAATGAAGCGACTGGGCCAAAGCTGAAAGGATGCTTAGCTGTGGATATATCTGGTGGTGAAAGGAAAGTCTGATGCTGCAAAGATTTTTTCTCCATAGGAACCTGGAATGTACAGAGAATGAGATGGCTGGATGGAGTCACTGAAGCAGTAGGTGTGAACTTAAATGGACTCCAGAAGATGGTAGAGGGCAGGAAGACCTGGAGGAACGTTGTCCATGGGGTCGCGATGGGTCAGACACAACTTCACAATTAACAACAACAAAGGGATATTTTCCCCAACACAAAGTCAAAGATAGGATTCAGGCAATATGATGTTTTGTTTTGTTTTTTAGTTTTGGCTTAGTGGGGTATGTGAATATAGTTTTTGTAACTTGTAAAGTAAGGTTTATGAATTGTTTATTTATCTGACGATGATTAAAGAAATCCTGATTTAAAGTATGTAGTATTCTAGTCATCGATGATATGCAAATATCTTTCCCTCTTTATGATTGGTTTGTATTTGATAGTTTTGATCACTTGCATACTGGCAAGGGAAAGACAGAGCCCAAATTCTAACATTGCAATATGAAAATCATTCCAACCAAAAACACCAACTTGATTCAAGTAGCATGTTACAGTTTCCTCCTGCATATGCATGTATTTTTAAACTGATCATTATTTATTTATCAGAAACTGGTTTTATGTCCTCAAAAATTGTTTCTCATCATTCATATGGCACCAGACCAAAATAACTTGTATGAAAGACGTTCTCATATATTGTTCATACCATTTTTTGTTACAGAAACAAAGAAAAAATGCATATCACAATAGAAATGGAAATGTTTCAAAGAGAAAACCACTTTTTGCATAAAACCTATAAACAGCAACATTACAAGGCACAAACAACATTTTTCATAGGACATTTTTTTGCGCTTGTTCAGATGACCTTCCAAATTTATCAGTGTAGAAAGTTCTGTATCCTTGTTTTACTCTGTCACTGTGCCTTTGTTGCCAAAAGACAACTAAAATTCATTAAAAGAGCATTTCAGGTTTTACAATTTATTCATTTTCATAAAAGCAGCAATTTTTTTCCTCCATATCCAGGATCTTAAATATTCTTTTCATTATTTTATCTTACTTTCTTTCTGGAACGAAATGATTTGTTCTGTAATGCAGGGGCAACTGAGGTACTCTCCCCCTCCCCCAAAAAAGTTTTAGATCACAGCATATGAAGGTTCCTCTTATACTGTTTTTTCCGTTCCACAGCTAACCGTAAAGCATGAATCAAAGTATTTTTGTTATTTTGGATGTTGTACTGGCTCAGTTTTACTAGTTTCTCAAAATCTTCATCTGAATATTCCAAAGCATAAACATTATAAGGACCAAAGGTACTTGTCACATCAATATCACCATCATTCATCTCTTCAGGACTACGCTTCACACCTATGATTTTTTTAAAATAAAAAGAAAAAAACCCCAGATTAGTCAGAATGCAGCAAATACATGGAGATTCGTCAATTTATTTTAGCATAGGTTTCCCTGATTTAAACTGGATTAGATGAATTGCTACACTTTGACTGCAGATATATATGAGCACGGCAAACTAACTTAGCAAAAAAAAAAAAAATTTTTTTCTTAGCAAGGAAAAAAAAGATGTATTGATTCATTCTAATAAAGAAAAACAATATTTAACTTTTTCATTTGAGAAACCACTGAAATGCATATCAGATAAATTTGCTCAAGGCTTCGAGATGGATTTAAACTGCTGTCTTTATATTTCAACCATGGAAGGAAAGAACTACATTGCAGACGATCAAGAGACTCAGGACACCACAAATTGGTTTTTTGAGAACCTAGAAAACAACACACAGACAATTTACTTGTCTTCTGAAGTTGTCTTAATCTGGCTTCTCCCAGCCACAATTATCTTCTACCTTCTTTGGAACCCTCTCCTTCCTGTGCTATATAAGAGACCTATTGGTTATTGTCACTATTTTTAGCATATTCTTTACCAAACCCTATACCACAAACATGGACAAGTCAAAAAATTGGCCATAACTAGCAGAAAAAAAATATTGCATCCAATTTAATTATATAATAATAATAATAATAATAATAATAAATAGTAGTAGTAGTAGTAGTAGTAAAGTTGGAAGGGACCTTGGAGGTCATCTAGTCCAACCCCCTGCTCAGGCAGGAAACCCTACACCATTTCGCACAAATGGTGGTCCAGTCTCTTCCTAAAAACTTCCAGTGTTGGAGCATTTACTGCTTCTGGAGGCAGGTTGTACCACTGATTAATTGTTCTCACTGTCAGGAAGTTTCTCCTTAGTTCTAGGTTGCTTCTCTCCTTGATTAGTTTCCACCCGTTGCTTCTTGTCCTGCCTTCAGGTGCTTTGGAAAATAGCTTAATTCCCTCTTCTTTATGGCAGCCCTGAGATATTGGAATACTGCTATCATGTCCCCCCTTGTCCTTCTCTTCGTTAAACTAGACATACCCAATTCTCGCAACCGTTCCTTATATGTTTTAGCCTCCAGTCCCCTAATCATCTTTGTTGCTCTTCTCTGTACTCTTTCTAGAGTCTCAACATCTTTTTTACATCGTGGTGACCAAAACTGGATGCAGTATTCCAAGTGGGGCCTTACCAAGGCATTGAAGAGTGGTATTAATACTTCACGTGATCTTGATTCTATCCCTCTGTTAATGCAGCCTAGCACTGTGTTGGCCTTTTTGGCAGCTGCAGCACACTGCTGGCTCATATTTAAATGATTGTCTACTAGGACTCTGAGGTCCCTCTCACAGTTACTACTATTGAGCATGGGGCCACCTATGCTGTACTTGTGCATTTGGTTTTTCTTTTAAAGCAGTGGTTATAACTAATTGCTCTTTTTTTTATTCTATCATGTTAAACAAAGTTAAAAAAAAATAGTGAGACCTAGAGCATTTTATTGGAGAGAAAAGAAAGACACAACTTTTGTATCTCCACTTTTCAGTTTGGATCCCTTTAATCCTGAGCTCAAATTCTTTTTCTCCTTTGTATTCCATGAGTTTCTCACATTTGGTTAAAACACAACACCAGACATAATTAAGGGTGGGGGGTGTAGGAAGCAAGAAGCATTCACACATACTTACCAGGTTCTTTATAATTTTGGAAGGTATTACAAACCAGGGGGTATAGGAGAACTAATGGAATATTTGGACCTTCTTGTTCTCCTAGCAAATAGCATTCCTTTACATCTTTTTCATCTTGTTCCTGTGGGATAATTCTAGGAAAAGGAATTCCTTGTTCTGAGAAATAATCTGAGGCCATTTGCAGAGGCTGTATAGATTGAGGGGAGGGGAGAGAAACAGTCAAACAAATTTTTATAAGTACTTTATTTTTTTAAAGAAAAAATATTAAAACCTTACCACAGCTTTCTCACAAGGGTTCTTATGAGCTAACGTTGGCTTAATTGCTCAATTTCACAATCTCTAAAGGCTTATAAATGAACAAACAAGATATGAAAGACCACAAAAGATGCTGATTCTTTCTTTTTGAAGATGAAAAATGGATGCCTAAACCTCCACAAAACCCATTTTACTCCTTGATCATGTTCCCCAAATGTGAAAAAGACCCACCAGATTGAATATTTTGCTTTGTGCACTCCAATAATGTCTCTCCAAATTAGGGGTTTTTCATTAAAATGAAGACAACAAGACCTCACTGATTTTGTGTTTTGATCCTGGTCATTTAGCGGCAGCTGTCAATACAGTTTGTACAATGTGATGTGGCCTTAGGACTGAGGTGAATTGGGTACATCTGCATACTGGGTAGACTGAAATGTGTTTGAATTCTATACCCATTACTCAGTCTATATTCAAAACCCCCTCTAAAATACCAGTAGGTTGGGAGCAAACCAGATCTCGGGAAAAGCTCATTGCAGGCCTTGCAACATAGGTGTGCTCTTGGGGTCCTGATAGATGGCACTGTTTAGTCAAAGAAATGAACAGCATATCATCTCTCAAATGAGCTGGGCAGATAATACAGTAGGGGAGGTAGGTAGTTCCTCATGTAACCCGGAGAACAGAATAATTGGGGGAAAAAGATGTCCCGATTTAACATTCAGTCATCTTCTGGGCCAGTTAGCATTCTTTGAATAACAACTTCATTGGGCCTTTTCTTCCATCCCAGAATCTTGTGTGTTGTGTAAACCAGAGGACAAAAGAGGGCACTAGAAGTCAAGAAACTCAAGAGAGCTTAAACTGTCATGCCATAACATCAGTAACAAAGGTAAAACTTATTTATGAAAGTAAAAATGGCAAATAAAGTTTTCTGTAAGTTAATTGGCCCAACTGAAAGTTGTTGTTTTTTAAACCAGTTTCTCACTTTCATGTGACAAATGTCATGTGGCAGAAGAGGAAGCAGCTGCAAGATTCAGATTCTGTAAAAATAAGATTCCTGCTGAAGAGAAAATAGTTCTGACTGTCAACTTCCTCCTTGCATCACAAAAAAAAGGACTTATAAGCCCAAACACTGCTGAGAATAAAATGTCATATTTCTCACCCGTAATTGTGAACCTGAGCTATAATTTAAATGTATGAAGACGTCCACTTTTCTCTCTGGCCTCATAAGTGGGGGATAGCTGGTGTCGAGGGCAAATGCATTATCCACCAGATACAGATGCTCTTCAGCTCCAATTAGCTGGTTAGGAAAACTGTCAAGATCACAATCTAAATAAAATACACTTCTGGTTAAAAGCAGGCAATAGCATTACTCTAAGAAAAGTTTAAAAAAACACACAACCATGTAACTGCAGCTCAGGAGGGACAATAATGTAACTTTTCTTCTATGCAGCGGACAACTAGACTTCTTCCCCCCCCCCCCCAAATATCTGCCTTTCAGTAATTTGATAAAAGACACGGTTTCATCTAGCAGTTTAGCTTCTGAAAACAAACAGCAAAATCTCCAGTAGTACTAAGAGCAGTGCTTTTTTTCTTAAAAAAAAAAAAGGTGCCGGAACTCACACACATCATACAACCCGCCTTGCCTACCCTACAAGGTTCCATCCAAAAAAGGTGCCGGAACTCTGTTCTGGGTGTTCTATGACAAAAAAAGCCTGACTAAGAATATCACTGGAGTACAAGCTCTTCAAAAGGACCTTTAATTAAAAGGAAGCTATACCTTTCCAGTTTGCAAATCCACTCTCTAAATACTTGTTGTGCATTGGGCAGCCTCTTAGGAAATTGGGAATCAATGACACAGCAGGTCGCCACATAATAACATCTTGAAAAATGCTGGCAAGGCTTCCTGGAGGACACTGGACTCGAACAGGTAGTTTATACCTTTCTGGACGACCAGTAAGCTCTTCTGCAGACAAAATAATATCCATTAAATGCATGCAGGTTTTTTGTTTTCACAGCCATACCTATAATAACCAATGGGTATGGGACACTTGAAAAATGTACATGACTGACTTTTTCTCATTTCTTTGTACTAGTTCACTTTTCTCTCTTGTCTGGCCAAATTTTAAATAATCAAAGATAATTTACACAAGGGTTCCATTGCCCAAAAGGAGCTGTAATGCACCCATTTTACTTTTCTAAAAAGCAGAATGTTACATGATATAATTTAGTGTTTTTGCTTTCAGGAATGGGACTTGATGAGTCATTATATTTGTGTGCATGTAAAAAAAAGATTCTTCCTAAGTTATGTGTTGTCAGTACAGGATTTGTTTCTATCAAACAACAACAACAACAAAAACCTGTCAGATCTGTAGGTGTGAAATTTATCTATTTATTAAATTTATTGGCTGCCCACCTTACCACAGGGTAACTCTGGGTGGCTTACAATATTAAAATATAAAACTATATAAATAAAATATTACAAAAGTATGTAAAAAATACAATAGCTAAAAGATGGGGAGGGAGGGAGTAGGATGAACAGGGAGGAGATGGGATCTGATATTATTCTATCAGCCACCCCAACATGAAACCCATAGAAAGCAGCTGCATTTATTTATTAAATGTCTACATTGCTCATTTCATCTAAGTGACTCTAAGTGACACACACTGAAACTGCGGGCCTACCTAACTTTTTGGGCAGCTACTGATATAACCACTCTCTTACATTTTTTCAATTGTACTGTAGCCTCAGGGACTGAAATGGGGACCTTCTGCAAATAAAACATTTGTTTTCCTACAAACCTTGTAATGTATTTTATAAAAAGGGAGTGCAGAGAACGGCACTGTTACTACTTGAGAAAAAGGAATACAGCATCACGGAACAGGGACTTCCCAGGACCATTTCAAATAGATAACCTGATTGGTGGTTTTGAAAGCCAATCAAAAGGCCAGCAAGACTGGGTCAAACCTTGCCTTCTCTGTTTGTTTATTTATTTATTTGTTTGTTTATGAGACTTATATACCGCTTTAAGTGCAAGCACTCTCTAAGCGGTGTACACCAGTAAGCAATGTATATATATATTTACATTGCCCCCAACAATCTGGGTCCTCATTTTACCTACCCCGGAAGGATGGAAGGCTGAGTCAACCTTGAGCCGGTGAGATTTGAACCGCTGACCTGCTGAACACAGTCAGCTAAAGTGGACTGCAGCACTGCACTCTAACTGCTGCGCCACCTCGGCTCCACCAGAAGTCAAGGCAGCTTCAGTCCTGATACCAAAATGATAATGGATTTCTTGCAATTATTACTATTAATACTGGGTATTTTGTAGCAGTATCTTAAACTACAAAGTATCTACCAGATAAAAATACAGGAAGGATATAAATATCCATATTATCGAACAAAGCAGGAGAATATGTAAAAGCAACTAACCCAAATCAGTTATTCTGTCTCGTGTCCAGATCTGCCAAAAATCTTCTGAAGTGGTAGCCTGGTACCAGCCATCCATAATGTTCAGAGAAAACACACTACTCCAGATTCCTGCAAAAGGGAAGACAGGAGTGTTTTTGTGATATCTTAAAAACAATTGTGATGAAATGATTCTTTTCCTTTTCTGCTTTATTGTTTCATAATATAATTGTTGTTATATTTTATATTAGTGAATAATTTGGCCATGGTTATGTATACTGCCATTTTATTTTAAGGATTAACCCAGAGTGTTTTGGTTCAAATCATACTTCAGCTGTGAACTGATCTGTGCCTCAGGCAGGATTTTACTCCCTAGAATGCTATATAATCAATAAACAATTCCTTGAATTTGTTAGGCAGCACTTTTGCTTATCTCTGCAATTACAAAAATAAACATATGTGTTTATATACAAAACAACTCCATTCTCATAAATCAGAACAGATCAAGTAATATAGTTTATAATCATCATTTACAAGTAGCGCCTAGTTTAGTTTTGTGAGATATCACTGTTTTTCCATGAGAAATGAAAACTTATTTTCAATTATCGTGTATTTTTCCTGCAACCAAGAATAGAGGATGCTGCTTATTCCAAACAACCAAACACTGAAGATGTAGTGAAATGGATAAATATCATAATTAATTGAAATGTGCTAAACAATGGATGGATTCTTTTTAAAGCCTTTCATCATTATGTATCTTAAAGTATAACAAAATTAAGAAAATATAATGTTGATATTTGAAATATGTGCAAAAATGTATTATTTACAAATTTACAAAATCATGGAAATAGCCTATTACAGTCATGCCTTGGTACTCGACTGCTCTGAAACTTGTCAGATTTGGTACTCGACACATTTTGATGAGAAAATTTTATCCCGATATTCGTTTGTTTGGTACTCGATGCGCAAGCTAGAAATGTTGGTTGCCTCATGACTTGCTAACCTTTCCAGCCAAAACAAAGGGTTGCATAGTAGCCATGTGGTAGTTCTTGCCCTGCGCACATCCCCTTGCAATCTTATCTTAGCTTCTGTAGTCATTTTGTGCATTTTTGCACTTCTTTATCATCAGTATAAATAAAGGGAAAATTTTATTTTCTTTAAGTATTTATTAATTTTTAGATTTATCATGTGACGATATACAATCCTATCTTTTTTACATATTGCCTTAAAAATGTGCATTGTCTTTGGTTTGGGAACACATTACATTCATTTACCTTATTCCTTATGGGAAAAATTTGTTTGGTATTCGTCATGTTTGGTACTCATCATGCCTTCCAGAACCAATTAGCAACAAATACGGAAGTACCACACTGTATTTGGTAAATTTCAGTGTGAGAACTAGTGGCATCTTTATTTTAATTAGCTATTCAGTTACCTTCTAAAAAGCAGATACGTGATTCTGGGATTTTCTCCATCAAGTGTCCCATGAAGAACTTGCTACCAAAGTGTTCAGGACGAATGTAGGCACCATATTTTTGGAATCCAACTTCATATGGTGTGAATTCCATCCATTCTAAAAACAGAGACATAAGAGAATAATATCCCATTCATGTTATTAATAGGATTTTATATTATGCTTTTAAATTGTTTATTTATTCAATAGGTTTAAATAGCTGCCCATTGTGATATAATTCTATGGCTGCTTTCAATGCATAAATTTAATAAGAGTTCTCTTTAACACATGCCATACTTCAGAGAACTGGAGAGAAGCAACCCAAAATACTGATAAGGAGTAAAATAATAGATACTTCCTGGTTTTTAAGCTTTGCTAGAACATGCTGATCAGGGCTGGAAAAGTTTGCATGGGCTGGGAGGTGGGGGTCCTTAAAAAAAGCCGGAAGGAGCTTTGTGATTTAACTCTAGTCTATACCTTCCTGTTGAAACAAACTGAAGAGAGTCAAGTATTTTAGATCCTTGATATCCAAGTATGCCATAGCCATTCCTGGAATACTTGATTTAGAGCAGTGGTTCTCCAGCATGATTGGATGGAGAACCCATGGATGGGTTGTCTTAATCTATCTGCTCCAATTAGACTAAGTCTGAAATTTAGCACTGCCCCCTCTGTGCCAACTGCACCGCAGTTTTAGACTTAGTCTCTTTGCTCTAAGACACGTTTTTTTCTTCGCTCCTGGAGCAGAAGACTTTGTAATTTCTTTCTTATTCCTTTATCTTAGTGCTAACCCCTTTTTTATTAATAGATTTTGACAATAAATTTTTTTTTTCTAGTGATCATCCATCCCCGGCCTACAGCCTAGCAGGCTAACAGGCTGACAGACCTTTCCTTTCAGGGAAAACCTTCCTTCTTCCTTTTTCTTACTTAGAGAGCTTTCCACCTTAAGAATCAAGCTCGTATTGAATTTCCAGAAGGAAGAGAAATCTCCTACCAGGGGCTGTTCCTCTGCTTCAGAGGCTGTGTTTCAATAACCGCCACTCCGATGGCTCCCTGCTGCCAGCTGATTGTCGGAAGACGCGAATTTCGCCTGCTGACTGCCTGTGGCTCCAGAAGCAAGGGTAAGCTTGCTAATTGACTGGGGGGCTCCGCAAGCGACGACGAGGCTCATCAGGCCTGGAGGGAGCCTTTTCTAGGTCCCTCGGCCTCAGCAGACCGCCCCAAGCAGCAGGAAAAGGTTTTGGGCACCGACCCAATTTTCGGAGCCTGGAGGCCTTACTAGTCCTCGGCCTACCTCAACGTCTCTCAGCTGGCCTAATTATCATCCATCCACTGCGTTAGGAGCCCAGGCAATTCCTCAGAACGAGGGCTCATCGCAGCTTAGGCCTCAGGCCTCAAGGCCTTCTTCTAACGGCCGTTTTTTTGACGCGAACTCTGCTGCCGCCATTTTGAATTGACTCACGGTGGCCATTTTGTAACTGACTGAGGCCCAGACTGCCTGTAGCTCACTCCTGAGGGCAGTGTATGACCACTTGAGGCAGAGGCCTCTAAATTTGTCTGCATCATCTCCACAGACGGATTGGATTGGGGAGGGCCAGCTCACTCCGGAAGGACGCAGTTCCCACCAACCCCCATTGCCCACCCCCCTCACGGGCCGGATCATCCCTGTGGGCTCCCTTAGTAAATTTACAATGCCGAGGGGGGGCGTTTTTGCTAAAGTTGAGCCCAAAGCAGATTCATCATGGCAGAGAAGTCCACCAACGAGCCGGCCAAGAGGAAACATCAAACAGAGGCAAGTGGAAAGAACACCACCAAGCGAGCCAGGGCAAGCAGGGAAACCAATAATCCATAGATGAGGGAGGAGGAGTCCCAGAGACTGAGAGCGGCCTCCCCAGGTCAGACAGGCACAACAGGAAGGTCCATTTTTGAACCCCTCTCCTCACATTGTGCCTCAGCCCCAGGGGCCTGGTCTCCCCCCAGGGGAATTCCCCAATTAGAATCAGCCACAAGAGTGGCTCCAGGGATTGGTACAACTGGCCAGGGCATTCTTAACTTGGGGCCCCAGGCCACATTCACCCCCACTGCAGCAGGGCTTCGCCCTCCTGAGAACCAGGCTTTGAATCCAGACTTTCTTCAGTCCATGATAGCCCAGGCTGTGGCTCAATTTATGGCCTCCAACACCCCACATCCACCCTCCCAAGCCATGTATCATCCACAATCTCTAGAGTTGATGGATGATCCCTCATCAGATCTGGAATCAACAGGGGCTGAACCATCTGGCCTGATTATGTCAGAGGACGAGGGCATCACTCCATCTGACCCCACCCCTCCTGTTGGTCTCTTTGACCATTCATTCTTTAATTCCCTGCTACTCAAGGCCTGCACTACTGCAAACCTCCCTCAAGAGCAGGAGACCCCACCTACAACATCCAAGGGTCCCCACGCCATATACACCGAGCCCTCAGTCTCGCAGAACCATATTCCCTGCCCTCCCCTTTTTCTGAATATAGTTCAAAAACAATGGGAGAACTTAGGATCCCTCTCAAGCCCTGGTACAGTAGAGAGAACATTATTCAATGTTGCCCCCTCTCTGGCCTCCCTATTGGAGAGTCCTGAGATTGATGAGCCCTTGTACTCATTGTTTCCCAATGCTAACATCCCTGGGGATATAAATGAGGCACTTAGGGCAGAAGATAAAAAGACTGAGTCTGCATTACACAGGTCCCACCAGGCATCAGCCTTGGCAACAAAGGCGGCAACATCCATGGCCTTCTTTGCCAGGGCTTTGGTCCTATGGTTACGGGAGCACCAGGACATGATCCCTCCGGACCAGCTCAGAGCTCACCAGAATCTGGGTAAGTTAGTGGCCACGTCTCAATACCTAGCTGACGCTTCCCTGCACATGGCCAGATACACTGCCCGGACCATCGCGGCAGACATCTCAGCATGAAGGCTCCTTTGGCTCAGGAATTGGCGAGCAGACACCAAGGCCAAGTGGCGTCTGGCCTCTAAATCTTACACAGGTGGACATCTCTTTGGTAAGGCACTAGAGCCATACCTAATCGAAGGTAAGGACAAACGTAAAACTTTGGTTAACGCATCAAAGAAAGGAGACAGGCGCTCGGGGAATAGCATGTCGCAGAGTAATTACAGAAGGCAGCCCTTTCGGCCAGCTCCATCCTGGGACTGGGCCCAGGCTTCTCGCCCCTCCTTTCAGAGACAGGAACGTCAGCGTACAGCGTACAGAGGTAGATCACAGTTCCAGACCAAGCGGTCCTTTCGAGGCACAGGGGGCCGTTCCTTTAAACGAGGCAAGTGATCCCGCAGTCTCACCTCCCATAGGAGGCTGGCTGGCCCTTTATTCCAGCACTTGGGCAGCCACCACTACAGATGCATGGGTGTTAGACACCATCACCCAAGGGCTGAGACTAGAGTTTTCTTCCCAACCACCTGACAAATTCTGCTTTTGCCCTATTCCAATGAGCAGGACCAGAGCTGATCTTATGTCAGAAGCCATAGCTCATTTATTGCAAATACAAGCAATTGAACCAGTACCACAAGACCAAGAAGGACGAGGGTTTTACTCAAACCTATTCATCATTCCCAAGACTTCGGGGGGCTGGAGGGCGATCTTAGACTTAAAAGGTCTAAACCTTTACTTGAGGTATAAGAAATTTAAGATGCAATCACTTCAATCAATCTTGGCTAGCATCAGGCAAGGTGACTTTCTTACCTCGATAGACCTGGCTGAGGCATATTTGCACATTCCTATTTTTCCTGGCCACCGCAAATTCCTCAGATTCAGTTATGCCCAACGCCACTACCAGTACAGAGCCCTACCATTTGGCCTCTCATCTGCACCGAGAGTATTTACAAAGGTACTGGCAGTGCTCGCAGCTCACCTTAGACAAATTCCCATCAGAGTTCAATGTTATTTAGATGACATTCTAATTCAGCCATCATCATTACAAAATGCTCACTCAGACCTTGCCCTAGCCATCAAGGTTTTTCAGGAGCACAGTTTTTCTGTTAATTTCCAGAAAAGTCATACCGTACCAACAACTCGGGTCCTCCATTTGGGCGCTGTTATAGACACAGACAACTGTACGGTCTACCTATCTCAGGACCAGTGGAACTCTTTTCAGACCCTTGTACGTTGGATCCGAAAGGACAGAGTAGTCACATTGGCATCCTTATCACAACTACTGGGGAAGATGGTGTCCTGCGTGCAAATTGTGCCATGGGCACGTCTCCATGCCAGAGAATTACAGTGGCTTCTCCTTCCATTTCAGAGACTTCACACCAGCACATCCCACCAGAAGGTCCGAGTTCCACGGTCGGTGTTGAATTCCCTTCAATGGTGGGACTCTCCGGCACTGTCACGGGGAACAGAATTCAAAGAACCAGACAGGATCACCATCACCACAGACGCAAGCCTGTTTGGGTGGGGGGCACACCTCCACACACACTGGGCCCAGGGTCAGTGGTCCAGGCAGGATCTAAAGAACAATATAAACTGGCTGGAACTAAGAGCCATACACATGGCCCTAAAGAGATTCAGCAGCTTAGTACAGGGCCAGCACGTCCTGGTCTTAACCGACAACATCACAGCCAAGGCCCATATCAACCGACAGGGGGGAACAAGGTCCAAGCCTCTCATGCAGGAGGCCAGATTGCTGGGGTCTTGGGCGGAACTGAATCTTGCCTCCATCAGGGCGGAGCACATATCCGGAGTGGCCAACCAGCAGGCGGACTCACTGAGCAGAGCCACCGTGGACCATTCCGAATGGCAGCTGGATCCGAAGGTCTTCAGAGAGATCGTGGACAGGTTTGGTTCCCCAACCTTAGACCTTTTTGCCTCCCCAGCCAACTCACAACTTCCCAGATTCCTTTCCAGGTACCCGTCTCCATCAGCGGAGGGAACAGATGCACTCCGCAGTCCCTGGCCCAAGGAACTGCTCTATGCCTTTCCTCCCCTACCCCTTCTACCTGCCACGATCAGGAAGATTCTTCGC